TCCTAGGAGTTCGGCTGGCCAGAGCCCACAGGAGGAGTGGAACAGGAAGAATAAACTAATTCGGAGACACTGAGAACTAGCAACTTAAATATGATTTGGCCCTGGTGAATAGCAGCACGTCTGCCCGTCTTAATGATGCCTGCCCCCTTGCTGAGGTTTAGGTTGCAGGCTGAAGAGGGCATCTATTACCCGTGGCAGCCGGGGCATTGTCTAAGCAAGCGGGGGCATTTTGGGGACACAAGAAAGGTTGGCATCTCACCACCTGTCGATGCTGGGATTGAATAACGGAATGCGAGCGGCAGCCTTGAATAAAAAGTGACAGAGCCTCTCGGCTCCCCGCAGCCTCGCTTGCTGGGCACAGAGGGCGGTGAACGGTGAGGAATTGTTCCGGGGCTATTTAAAGAAAGAGGATAGCATATCAGCGGGACAAAAGACCGGGAACAAGATCTGGTGGGCGGCGGCGGCGGCTTGGGCACTGGGGACATCGCTGCTGGCTGCTGACCTTACCAGCTCGGGCCTGCAGCCTCAGCGTGAAGAGACAGAGGCAGGAGAACAAGGCTGGTGAGCAAGGGGAACGGTCCTGAGCGGACTGTACCACTTCAAGGCTAGGGGTGCAGGAATTAGGGCCCCTCCAGACGACATCAAGATTATGGAGCATTCACCGTATTTTTCGCTCTATAAGACACACTTTCCCCCTCCTAAAAAGTAAGGGGAAATGTGTGTGCATCTTATGGAGCGAATGCAGACGGGAGGCTCTGCTCAGCGCTCCCTTTAAAGAGCCGCGTGGAGCGTGTGTGTGGCTCTTGGGGGCTTTTCCTTTGTGGCGATCACACAGGGCCCCGGACGTTTGACGGTCTATTGACCCTGTGCCACCACTGTGATTGCTTTCTTCGCTGCCACCACCCCATTTCTCACAGGGACACACGGAGACCAGACAGTTGTTAACATTAACAAATAATCTAGTTTATTTAAAAATGCAGAACAAGCTTCTGGTTTCAGTTTATTTTTCTTGTCAGTTTCTTAAATTTAGTTCCTTTGCTGTCCGATACGTTTCTAACAACTGCAAACTGATTATTCCAACTATCTATCTGACTCCACCTAACAATTCCTCTCACTCTCTCACAATACAACTTGGGCAACCCACTGCCTATTCCTCCCTCTTCCTTAGGGAAGGAACAGCCCCCAAGAGCCGCACACTCGCTCTTTAAAGGGAGCGCGGCTCTTGGGAGAGCCTTCATCCCCCTGCCCGGGAGAGGCTGCGTGCTGCTATCCTATAAGCCAGGACAGCAAGAGGCTATCCCAGAAGCCAGATCCCTCTTGCTGTTCTGGCTTCTGGGATTCAGAATATTTTTCTCCTTCTTTTCCTCCTCCAAAAACTAGGTGCGTCTTATGGTCTGGTGCGTCTTATAGAACGAGAAATACGGTATTTCGGTCACATCATGCTTACACAGAGGTTACATCAGAACACGAGATGAGCCTGGCTGAATCAGACCAGTGGCTCATCTACTCCAGCATCCTGGTCTCAGATGGAAAACCTGCCAGCAGGATCCAACCCCCTCCTGTGGCTTCTGGTATTCAGAAACATCGCTAGTAGCCATCGATAGCCTTTTCTTCCATTAATTTGTCCAGTCCTCTTTTTATAGCCTCCCAAGTTGGCGGCCATCTTTGCGTCCAGTGGGAGTGAGTTCCACAGTTTAACAAAGAAGGACTTTCTTTTATCTGCGCTGAATCTTCCAGCATTCACCTTATCGAGTTCTAGCGTCCTGAGAGAGAGAGAGAGAGAGAGAGAGAGAGAGAAGCTTCTTGCTATCCACTTTCTCTATGCACTAGGACAGGCATCCCCAAACTCGGCCCTCAAGATGTTTTGGGACTACAACTCCCATCATCCCTAGCTAACAGAGCCAGTGGTCAGGGACGATGGGAGTTGTAGTCCCAAAAACACCTGGATGGCCAAGTTTGGGGGTGCCTGCACTAGGAGGAAAGGGAGTACAAAAATGTCTTTATTAGCATGAATTTGCACCGAATAATAGTTGTTCTTGTGCTCAGTTTCTGCTTGCAAGCATCCTGGGGCCATCTGTGAGAACAGGATGGTGGGCTAGATGGGCCATTCTCCTAATCCTGCAGGCTTTTACTATGTACTTAGTTCCAGATGTGTGCGAATATGGTTCCCTACTTGCTGATAGGGAAGGGCACTCAGCACATGCTCAGAGATGGTCTCCTCTCCAGCCGTTGAAAAAAATGGACAGCACATCGACTTAGGATTCAAGCAAGCGTGTGTGAGAGAGACCAGGCACATCAAAACCCACATTTCTAGGGACTCAGAAACTGCCCCTGAGGATTATGACATCCTAACTAGGCACCCCCAAATTCCAAAAAGTCAAGTTTCTGGTCCTCAAGATTTCCTGGCGTTGCTCTTTCAAGCACCTTTGTCAGGTGTGAGTCATTGATTGGGCTGTAGCCTATGAAGAGTAAACTTAATGAACAGGACCAACATTGTTCTGTTATTTGTTTCTTTATTGCATTCCTAGCCTGCCTTTTTCTCCAAGATGGCGTACATGGTTCTTCCCCTCCTCAGTTAATCCACGCAACAACCCTACAAGTAAGGTGATGTTGAGAGGCAGCAACCAGGGATAGCTCATATTAAAAAAAAAAACCTGCTGTGAAAATGCTTTTAAAAAATGTTTTGAAATATATATGGAATTTGTCATTAGCTTACCAGCGCCATCTAGTGTCACATTTGTAGAATGCACTTAAAACATTATATTTGCAGCAGTATAGCCGAGTCCCAAATCTCAGGGTCATGAGTTTGAGCCCCACGTTGGGCAAAAGATTCTTTCATTGCAGGGGGTTCAAGTAGATGACCCACGTGGACCCTATGATTCTGTGATTCTGGCTCAAGGTGACATCCAATGACAGCTTCGTGGCCACAATTCTGGGGGTGGAGGGATTTGAACCTTGCTCTCCCCCAGGCCCTAGTCCAACTCTCTAACTGCTGTACCACACCACACACTCCTAGAAATGAGTTGGCGAAAACCCACCAACAGTATGCTCAGTGCTTCTTCTTTTTCGCCAGGGATGGGGACTGATCCTGGTAACTTAGAGATAGGTTTGTGAATACCAGTTGCTGGAAATCGCAGGAGGGGAAAGGGCATTTGTCAGGGGTCAGCAGACTTTTTCAGCAGAGGGCCGGTCCACTGTCCCTCAGACCTTGCGGGAAGATGGATTATATTTTGAAAAAAATAATAATGAATGAATTCCTATGCCCCACATATAACCTAGAGATGCATTTTAAATAAAAGCACACAGTCTACTCATATAAAAACACCAGGAAGACCCCACAAATAACCCAGAGATGCGTGTTAAATAAAAGGACACATTCTACTCGTGTAAAAATGCACTGATTCCAGGACCGTCCGCAGGCCAGATTGAGAAGGCGATTGGGCCGGATCCGGCCCCCAGGCCTTAGTTTGCCTACCCATGGCATTTGTGCTTGGATCCTGCCTGCAGCTTTCCTGTTGGGCATCTGGTTGGTGACTTCAAGAACAGGATACTGGACCTGGTGGGGCCATTGGCTTGATCCAGGAAAACTTATCCGATGTTCTGATGCCTCCTGAGCCTTCAGGTGGTCCCTTCCAGGGGGTCTCCCTTGTGCTTTAAACCTTCCATCCTTGGTTTCTGACCTCACTGTCTTGCGGCGGGGGACAAGTGACAAGAGGACCCAGGCATCCTAGGCTGGTCGTCTGGCACAGCTCAGTCCTCGTCTATCGCACTCACCCTGCGGGGCTGCCTTTGCTGGCACCTGTGTGAAAAGCTAAAGGAAGGCTTTGTCTCAGTCCTGCGGGACCAGAGATTTACAGAAGATTGGAAGAAGTATATGAATTACTTGAAGAGCAGCTGTAATCGACAAATTGCGCTAGTAGGGCTACAAGAAGTTTTGCAAGGAGAAATATACGAAGTGTTGCAAAGTAGAAAAAGATAGAGATATTGGTTATGAGTTTGAAATGTCATAGGGAAAATAAGAAATGCATACTAAGAGATTAGATTGGAAAACATTTTCAGACAGGATTGATGGAAGTCAAAAAAATTTGAATAAGATGTAAAAGTATGTTTACCGTATTTTTCGCTCTGTAAGACGCACTTTTCCCCTCCTAAAAAGTAAGGGGAAATGTGTGTACGTCTTATGGAGCGAATGCAGGCTGCGCAGCTATCCCAGAAGCCAGAACAGCAAGAGGGATCACTGCTTTCCCTGCGCAGCGATCCCTCTTGTTGTTCTGGCTTCCGGGATTCAGAATATTTTTTTTTCTTGTTTTCCCCCTCCAAAAACCAGTCTTATGGTCTGGTGTGTCTTATAGAGCGAAAAATACGGTATATGAATTACTTGAAGAGCAACTGTAATCAACAAATTACGCTAGTAGGACTACAAGAAGTTTTGTAAGGAGGAATATACGAAGTGTTGCAAAGTAGAAAAAGATAGAGATATTGGTTATGAGTTTGAAATGTAATAGGGAAAATAAGAAAGGCATACTAAGAGATTAGATTGGAAAACATTTTCAGACAGGATTGATGGAAGTAAAAAAAAATGGAATAAGATGGAAAAGTATGTTTAATTACTGTTGAAAATGAAATGTTAAAAAATTAATTATATATATAAGGGAAGAGGGTGGGTGAGTGACGGGGAGGCAGGCGTCCTCTTTGCTGGGACAAAGCAGCATTCAACCCCCTCCCCTTCTTCTGCCACTTTTGGGGGTTTCTATTAGTGGTACTCAGCTGTTCCCCTAGGGAGGCCAAATATGGCCACAGCTCATCACGAAACAAAAAATAAAAAATAAAAGGACGCCTCTCCCAGGTCTTCTCCCCAGCACTGCCACCACCGCAAGGCAGTGCCAGGGCAATGGAGGGGGGGTTATTTTGGACCCAATTGGAGCAAGCCCTGGAAAGCCACAGGTCCCCCTGCCCCACCTCCCGGCCAGCTGGCAGGGAGGACGACTATAAAGGGCCGAGGGGCAGGGAGGAGAGGGAGCAGGCTTTCAAAGGCAGCGCCGAGGTCCGCTCAGGGTGCCCCCCGGGTCTGCTTCGTGCCAGCCAGGTCCTCTCGGCGTGCTCTCCATTCCTACTCGCACGGACAGCTCTCCCCTCCACCGACTGCCGCCATGGAAGCCATCAAAAAGAAGATGCAGATGCTCAAACTGGACAAGGAGAACGCTCTGGACCGGGCGGAGCAGGCCGAGGCAGAGCAGAAGCAGGCGGAAGAGAGGAGCAAGCAGGTGGGCAGCCGCTGGGCTCGGCTGTGTGTGCTGGGGGGCGGGGAGGAGCTTTGTGGTAGGGTCCTGGATTCGAATTCTGACTTAGCTCATCACGGATACCCTCAAGTCAACTGGTCTGGTTTCTGTTTCCCCCAGGCATAGTTCAGGCATAGCCAAACTTGGCCCTCCAGATGTTTTGGGACTACAATTCCCATCATCCCTGACCGCTGATCCCGTTAGCTAGGGACGGTGGGAGTTGTAGTCCCAAAACAGCTGGCGGGCCAATTTTGGGCATGCCTGCTCTAGATGATCCTTGTGGTCCCTTCCGACTTCTGTGATTCGGTGGTGTCTGGCGCTGATGGGAACTGGAGTCCAGAAACATCTGGAGTGATACGGATACATCCCCGCTTTATATCTCTGGAGGTGCATTTCACATGTGGTCCCTGATGGGTTGGAACAGGGCTGGCTTGCAAGTGGGGATCTTGCAGCCCTCCAGATGTTGAGGAACTACGAATCCCATCATCCCTGACTGTTGGCCACCACAGCTGATAGACCCTGGCATCCAACAACACCAGTTTTTGCTTCGGCTTCAAAAAAATAAAATTGAAAAATTAAAAATTGGGCTGTTCTCCATTTTCAAACTAGGGACGCGGGTGGCGCTGTGGGTAAAACCTCAGTGCCTAGGACATGCCGATCGCATGGTCGGCGGTTCGAATCCCCGCGGCGGGGTGAGCTCCCGTCGTTTGGTCCCAGCTCCTGCCCACCTAGCAGTTCAAAAGCACCCCCAAGTGCAAGTAGATAAATAGGTACCGCTTTATAGCGGGAAGGTAATGGCGTTTCCGTGCGCTGCGCTGGTGCTGGCTCGCCAGAGCAGCTTCGTCATGCTGCCCACGTGACCCGGAAGTGTCTGCGGACAGCGCTGGCTCCCGGCCTCTAGAGCGAGATGAGCACGCAACCCCAGAGTCGGACACAACTGGCCCGTACGGGCAGGGGTACCTTTACCTTTACTTTTACCATTTTCAAAGCAGCAATTTCTTATTTGGTTTTCATAAATATGGGATCAATGGAAAGTGGGACCTAAAAATTTGGGGTTTCTGTTGAAAAGACAACTCACACAGAGAAATGAATAGCCTTAAATGAGGTCATGGCCATTTATATCAATGGGTCTAGTCTGAGTAGGGCTGTCACTGGCTACATACAGGCTACGGTTTCTGCCTGAGACTGGACCACAAGGTCCTATTGACAACTAAGCCTCCAGCATTCCTTTTAAATTGCAGAGTTCCATCCTGGATCATGTGAACTAACCTCTGCAGAGGAGCCCCTGAGCATGTGCAGAGTGCTTGTCCATCTAATGTTTGCCTGAGGTCCCCTTCCCTTAATTCCAGGTTGGCTCTGATGGTGGTTACCCACTGGCAAGAGAATTGCACTCTGCATATGTACAGAGGGCCTTTCCCCTTGAGTTAGCACAACTCACAGCTCACATCCCTGTGGGTGTCAGATGGACCAGCCACTGTGTGCCCCCGACTTGATCAGCAGCATGGGGGAAATGCACTCTGTGTATGCTCAGAGATATGGCCGACCGTCCACTGAAAAGACCCCCAAAGCCAAATTCCTGATCTGAAAATAGTTGCAGGGAGTCCTCATCGCTCAGCAGTACAGGAAGAGGCCTCTGCGTACATATATTATTTATTTATTGCATTCAATAGCAGGGACCAGGAATTTTGTTCGGACTGCCTTTTTTTTTGAGGCCAAAAGGGCTTTACACTCTTTTTTGATTTTGAAATAAGATGGAGGTAAGTAGTTTAATCCAGCGTTTCTATAGGCCAAAGAAGTGTTCCTTAAGCGTCCCTACCAGGACAGACTTTGCTCGTGTGCTCAAGACATCGATTCCATAAATCATATTTTGTTGCATTGTGCAAAATATGAGCAGGCCAGGGCTCAACTGATACTACCCTTGCTGGTACCTTTCCCGGGAAAATCAGAGGCTCACTATGTCAGGTTCCTACTGGAAGACCGGACAAAAGCTAGAACGTTAGCAGTGGCAAAGTTTTTATTGGTGGTTGCAAGAACAAATGAGCCCTATATTCTAAACAAAATACTTGATTCACCTGGAGGTAGGCTGTATGAATTGTGTATTGATTTGTAATGATTTGTTGGGTCTCTGGACTGTAATAAAGATTGATTGATTGATTATTTCTTGCATTTATATATCCCACCTGTTTCTCCACGAACCTCAAGGTTGTGTAAATGGTTATTGCCTTCCACATTTAACAATAACCCTGCGAGGTAGGTTAGGCTGAGAGGCAGTGAGTTGCAGTGGTTAACCCCCAGCACAGACTAAACCTTCGCACTCACCTCTCCTTACCTGTGTCGGTGGGTTTTTTGATGAGTTTATAGGAACGGAGAAAGAAGGTGAGGATGATGGAGGGCAGAAAGAATCTGGGACCGGCTTGGCTCCTTTCTCCAGAGAGTTCCAGTTTCACATTCCTTATGCTTGACAAAGTCTTGGCAAACAAAGGAAGGAAGGACTGGGTGGGTGGGTGGCGTTGCTGCCTACCCACCCCGTGATCAGGATGGCTTCAGGGTGACCAAACAGCTGACAATAGGGGAGAGAAAGGGGGCATGTGAGGATGGGCGTATTATATTCTGCATTTCCAGACAGGACTGAGATTCCCCATCACACACAGCAGGGAGCTGGGTTTGAACAGAAGAGCGTCCTGGGGGGGGTGTCAAACCAAAGCATCCTGCACCCCCCCTCTCCTACACATCCGCCAGTCAGATGCCTCCAGGAAGCCCACAAGTGGGGCATGAGAGCAACAGCGCCTCCAGGGGGCTTGTTCTCAGAATCGAGGATGCAAAGGTAGACTGCCACTGTAGGTGGAGGTTTTGCATTGCATCCCAGACTACTCCAGCTCAGGTTAGAACCATTGAAGTTAATGGTTCTTTCCTTCCACTCTGCCACTGCCCTCTCTCTGCGAAACCATCTCTCTCTCACAGCTCAGTCGGCAGAGCGCGGGGCTCTTAATCTCAGGGTTGTGTGGGTTCGAGACCCGCATTGGGCAGAAGATTCCTGCATCTCCCTGAGTCATTTTATTTTCATCCAGGATTCATTCTCTAAGGTGTGCAAGCTAACCCCTTGGAAGGGAAGGGAATAACGTGGTGCTGAGCTTAGAAAATACAGAAAGACAAATACAGCGGTACCTCGGGTTAAGTACTTAATTCGTTCCGGAGGTCTGTTCTTAACCTGAAACTGTTCTTAACCTGAAGCACCACTTTAGCTAATGGGGCCTCCCGCTGCCACCGTGCCACCGGAGCACGATTTCTGTTCTCATCCTGAAGCAAAGTTCTTAACCTGAAGCACTATTTCTGGGTTAGGGGGTTATGTAACCTGAAGCGTATGTAACCTGAAGCATATGTAACGCGAGGTAACACTGTATGACCGTCTTAGGGCCTGGATCCCCTATTCCAACCCTACCGCTAGCAAAATACTTTTTTTTTCTTTTCTCAATTAGAGAATATGTAATATCCTGCGGGGGGGGGGGGGTTGGACTAGATGACCCCTCCAAATCTGCCATTCTGTGATTCTGCTATTCTTTCTCCCTGTCCCACCCCCTTTTTCTTCCATGTTTTCACCTCCTTGCCATCCTCTTGCAACAAGACCCCGGTGGCCACATCCAGAGGGCCTAAAAGCTTCCCCATCTCCAATTCTGGCATTACAAGATAGAGTGCCTCTGGACATGGAGGTTCTCTCTTAGCCACACGGGTGAATCGCCACCGGTTATACATCCACAAATCTGCCTACTTTTTAAAAAACTGGCCTGTAAATATTCAGGTCATACACAAACCATATGTTTAAAAGCACTCTTATAATACTTGACCATAGCTGTCAACCTTCCCTTTTTTTGCAGGAAATTCCCTTATTCCTGCGCCGTTTCCTGCTGCTTCCCGCTGCTATCCCGGATTGTTAGATATCCCATAGACTGTCCCCGGGACATGTGAGGCTGCTGATCCCTTACAGTGGTACCTCGGGTTAAGTACTTAATTCGTTCCGGAGGTCCGTTCTTAACTTGAAACTGTTCTTAACCTGAAGCACCACTTTAGCTAATGGGGCCTCCTGCTGCTGCCGCACCGCCGGAGCACGATTTCTGTTCTCATCCTGAAGCAAAGTTCTTAACCTGAAGCACTATTTCTGGGTTAGCGGAGTCTGTAACCTGAAGCGTATGTAACCTGAAGGGTATGTAACCCGAGGTACCACTGTATTTTCAAATCTGAAAGTTGACAGCAATGTACTTGACGAGCTGTGGCTTCCCACCCACCCCAAGAATCCTGGGAACTGTAGTTTGTTAAGGGAGCTGAGAGGGGTTAGGAGACCCTTAACAATCTACGGTTCCCAGGATTCTTTGAAGGAAGCCACGATCTTTAAAGCAGAATACAAGCTCTTTCAATGTGTGCTGCGTATGCGACTAGGTTGCTCAAGCCGGTTTGCGATGCAGCCAGCTCTGCTATCGGGCAGTCCCATCTGGAGCAAACGTCTGTTAAAATAAGGACTTGTGTTCCTACACGCCCAGGTTAGACTGGATATGAAATGGGGGGAAGAAAAGGGTTTTGTCGGGAGGAGGAATGTCTAGGACGCCGGAGATTGCGTGTTGTTTTGACCTTGCCTGGAGGCAGGGCAGAAGAGATCGAGTCATGTTTCGTGTCTATTCAGGCTGGAAGAGCAAAGGGAATTTAGAAATGGGGAATCTCTCTATCTGCACTTTGAGAAGCCTCTCATGGTATCCTTTTAAGGCGATGAGGAACTATGGCAGGGAGGCGGGGGTAGAGAGGGAGAGAGGAACACCCGAATCAGTTGCATAAACTGGACATTATTGTATAAAGTCCCTTCCACTCTGTTTGGCCGCAGAACCCTCTGAAAGGAACACAGTGCTGGACATTTAAAGTGTGGTGTAGTGGTTATAGGGTCGGACCGGAACCTGGGAGAGACCAGGGTTCGAATACCCCATTTGACCAGTATATCTGAAGGAGTGTCTCCACCCCCATCGTTCTGCCTGGACACTGAGGTCCAGCGCCGAGGGCCTTCTGGCGGTTCCCTCGCTGCAAGAAACCAAGTTACAGGGAACCAGGCGGAGGGCCTTCTCGGTGGTGGCACCTGCCCTGTGGAACGCCCGCCCACCAGATCTCAAAGAGAACAACAACTACCAGACTTTTAGACGACATCTGAAGGCAGCCCTGTCTAGGGAAGCTTTTAATGTTTGATGCATTACTGCATTTTAATATTGTGTTGCAAGCCGCCCAGAGTGGCTGGGGAAACCCAGCCAGATGGGTGGGGTATAAATAATAATATATTATTATTATTATTATTATTATTATTATTAGCCGTGGAGCATGCTGGTTGTGAGCTCGGGCCTAGCTGCTCGCTTGCAGCCTGACCCACATTTCAGGGTTGTTGTCCAACCTCTCGCAATACAAGAATCACAGCTAAATCAATTAGCGAAGCTTCTGCTGTTGTGGCTGACACGGAAATGCGGATAAACTTAATTCTGGGGAGAAACGAGAAACCAAACGGGACAGATTTGGCCCTTCTTCCTCAGCGTTCAAGGTTCTAGGCCTCAAGAAGGACTGCGGACGTATGGTAAACGCTACCTCCCCTTTCATTTTGCAGCTGGAAGATGAATTAGCCGCCATGCAGAAGAAGCTGAAGGGGACGGAGGACGAACTGGACAAATATTCAGAGGCTCTCAAAGATGCGCAGGAGAAGCTGGAGCTGGCGGAGAAGAAGGCTGCTGACGTATGTATGGGTCTGGGGTGGAGGGACGCCCCTCTCTGAATTTGTGCTCCCTAAGTAGGACTGTTTATTCACCCAGCACTTTCGCAGGGCCAAACCACGTGGCTCGAATGGCTGTGGGTCCTGCTGGGCAAAGGGCAGTCCCCTGTTTCAACCATAGCTGTCAACCGTCCCTTATTTGGCGGGAAACCCCCTTATCCCAGCACCGTGTCCCGCTGCTGTCCCTTATTGATGATGTCTCTTAAATTTCCCAGGTATCAAAAGTAGCAGCTCCTCTCCCTCCCTCCCTGCTGGCCAGGGAGGAGGGAGGCTCCAACTGTGTTGCTTGGCTGCGTTGCTCACCCAGTAAGGAGTCTAAGGACGACTGGGGGGTGGAGCTTGCATGCCTTGTGCCGATCAAATCAGCCGCGTTGCCTGGGGACTCGCCTTTGCTCAGCGCTTCCCAGCGGAGAGGTGACGGCGGTTTTCCTTGCTGCATCCCCTTTGCTGGGTTGCTGCACTGTGGGAACCACCGCTTGAGGCTTCGTTTGGCTGCTGGCTGGGCTTTCTGCCTTTGGCTTGGAGGGGCTCAGAAGTTGAACATCCCTGTGCTCTGAAAATCCCTTATTTTGGCAGCTGATCCCTTATTTTCGAGGCTGCTGGTCCCTTATTTTCAAATCTGTAAGTTGACAGCTGTGGTTTCAACAGAGGCTGAGCCACTGGGGCGAATGGGGCACTGCCCCATAAACCTTGCTCTGCCTTTGGCCTGCCCCTCTCTTACTTGCAAGGGTGAGAGGGAGGTGGTCCTGTCTGACATTTTTCTCCTTTTTCTTAGTCTCAGGGTTGCTCCTTCCAGAGCTCCACAGGGAGGAGAAGGATGGGGGCAAAGTTAGAATTAGTGGGCTCTGCCTGTCATTGGCTCTGGCGCCACCTACTGTCAGGCTCCCCAACTTCTACCGTACCAGCTCCAATGGGCACCAACTTTGCCTGTCCTTGATTTTGAAGAGCTGCCTGGCCCCAATTTGGGATGAACGCTAAAGGACCTTAAGAAAGGAGGGCAGGGGAGACCCTTCTTATGTCCATTATGTTAGGGGGAAATTGATTTGGGGAAAATGTCTGTATTATAGGAAATTGCTCACAAAAATGTATATTTTAAGAGAAATGCGCATTAAAATGCTGGTTTTTCTTTTTAAAAAATTGCTAACTGACGTGGAAATGTGGAGAAACAGACATAAGATATGCAAAATGAGAAATGGAGAAGAACCAAAATAGATAGGTTTGCCCATCTCCACCCTGAGGACAAATCGACCCGGAAGCCACACAGTGCCAGGGTGTGAAATGAGCTGGCAAGGAGATTGACCCCCCCCCCCATTTCCCGGCCTCTTGACAGGAAAGGCAGAAAGTGTGGGGAGCGGAAAGCGAGGGAAAAGGAAACACTCGGGTTCTGAAAATAACCTTATCTTTTCCAGCAAACGTTGCGGTTAGGCTCACCAAACCGCTGCTGACTTTTGCACAACGCCAGGAGCTACCCGGAGAACCAACTGTCCCCGGCTGGGTCTTTCCCCAGCAATGTCTATGCTTAAAAGCTCAAACACAGCTCCACGGTTGCCCACAGTGCTTAACTTACCATCTAACACCGGGAACGCTATTAGTATCATCAACAGCTGCTCGCCTGTGGCGACCAACGAGAGAATTCAGGTGAACAAGCAGGCAGGTGTTTGCCAAAGAGAGTCTCCTTCGCTTTCTTTTAGAGCGGGGGGGGGGAATCTCATCTGTGGCCCTTCAGGCTACTCCATCTGGCCCTCGGGAAACTCCCCAAGCCATAGCGCCCTCACGAGCCGAGCTCTGCAGCCTCCCTGAGTGTTTTAGCCTGGGTGGAGCGTGTCCTTGAACGCCTCAATCTTTGAGGAGTCCAGCAGCATCTGGAGGGCACCAGGTTGGGGATGCTTCTTTCCCATTTTCTCATAATCTCTGTCCTAAACTAACGGGAAGGGATGCAGCTCAGCAGTAGAGCATTTGCCTTGCATGCAAAAGGCCTCAGGATCAATCCTTGTCATCTCCAGGGACTCTCGATTTGAAGACTGGGACAGCCAGTGCCAGTTTGTAGACCAGGGGTGGGGAACCACAAGCTGGGGGGGGGCAAATGCGGCCCTCCAGGCCTCTCTATCTGGCCCTTCACTGGCCCTGTTTCACCCGCCTGCCCTGAGCATTTTTGCCTGGCTGGGGCATGTCCTTGAACTCCGATCCTGCTTTTCCACACAGAGGACAGAGAGGGGTGTGTGACTATGTGTACAAACCGGCCTACTTTTGCCTCTGGCCCTGCCCTCTGCCGGCATGTGGCCCTTGGAAAGTTCCCCATAAGGGGAATGCGGCCCTTGAGAACCAGCATGCCTGCTGTTGACAATATTGAGCTGGGTGAACTGATGGCCCGAGTTGGCGCCAGACCATTCCTGTAAATGGGGAGATGGACAGAGAACGTTGCTTGCCCAGGTCATTGAGAAATTCTCCTTAAAAGTGGATTATCTCATGCACGGGATGCAACTGGAAACTCTGAGTCACTTAGGAAAGGGTTCTGCCTCAAACCTGCCCCAAGATTGACAGGCGGGACTTTGGGATAAGTGGAAACCCAACCGGCCCTCTCCCGCTAATGGCCGGGGAAGAGCTGGGAAAGTTATGCAGTTCCCCACCAGCCTGCCCCACACTCCCTATTCCTTGCATTGTTGGTGGCAGTCTCTAGGAAAACAATGGCGTCGAGTTTCTCCCCGAGCGAAGGTTGGCCCCATCCGTCAAGCGGCTAAGGGCTGTCAGCGCCCGGAGCAGCTGCCACTTGGCATTCGGAGGGGATTATCTGTACAGATTTATCGCCTATGGGTGGGGGGGATTGACGGACATTTGAGCTTTTGCCACCTCCTGCCACCTATCGCTTCCTTTTCTGGAGCCTGCTTGGTGGGGCAGAGTAAGAACCAGGGCTCCCCCGCCCAGCCTGATCTCAGGTCTGGTACCTCTCAGGTGGGTGCCGTTGCCATTCTAAGAGAACAAGGGAGAAGTTCGTGGTGATCTCCGGCACCTCTTTTTCTAGAAAAATAGCACTGGGAACAACATAAGAGGAGCCCTGCTAGAGCGTGACACTGGTCAGCATCCTGTGGCCAGATTCTTTCAGGTAGCCCATGGGACTACTAATATATGCTGCTCATCTGACTGGGTTGCTGCTCCTGGCGGCTTCCAACAAAATATTGAAACACACCAAAATATCTAACATTAAAAACTTCCCTAAACAGGGCTGCCTTCAGATGTCTTCTAAAAGTCAGATAGTTGCTTATCTCCTTGACATCTGATTGGAGGACGTTCCACAGGAAGGGCGCCACTACCGAGAAGGCCCTCTACCTGGTTCCCAGTACCCTCACTTCTCATAGGGAGGGAACCACCAGAAGGCTCTTGGCGCTGGATCGCAGCGTCCGGGCAGAACGAAGGGAGTGGAGACGCTCCTTCAGGTATACTGGACTGAGGCCGTTCAGGGCTTTAAAGGTCAGCACCAAGACCTTGAATTGGGCTCAGAAACTGGGAGCTAATGTAGATCCTTTAGGACCATTGTTATAAAGTCCTGGTGGCCGCTCCCAGCCGCCAGTCTGACAGCCGCATTCTGGATTAGTTTAGTTTCCGAGTCACCTTCAAAGGTAGCATGAAGGCAAGAGCACTCCCTCACGGTAACCTATGTTCCTATAAACATACAAAGATAAGGATTGGACCCTGCCCTGACACCCCAGAAAGCCACCACCAGTCAGTGGAGACCGTACTAAGCTAGATGAACCAATGGTTTGACTAGGGTGACTTTTTATGTTCTCTATAAGAAGTTAGGGAATTAGAGAGTGGAGGGATGGCCCTTTCTCCAAATTAAATTTGGAAACATCTAACATAAGAAGGGGACGCAGGTGGCGCTGTGGATTAAACCACAGAGCCTAGGACTTGCCGATCAGAAGGTCGGCGGTTTGAATCCCCACGATGGGGTGAGCTCCCGTTGCTCAGTCCCTGCTCCTGCCAACCTAGCAGTTTGAAAGCACGTCTAAGTGCAAGTAGATAAATAGGTACTGCTCTGGCGGGAAGGTAAACGGCATTTCCATGCGCTGCTCTGGTTCGCCAGAAGCGGCTTAGTCATGCTGGTCACATGACCTGGAAGCTGTACGCCGGCTCCCTCGGCCAGTAAAGCGAGATGAGCGCTGCAACCCCAGAGTCGGCCACGACTGGACCTAATGGTCAGGGGTCCCTTTACCCTTTACCTTTAACATAAGAAGAGCCTAGCTGGTGAAACAGGTCAATGGCCCATCTAGTCTTGAATCTTGTTCTCACAGCAGCCAATCAGATGCCCCAATGAGAAGCTCAAAAGCAGGACTTGAGCACAAGAGCAGCTCTCCCTTCCGGTATTTTGCCTCTGACTTTGGAGGCAGAACATAGCCATCAGGCTTTGTGGCCACTGATAGTCTCACTATTCTCAATGGATTTGTCTAATCCTCGTTGAAAGCAATTCAAATTGGTGGCCGCCAGTGGATTGGGGCATGAGAAAGTGTATGCTGCAGTACTGGGCAAATTTTAGGGGGTAGTTTGTGCCTCGGGGCTGCATCTTTGCATGGGTGCCCTTCTACTGGCCCAAGGTCACCCAGTGAGTTTCATGACTGAGCAGGGATTTAAACCCTGGTCTCTCCCAGGGCCTAGTCCCAAATTCCTATGCCCCACAAATAACCCAGAGATGCATTTTAAATAAAAGCACACATTCTACTCATGCAAAAACACCAGGCAGGCCCCACAAATAACTCAGAGAGGCATCTTAAATAAAAGGACACATTCTAATGTAAAAACATGCTGATTCCTGCACCTTCTGCGGGCCGGACTGAGAGGCGATTGGGCCACATCCGGCCCCCGGGCCTTAGTTTGCCTACCCATGGCATGGCCTAGTCCAACACTCAAACCGCTACTGCCCACCGGCTCATTACTGACGACGCAACAGCAGTGCATCTGTAGCCGATTTATTCTGGCTCACAGATCCTCCAAGTGCCTCCATTTTCCAAGGACAGTCCCAGATTTACAGACGCTGTCCCAGTTTTTTATTTGATCCCAGAATGTCCCGCCTTTCCTTAGGATGGCCCTATTTTCATCGGAGAAATGTTGGAGGGTATGGAGCTATGCAACCCCTGAGCCTTTAGGAAACATCTGAAGGCCGTATAGGGATTTTTTTTTTAAATTTAAAAAATATTTTTACATATGTTGGAAGCCGCCCAGAGTGGCTGGGGCAACCCAGTTGAATGGGCAGAGTATAAATAACAAAAGTATTATTATTATTATCATTGTGGAATAAGACGTCCCTATTTTCATCGGAGAAATGTTGGAGGATAATCTCCACATTGTTCTGCTTTATTCTGAGATGCTTCCACATTATCTTGGGGTTGGGGGTTCTTTTGCTGTAGCCAGAATATTTGTGGTACAGTATAAAAATTTAGAGGATTTCAGCACGATGGTATGGGACCCATTGGAAACAAAGCAGCGTGTCCGTACCAAAACTCTTGCAGGGGACGAATAGTTTTGAAAGCGGGATCGCGCATGACTGCTGTGATAGCATCATGAGCACAAATACTCATGAATGCACAATGAACAGGACATGGAAGGGTCTCAGATCATTGATTCCCCCTCCACCTTGTTTCGGCTAGTTCCTGCCTCCCCACATGTGCCCAGCAGAGGGGGCCAGAGAACACATCCCTTTCTCCACAGTTACTGAGGAAAAGGTCCTTCAATCCCATTAAGCAGCCCAGGAATTTAAATATGGAGTGCTTGGGCTGGTGGGGTTTCGTTCTCTGAGATCTGCTGCACAGTACTGGCTGGCTGTCAACACATGGGAGGAAGGCCCAAGAAGAAACATTAGCTGCGAGTTTCTTGAGCGGCCTAACCACTTCAACGCCCCATAGGGGGGCTCCAGGAGGGTGAGAGTAACCTCAGAAGCCCGGTCTCGGTGCCAAGGAATGCTCAGCACTCCTTGGGTGCTAATTGCAAAGTCAGGATCAGTATGCTGACCCCGCTGGAAGGAGGAAGGAGGAAGGAGTGACGGGTGCCAAAAAGGCTTTGCGGGAGAGATTCCCGAGACTTCCTCCAACCGACTCCAGATGGCTGCTCATCCCCCAGGCCGATTTACGGCTGAAGGGCTAAATTGAGACGCTGGGGGGGGGGGAGGTGGAGAGAGGCAGACACCTCAAGGAAGGAATGCTATGTGCCCCCCACACATACCCCTGAAGGCTTGGTTAGCTATGGGCCAACCTTTTAGAAAATGAAATAAAATCAAAATTCTGCATCACTAATGCATGCTCAGCAACAATAGTTGAATTCTGCACCCTGGGTATGTTATGCAAATGTGATTTGCACAATTTAATCTGTTTTGCATAACTTATTCTGATTTTTTTCAAAGCTACTATTGCATAATTACCCCCCTCCCATTTTCTAGTATAGTGAAGAAGTTGCAAGGAGCTATGTGAAGCGCTGCCCTCTGACATCTGGGACTCTTCAGGTTCAAACCCACCATTTCCCCAAGCATATCTTCACAGAACAATAAGGACTAGTAACTTTTTAAAACTTTTTTTAAAAAAAGTTCCAAGGAAGGTGAATCTTGCTCCTTCGTTGTCAGAGGCAGTGTGCTTCTGGATACCAGGTGTTGGAAACAGAAGGAGGGTATTATTTGTAGTTTCCAAGTCACCTTCAAAGGTAGCCCCATGTAGAGCACATTGCAGTAGTCCAAGTGGAACATAACCAGAGCATGTACCTCTGATGAGACAGTCTCAGCCGGTGTACCAGATGGAATGGGTAGACAGCTGCCCTGGACTCAGAAATGACCTACTCCTCCAAAATTACTCCCGGGCTGCACATCTGGTCATTTAGGGGTAGTGTTAACCCATTCAGAACCAGGGAATCCCCCCCCCCCCGCTTGTCTCTCCCCTGTCCCCTGGAAACAGTGTTTCTGTCTTGTCAGGATTCAACCTCAATCTGTTAGATGGTACCAGTGTCTTGACTAGTCCATCTAGCACTTTGTGTGCTCCTATTTAAATCAGCCTTTTTCTTGAAACGATAAGAACTAGAATCTTGCTTTATTTATAGCGGGAAAGACCATAATTCAGTGGCATGTCAAAACTCCCGGGTTCAAACTCTAGCATCTCATGGTAGGGGTGGGGAAGACTCCCGTGTGAAACCCCAGAAAACTGCTGCTAGGCATTACAATGAGTGTAACATAGCTTCCTATGTTGCTTCAATGGCTGCTAGCTCTGATGGCCGTGCCATTCTTCTGCACTCAGAGGCAGTAAGGCTTCTGACTGCCAGTCAGAGGGGGACTGGCTCCTGTGTGTGGGTCTTGCTTGTGGGTTACCCATTGAGACCATCTGGAAGGCCATTGTGATGGATGATGGACTATGTGGAACACTGGCCCAATCCAGTAGGTTCTTCTTATGATTCCAAGGCTGGAGGCCTAGACAGACGTTTGGTCTGATCCAACAGAACTTTTTACCTTCTCAGGTTCTTATTCACAATTCCATTCCCATCCTCAAGATACTGAATCCGGATTTTGAAACGGGAGTGTCACCCGGCTGTTTAAGTTATTTCGTGTTTCATTTTAGTCTTGCGCATGGAGACAGAAGTGGGATCAAGCCTGCGCCGTTCTTGTCTGCTGAACCGAAAACTCTCCTTATTAGTTCTCAGCCAGGAAAGGCCTGCAGAGTTTGATAAGGGCGCTTCTACACAACTCTTTCTGACTAGCAGGGTGGACAGCGTGCTCTAAAACCGGCTGCATTGCCTTGTTCCAAGGGAAACGGCATACAAATTAGAGCTGGATGTTCCCGCGGTGCCTTGACGCACCAGGCAAATGCCACTTGGTCAAATATGTGTAACCCACAGCCATAACTGGCAGCAAAGCCATCTGGAAACTAGAGTCTCAGATCTTCCATTGATCAGGGAAAGGGGGAGCAGGCTTGTAAGAGGGTGATGTATGTGTGTGCATGCGTGCGTGAGTGAGTGAGAAGAAAGACCTCACTGGAATGGAATGTTTCCCAGCCTTGCTTCATCTCCCAGTAAAAAACCCCAGATGCTGTTTTGCAAAGGTTGAGTTTGGCTCTCTTGTGCCCATATATGTACCTAGCTGTCCTTGCAGTCTTCAGGCCTAGGCTCCTAACTCCCCCCCCCCCTTCCTTTATGGTAGCAGATCTGCCAACATGCAGGAGTGGATGGGAAAGGTCAGAGGAATTAGTAAGGCCAAAAAGTTTTTTTAAAAAACTGTGTGTGTGTGATGGTTAGCACATCATGCTTTGGGAGAGTGTTCCGCTGAAGCCTGTTAGGGATGGGGAAGAAATTCAATTCAGTTCGCGTTTAAACACTGTAACTCGTGGGTGTCCAAGGAAGCTAAATGCTGGGAGATCTGGGACAGATAAAAGGAAGGGGCTTCTTCAAATGGCACTGGGATTTGCTTTCGAAGGAAGCAGTGATGGCTACCAACTTGGATGGCTTTAAAAGGGGATTGGAGAAACCCATGCCGGTGGCTACCAGCCACAATGGCTCGGCACTGCCTCCATGGTTGCTGCAAACTACCGCAGGGGAGAATGCTTTTGTGGCTCTGGGTTTCCCACAGCGTCTCTTCAGCCAATCTGAGAGCAGGATGCAGGACTCGGTGGGCCCTTGGCTGGATCCAGCAGGCCTTTCTTATGTTCTTAGGCTTTCCGGGCTGGTGGAGCTCGTGAATGGTAACCGTAGGAATGCTTTGAGGTCTACGACACGGCTGGGGGGCCACCCAGATGGGCTTCCAACTTGCTCCGGCCCCTATTTTTCCTTGGAAGCAAAACCCCATGGATTTCAGTGGCCAGCAGCATCAGGGTTGGCCAGTGTGAGGACAGGATGGACCGCCGGCCGGATCCGGCAGCTAGACACTTCTGAGGTGCATCTGCAGCACGCAGGCTTCACTGGGACGGGCCCTTCACTGGCAGGCGACCCCCATTGCTTTTCAACAGGCCTACAAAGGGGGCTGGGAGGGTTCTCGTGCCTCCCACCCTCCCTTGCAAAGGGGCCAGCCCCACTGGAGGAGCCCCCACTGCTTTTCCCCTTTGTTGGTGGGGCTGGCGGTGGGTGTGGCGGAGCGAATGGAGGAGGATGCTGAGGTTTTTCTCTCTCTTTTTTTTTAACCGAGACTGGCCTGGCGGCCTGCTCCCGTTGCCATGGCAACCCTGCAGCTGGAGTTAGAGCCGGGCAGGGAGGAGGCGGCGGCGGCCCCGCCTTCATCCGGGGCCCTCGGCGGCCGCGTGACGTCACCGAGAAGGCGGGAGGGGGCGCCGCCTCCCGGGTATTTCAGGGCGGGGCGCGGGGGCTGTCGGGAGCGGCGGCGGCGCGGACGGAGTGGAGAGCAGGGGCGGGCCGGGGCAGGAGAAGCAGGCAAGTCTGTGGCCATGGCCGGGGCGACCACCATCGAGGCGGTGAAGCGCAAGATCCAGGTGCTGCAGCAGCACGCCGACGAGGCCGACGAGCGAGCCGAGAGGCTGCAGAGGGAGGCGGAGGCCGAGCGCCGCGCCCGGGAGCAGGTAGGACGAGGGGGCGCCCCGGGGGGACGGGCGGGCCGGGGCCAGGGAGGGCAGCAGCTGCTACCCAGAACCCTCTGCGCTTGGCCATTCTCCCAGAACCCTCTGCGCTTGGCCAAAGTGGCTCTCAAGCCTTGCCCTGCCCTTAGCTGCTTTAGGCCACCAGCAGGATTAATTCGGAGGCCCGTCTCGGCCCAACTGAGTTCTCCTCAGAGAGGACCCCACTGAAATTTAGCCATGCTCCTTCTCCATCAATGGTTCTTCTTCGAGTAAGGGACGCGGGTGGTGCTGTGGGTTAAACCACAGAGCCTAGGACTTGCCGATCAGAAGGTCGGCGGTTTGAATCCCCGCGACGGGGTGAGCTCCTGTTGCTCGGTCCCTGCTCCTGCCAACCTAGCAGTTCGAAAGCACGTCAAAGCACAAGTAGATAAATAGGTACCACTCCGGCGGGAAGGTAAACGGTGTTTCTGTGCGCTGCTGTGGTTCACCAGAAGCGGCTTAGTCATGCTGGCCACATGATCCAGAAGCTATCTGCAGACAAACACCGGCTCCCTCGGCCTATAGAGCGAGATGAGCGCACAACCCCAGAGTCGTCCGCAACGGGACCTAATGGTCAGGGGTACCTTTACCTTTAAGGCATCGGGCTTGGACTCCAGGTTTCCCACGGTGGGGCATCTGGAGACCCTGTAAGGGTTGGGCTTGAGTACCAGTTGTCTGCCGGGCCTCATCCTCTAGGGGTAGGCTGGCTGCTCCTACACATGGGTGCTCTGTTTGGGGAACATCGGAAGCTGCCTCCTACTGAGCCATTGGTCCATCTAGCTCAGTGTTGTCTACACCGAAGGGTGGCAGATTTCAGGCAGGGAGTCTTTTGTGACATTACCTGGAGGTGCCTGTTGAGGATTGAACCTGGGACCTTATGCACGCAAGGCGGATGCTCTGCCACTGATCCACGGCTCTGCTCGTAAGAAGATCTGTTCTGGATTGGGCCAAGGGTCCATTTAACTCTGCATCCTTCCCACCCACCCATCTTGCCTCTGCCGCTCCTCATCAGATGCTTTGCAGGAAGCTCCCAAGCCCTCTCCTACATGTGAACCCCCAAAAGCCTTATGCACAAGCCTACTGCGTCTGATCCTGGAGCTGGCACATAGTCAGTATGGCTAGTGGCTATTGCTAGCCTTATTCTTCATGAACTCATCTATTTTTGTTTCCAAGTTGGTGGGCGTCGCTTCATCTTGTGGCAGCAGATTTCCTACTGAGCGAAGGAACTCCTTCATTTGGGCTGTCCTGAATCTCTCCAGCTTCATTGACTGATACTCACTCCCCAGATTCTAGGATTAGTTTTCTTCCCTATCCATTTTCTCCACACCACGTATGTAGTCTTATGCACCTCTGCCATACACCCCTCCTTTAAAAGCCCCAGATGTTTTAGTCTTTCCTCACATAGGGAAGTAGCTCAGTGGTCTTGCCAGGAAACTAAAATGGAGCCATCACACGTATGAAAGCCTGAGAAGAGCTTTTGTTGGGCCACTCCAGAGAGATCCCATCATCCAGCTGTGGCCCTTGCAGGTTGCCTCTGGGGAGCCCTTAAGTGAGGGGTTGATGAAGGCAAGAGTTCCTTTCCTGTTTGTTTGTTTTTAATCCCCTAGCGACTGGTGTTTTTGAAAATTTCTTGGTGGTATTCTGCCTTGAAACGTGGGAGGCTCCTATTTAACCATTGCGGCTGTAAGCTGTGCAGCTTAAGATTCTCACTGGATTGGGTAGAAAGTCTAGCATCCAAACAGTGGTATGGTCCCCTGTCTTCTTCCCTCTTGGTCTCTAATTAGCTGCTTCTAGAAGCCCCTTACCAAGGAGGAAGGTGATGCATGTTTACTGCTCCCTGAACACTAGGCAGCCTGTGACTATCAGAACATACAGCCTGCTGGATCCGGCCAGGGGCCCATCTGCCCCAGTATCTTGCCTTCTCAGTGGTCAACCAGATGCCTGTGGGACGCCCGCAAACAGCCCCTGAGCACAAGAGCCACTCTCCCCTCCTGTGGTTTCCACCAAGTGGTTTTCAGAAGCATTACTGCCTTCCAAGTGTGCAGGCAGAGCATAGCCGTTGTGTTTAGTAGCCATCAACAGCCCTGTCCTCTGTGAATGTGCCTAATCCTCTTTTAAAGCAGTCTAGGTTGGTGGCCGGCGCTGCCTCCTGTAGGAGCGGGCTCCATAGTTTTAACTATGTACTGCCATGGTGGTTACATTCTTGGTCATCGTCTTTCTCAAGAACATAAGGACTGTTGTGTCTCATCAGAGCACAGTCCCAACTGGAAAGGTCACAAATGAATGGTGAAGGTGATGGCAACCGCCCCCCCCCACATTGCTCATTTTCAGCCTTTTGGTGTTCGGAAATAAACTGCTTTTGAGCTTGGAGGCTCTGTATGGAGCTGTCCTGCCTCTTTCTTCCAGAAGAACCATACTGGATTAGGCCGAGGCTCCATCCTACCCAGCGTCTCGTTTCCTGCGATGGACGCTGGATAGATCCCTCCAGGCAATTCAGAGAAGGCCACTGCCTTCCTTTTGTTTTGTTCCTGGTGCCTGATATTCAGGGGTAGACTGCCTCTGCACCTGGAGGTTCTGTTTTGCTGTAGGGCAGCTCTTCCCTCTCTTCCTCTCTGTCGCTCTGATGTATAGTGCAAAGGTATACTAGGAAGCCCCGAAGCAGGGCGTGGCAACAACATCCCCCTCTCATTCTCCCAAGCAAGGAACAATGAGCGCTCTTTTATTAAAAAGCTTGCGATATTACATCTTGTTGTGAACCCAGTGCCTTTTAATTATATCGTGCGTGAAGATCAGAGGCTGCAAAATGCCTAGGTTTGCAGGGGAGGAGTTGGGTGCTCTCGGCCAGATGGACAGAGCAGCTCCAGGAGAGAATTGTATGTGAATTCAGGCCAATGGTGCCCAGCGTCAACCTTGCTGAGCATAAGGGTGGGCCCACAACTTGGCAGCAGAGCTCTTGCTTTGCTCTTCCTCCATGGTATCTGAATACCAATTTCTGGAAACCACAAGAACGGGGAGGGCCCTTGTGATCTGGTCTTGGCTGCAGGTTTCCCCACAGGCATCTAGGCAGCGTCTGCAAGAACAGGATGCTGAACTAAATGGGGCTTTGGCCCTGATCCAGCAGGCTCTTATGTGGTTGGAATCCTGGCGTTTCCAGTTGAAAAGCACTAGGGAGCAGAGGCTGGGGAAGACTTTTGAGTGCGGGAAACTCCAGAGTGCTGTTGCAAGGCACCCAGTTCTATATAAGGCAGAGACTTTGAAACAGGAACATAAAGTCACCTCGTCCTTTCTTATTCTGGGAGCCTTGAATGGGCAGTAGATTATGGATGAGGAACCTCTGGCCTGTCCTCTTGGTGCTCCAGTGCCACGCCCCTGTCCAGTCTGATCTGGTGACCCTCCCTGGCTGCTTTACCCTGCTGAAAATGTGTCCTTAAATGGTGATCGTTCTTGTTGGCTTGGTTGGAGAGAGATGTATAGGTGCGTGTTTAGAAACCTCTCAATTTTGTGTGCAAAGCTGCCCATTTTGACCCGTTGCCCTGGCCACTACTGGTGTGTGGTCCCTGGAAGACTGCCCATGTGGGGATATGGCCCTTGGGCTCAGAAATGCACCCCCCTGCAAATAGGAACCAGAAGAGACCGCAAGTCCTATCCTTAGTGGGGCATAGGTTTGGTGGGGAATAATGTGTGGTGCAAACCAGTGAGGAATTCTGGGTAGATGCTGGGGTGTGTCTGTGTTTTTTCCATAGTGTGTGATCTTTCTTTTTGAGTGCCTAAATGCATTACTCGAGATAGCTATCAATAATAGAATACAAGAAAGTACACCCCCCCCAAAAAACCTCAATTATTATCAGAGGGCTGTAGACCTATTGGAAAGAATGAGCTCTAGGTAGTCATGTTCATTCACTTGAATGGGTCTACTCTTAGTAGGGTTGGCATGGAATACAATCCATGGACACGTGGGGCAGATAAAAGGCCTCCCGTCTTTTTTCCTTCTTTAAACACCTTCCTGTTTATGCAGACATTTGATTTTAAGTTGGGTTTTTTTTAATCAAGCAACCCACACTACCCATAAATGGATATGAAAATACAGAGTGGAAAGAGACAAGCCGTTGCTTAGAGGCTTACACAGCAATGTCGAGGGATAGTCTTTGTTAAGTTCTGTATCAATATTTGCTTTCCTTCCCCATTCCTGAGTTTGCCTGCAGGGCAGAACATCAGTAGCCAGTTTGGGGGCGGGGAGGCAGGGGGTTGCAGGGGGAAATACTAGGGCTGGCCTAGGGCAAGGCTTCCTGATGGCACGATGTGGGAGGGTGGGCTGTAATCAGGGCTGCTCCCCTTTTGTGCTTCAGCTTCGTGAGTCTTGGATAAAGGGCCTCTGAGAGTGAGGCCAAGGGGTCTCTCCACCATAGATCTCCTTTGAAAGGCGTTTCCCGGAAAGCCGCCTCCAAGAGGGACCTCCTGGACGCAGTGGGGTGGCCCTTCTGCTTCCTGCTCAGGAAATGAGGCAGTTTAGGCTGGTGCGGGGAGAGGCAGGCTTCGCCCACGGCCTGCCCTGCTGGAGGGAATTGTGATCGCTGGTAAAAGCTGGGCAGCGCACGGGATCTTGCAGAGATAGCTTATCCAGACCTGCGCCACAGCCCCGCCCCCTGCTCTGACATAGATTGATCCAGTCGCAGAACTCCCCCGTGGTGTGTAGTTCAGCCCTTCACCCAGCCTGGCACCCCTCCAGGCATTGTGGACTCCAACTCCCAGCAGCCCCAGCAGCAGCCATTATGGGCAGTGATGGCCAGAGCCATGGCTGATTCTTTTCTTCAGTTTCCTTGGACGCAAACCCTGCTAGGTTCAGTGGGTGCAGCTCTAGATGTTTTGGACTTTGCCCTGGCCAGCATGGCTGTGCTGGCTTGGGGCTGATGGGACTTGTAGTCCAAAACATGACAAGGGGCGTTAGGTTGGTGAAAGCTACCATAATAGGTGGCTGAAGAATCTGGTTGCCTTTCTGGAGTGGGGTGCTTCTAGAACACAATATCAAGGCTGACCAGCTTTGTGTCCCTTGAATCCAAAAGCAAGGGGTCAACTTCCCCAGGCAATCTCTGCTTTGCCTTTGTGATGGTGGGTGGAGGCTGCAATGGGTGAGTATTCTCTAGGGGGTCCCTCCACACTCAGGGGTGTGTGTATTGTGCAACTTGTCGTCGATGCTGCAGTAGTGCAATAGTGGTGGATTTACACCGAACCTCCCCAGAAGTCATTCTGCTGTATTGGTAGTCCTGCAATGCTTCCCCAATGTTGCTGTGTTCTTGTCATCTGGAGGGGTGCAAGAAAAGTGGGAATCTCCCCCCCAAAAAAGTAATAGAATTGTAGAGTTGGAAGGGGTGTCTAGTCCAACGCCCCACAATCCCTGGAGCAGTCAGAATTTAGAGTTGAACGGATCATGACGCTCATTCAATTCTTTGCAGTGCAGGAATATTTAGCCCGATGTGGGGCTCGAACCCATGAGCCATACTAACAGAGCTATCCCAGTCCCAGCTGTGGCATGAAAAGTTACAGGGTTTCAGCAGGAAGCCATGATACGTGTCCCAATTGGAAATGAAGCAGTGCGTCTGCCCCTGAATTTTTGCGCATGCAAAACAGTATTGAAAGGCCCCTAGATATTTCATTGGGAGCAGAGGGGCTGCAAACCCAGCCCTAACTCTAACTTGACCTCTCTTGAGGAACGAAAGAAGGCTCTGTGGGAGCTTCTGGTGAGCTTTCCTTCCCTCTCCCCCTTTTCCTTGAAAATGTAGATCACCCAAAGACGCAGATATTGGCTTGTTGGGATGAACTAGATATAAATCATTGGGTGATCTGTGTAGTTTTGCACCACAGGCCTGGGAGCCTTGGTTTTGCTCTGGGCCACAGCTGGCTGCTTTTGTTGGCTGATAGGGCAGCAAATGGCTGTGCTGGCTGGTACCATAGCCTGCCTTGTCTCTTTGTCAGGGCTGCTGTACAGGAAACCAGATACTGCTCACAGCTGGTTTCTAACACCAGATTATCTTCAAGGGTGCTTAGGTATTGGATCTAAAGTGCATCTGTCTTGTAGCATGAGACTCCCTTAATTGCCTGCCCATCCCCTTTATCACAGGCAATAATTTTTCTTCATGCTGGCTGCTTCCCTGTTGAATTTATTCGTTCTTGCTGCTTGCTTGCTTGCATGCTCACTTCCCTTTTTTTTTAATAAGCTCAGATAAGTGCGAATGTATTTTGCAGAACCCAGTTTCCGCCTGCCTGGGAGCAATAAGGAAACAGATAGGGAACTGAATCTTTATCACTCTACTGTAAAAAACTCCTTCTGAGGCATCGCTGGTCTGGCTTCAAAACACTGAGGGCAAGGAGCCTTGAGTTTAAAAAGTACAAATCTTGGTAGCTGATGGAATTCAGTCAGTGTATGCTTAGTGTGAAGAAATCTTTCTCTAGCTGACACTTGTGACAAGAGGATGTCCTCCGTTTTGAAAATGTCGAAAGTCAGGCAAGGTCGGACATTTGTTGGCGTGGGAGATAAGGCGATCTGTTAAGTGCTGCCATTGAAGTGAACAGGCCCAGGTTAGTCACGCCCATCAGTTTCAATGGATCTGCTTGGAGTGTAATGCCGGACATGCAACCATGTCTATAATAAAATCAACTCTAGTGACTGTAGCTACAGAAGGATATGCAGATGTTTATAAACAGCTGGATCTTAGTAACTCAAGACTCCAAGAAAGAGCTTAGGATCTCTGAAAGGAATTGACTGTATTTCTGTTGCCTGGAAGTGGCTCCTTTAGAGCATGCTTGGGTTGTATTTTAAATATTTTAATATCCCTAAATTGGGTGACACAAATGCTTTTCAAATTAGAATTGATAAAAGAATCCATTTTCGATTTGTGATATTAACATCTCGGCCCCTTTTCGCAGATAACTGTGTAGTGTATGTTGTTGTTGTTGTTTAGTCGTTTAGTCGTGTCCGACTCTTCGTGACCCCATGGACCAGAGAACGCCAGGCACCTCTGTCCTCCACTGCCTCCCGCAGTTTGGTCAAACTCATGCTGGTAACCTCGAAAACACTATCCAACCATCTCGTCCTCTGTCGCCCCCTTCTCCTTGTGCCCTCCATCTTTCCCAACATCAGGGTCTTCTCCAGGGAGTCTTCTCTTCTCATGAGGTGGCCAAAGTACTGGAGCCTCAGCTTCACGATCTGTCCTTCCAGTGAGCACTCAGGGCTGATTTCCTTCAGGTGTAGTGTATATTGACGTGCAAATAAAAATCTGGGGTTTTGGGGTGTTTTTTTAAAGGCTATCAATAGCTACTAGTCACGATGAATGTTTGCTGCTTCCAGGATTAAAGGCAGCATGACTCCAAATACCAGTTGCTGGGAAACGAAGGCAGGAGGGGGGGGGTTATTGCCTTTATATCCTGCTTTGTGGACTTCCTGAATAAATCAGGCCGCTCTGGGGGAGCCAGGATGCTGGAATAGATGGGCTTCCTGCCTCATTCCGAAGGGCCTCTTCCTATGTACTTCACATTCTTACGCCCTTTGGACCAGAAAGAAGGTAGCGTGAGGTTCTCAGGCTTGGTCCATTTTTTAAGGTAATAGAATATGGTCCCATCTGCACTGTACATTTAATTTATTTTGTAAAATCTATATGCCACTTGATTGTAAAACAAAAAACAAAAACACCCTTAAAGCTATACATTTTAAGCAGGATGATACCACTTTGAGCAGAAGAAGAAGAGGAGTTTGGATTTGATATCCCGCCTTTCACTCCCTTTAAGGAGTCTCAGAGCGGCTAACATTCTCCTTTCCCTTCCTCCCCCACAACAAACACTCTGTGAGGTGAGTGGGGCTGAGAGACTGCAGAGAAGTGTGACTGGCCCAAGGTCACCCAGCAGCTGCACGTAGAGGAGCGGAGATGCGAACCCGGTTCCCCAGATTACGAGACTACCGCTCTTAACCACTACACCACACTGGCTCTCATGCAGCAGTCATGGCTTTCCCCAAAGAATGCAGGGAGTTTTGTAGTTTAAGGATGCTGAGAGTTGCTAGGAAAGTCTCCTTATTCCCCTCCCAGAGCTGCAATTCCCAGAGTGGTTTAACAGCCAAACCCTCTTCCCAGGGACTATGGGAAGTGTAGTTCTGTGATGTGAGCAGGGGGGGATCCCCTATCAACTCTCAGCACACTTAAACTACGGTTCCCAGGATTCTTGGGGGGAAGCCACGGCCGTTTTAAAGCAGTATCACGCCACTTTATCGGGGGCAGATGGAGTCTACGTCAGCAAGCTCAGTAAACATCTCGAGTCTTGCGTTGGCACCTTAGGCAAAACCCTGGGAGGTAGATGAGTAGCCACTTTTGAAATAAAAACACGGCTGTTAGGTGGAGACTCCCGTTGACTTTCAGAAGCCCTTCGCTTCTCTAGTCGCCTTTCTGAGCCTCACGTGAAAACTCTTCCAAGTGCCCATAGGGACTAGAAACCTAAAAAAAAAAGTTTAAATAGCGGCTGAGCTCATTTGGCATATTCTTCCCCTCTGTATATTTTTGGTGTTTCTGGGTGTGGGGTAGGTGGCAGCTGGAAACCAGATACCTTGCAAATGGATGCTGGTGCTTGGCTTTTCACCCGGGGCTACCTTAGAAACTGCTGTGGTAGGGCTGTTGTTGTTTTGGAATTGCAAGTCCCCGTTCCAGTTTGGAACAGGACTCTCAAGTTTCAAGCTCCTGCTTCAGTTGCTGTAACTGCAGCTTGTGTCGGCTGGGGCTTATAGGACTTGCAGTCCATAACATCTTATTTTTGGGGTGGGGGTGGCACCTGGCTGGCCAAGGCTGAGCTTCCGCCCTAAAATCTCCATCTCACCATCTGCTTGTGTCCATGCGATGCCTCGTTAATCGACTCTTGATCCTTGGCTTGCTGGCTAATTCATTGCAAGGATTGCTGAGCTAACTGGTCTGGATTAACATCCGAGGCTTTAATACCCTTAAGAAAAAATCCTCCCTATAAGTTTTTTTACCTCCAAGTTCTTAACTTGCTGAAGCTGGCACAGAGGCCTTTCTGTTCTCAAGTTGACTTCCCTCTTAGCGGATAAAAGTGTGAAATCCCCCCCAAAAAGGTGGCTTTTAAACCACTTGGCACCCTCCAAAACAACTAGGTAGTAAATGCATATAATCCATCTCTTTTTCTCTTTCCCCCTCACCTCCCACTGGCTTCCTGGTCTGGGATGAGTCGCCTTGCTGGAAAAGTAACTTGTCAGCAGGTCTGTAGCCAAGAGTGAAGATTTATGGCATCTGAACAAGGGAGACAGCTAGTCTGGGGAAGGAGGCAGCTATCTGGCCATTTGCACCCCACCCCCACCAGCCAGCCTTTCAAGCTAGCTGAGAGCAGCCCGGTTGTAGAGCAGCCTGGTCACTGGGAGATGCCTAACTTTGGCGAAACGACCGCAGGGGAGAGCCAAGGTTTGGCAGAAGAGCACATAAATCTCCCGCGGGGTACGATACGGCCTTGTTTATGAGTCTCCCCTTGTTTGTGGCTGCCAGTTCTGTTTGCAGGCCCAATTCAAGGTGCCCAATATTAGTGTTTGGGGCCCCAAATATCTGAAAGACTGCCTTTTTACCTACAGACCCTCCCACATGCTAAGCTCTGCAAAGGGAACCCTCTTGGTGGTTCCGTGAACCTCAGACGATTGGGTGGTACAGTAGAGAGCCTTCACTGTAGTGGCCCCTAAGTTGTGGAATTCCCTCTTCCCTGTGGAACCAACTTTTGGCGAATGCTGAAGACGTACCTCTTTATCCTCATGTCTGAGATGTGTTTTCAGGGCCTTCCTGTGACTGTACTATGCTTTTAATTCAGTTTTTTAACTTTTTAAAAATGTGATTTTTAAATTGTTATAGCATGCCCTGGGACAGCCTGGTGAAGGGCAGGTAATAAATTTGATGATGATAGCACTCCAGAGCTGCAGAGTGAGTGGGGCATCCCTGACAGAATGTGGCAAGAACCCTGATGAATCAAAGCCACAGGTCCTTCTAGTCTCACATCCTCTGTTCCCAGGCCATCAGTGTTCGAAATTAGTCAGGCACATTTTGCACCTAGCTATCAGCAACTTGCGACCAAGTGAAGATGCCCAGGCACCAGAATGGCACCTGACATCTCCCCCATCTGGAGGTGCATCCCTGGGAATCACTGGATCTTGACTGTTTTTGCATGCTAGTAACACATCCTGCAGAATTCTATCAGTTATATTTTATTTGCACAATCAGAATGAATTTCAGGAACCAAAATGCTTTTTCTGTGCAGCCTAAGCAGGAGCAGTGAACAACCTTATAACTAATTAGAGCTTGTCTTCACCCCTCTGCCCTGCTCACAGTTGTGAAGAATATCCCTACGTTATGAATGGTCCGTGTCACCATTAAGAAAAAGAGGTCGGAATAGGCCTATATATATGTGGACTGTCCCTGGATCAAGGGGCTTTTCTTCTTCAAGTTCTCTAAACTCTTAACCTAGATTATGGTTGTCATCTGAACTAGCCAGATGTTTAACTGAGAATCAATCCGTCAGTCCAACATTTGAAAAACAAGACTTTAGAGCCGTCTTATCCCCAAAATGGCAACTAGACACTCCGTTTTTGGCGACTGTAACCCTGGTTTAAGGAGCCATTTGGCACCTAGCTTATATATCTGAGTTGCAGGCCTTCCATTCATGCTTTTAGAAAGGCCACAAACAGACCCAATAGCTTCCTAGCATTCAGTGGTACACTTCCTTCTTCTGTGGAGGTTTTGTTTTGCCGTCGTGGCAGGCAAGCTGTCAAGCATTCATGAGCTGGCCTGATTCCCTCTTTGAAGAGGCAGGATCTCTCTCCATATCTTGCGACAGCGAACTGGTAACTTAGGTCTGCAAATGTGCTTATAGCCAGATGCTTTGAATTTTATGCAGAGCAGAAATCGCTTGGAAAAAGAAACTCAGATATATAAGATAATCTCCAAATGGCACCTTAAACTTGGGTTACAGGCACCGCAAAGGAATGTCCCTGGCGCCATTTTATTTTTAAATGGAATGTAATATTATTTTTCGTTTCTATACTGCTTTATATTTTCTCTGAGTGAAAAGTACGGGGTTCCCTAATCCTCCAGAGTGTCGATAAAGATCTCAAAGAAACGCTTGCCAAATAACGCTGTGCACACCCCTTTTAATTGACCGCCAACGAAGAGGGATCCTTTGAGATGGGCGAGTGAGCAGAGGGGCCTGCTAAGTGACCCGGCTTCGTGGTGGATCCCAGATGGAAGCTGATGGATTTTTTTTTGGGGGGGGACCGTGGAGTAGAGGGGGACAGCACATCGATGTGGGTGGGAAACTCTCAAGAATTTTCTTTGACCCACCCAGATCACCCACGTTGTCGTTCCTCGGAGTTTCTGGCCTTCAGACGCAGCTGGGCGTCAGAGAGGCATCTGGTCTTGCGGCACTTGAAAGCTCTGCTGAATCTGATCGCAGACAGTCCTGTTCTCAAGCAATCAGGTCCTGGGTTCTGCCTTCTCGCCCCCTCCTGCGTCGCTGAGGCTCGTGGGCATTGCACTGACCTGTGGCTGCATGCAGGCTTGTTGCGATAATAATCTGAAGAGCCCCAAGGCAGAATTGTCCTGCGTCTCCATTCTGGCCACTTGAAGCAAGCGGAGGGTGTTGCACAGATGTTGTGTGCTGGAAACTCAATAGCTGGGGCTGTTGCCCAAATGCTGAACTTTTTTTAAAAAAAACAATCTAAATTCCACAACTTAGGCTGCATATACTCCATACACTTGCCTTCTCCCATAGAATCCTGGGAACTGTAGTTCTTGGAGGATTCTGGGAATTGCAACCCTGTGAGGAGTAAACTACACTTCCCAAGATTCTTCAGAAGCACCCTGTGCCCTAAACATTTGATGTGTATGCAGCCCTGATTAAACCTAAGCTGCCTTTCATGAATGATCAAGTTTTTGCAAGGCCTCTCCCATAACCCGTTAGTTCAGCCTTTCTCAACCTGTGGGTCCCCAGATGTTGTTGAATTACAACTCCCATCACCCCTAGCTAGCAAGGCCAGAGCTCAGGGATGATGGGAGTTGTAGTCCAACAACATCTGGGGACCCACAGGTTGAGAACCACTGCGTTAGTTGCTTTTATTCAACCTCCCTCTTGAATTGAGCACTTGCTCCTTGAATACAGTGGTGCCTCACAAGACGAAATTAATCCGTTCCGCGAGAGTCTTCGTCTAGCGGTTTTTTCGTCTTGCGAAGCAACCCTATTAGCGGCTTAACGGATTAGCGCTATTAGCGGTTTAGCGGCTATTAAAGGCTTAAAGGCTTAGGGGATTAGCTGCTAAAAGGCTATTAAAGGCTATTAAAGGCTTAGCAGATTAGATAAAGGGGGGGAAAAGCGAAAAAAAAATCTCTAGACTCGCAAGACATTTTCGTCTTGCGAAGCAAGCCCATAGGGGAATTCGTCCTGCGAAGCAACTCAAAAACGGAAAACCCTTTCGTCTAGCGGGTTTTCCGTCTTGCGAGGCATTCGTCTTGCGGGGCACCACTGTATTTCCGCCGCAGAATGTATCTGTGGTGCTGAGGGCTAGAAGCTCAATTACTGAAAACAGCCGCCAGTAACTTAAGTTCTAACACTGATGATAAGGCAGCCACATATGTCTAGGATGGGGTTGAGAAACCTCAGCATCCCTGACAATTGGCCATTCTGGCTGAGGTGAGTTGAAGGTTCCCTTGGAGTGTGAAGCCTGGGGTACCCTAATCCGCCAGAGTCCATAAAGGAAGACCTCAAAGAAACTTTTCCCAAATAATGTTGTGCACTGCGATCCTTGGTGACTGGAGGGCCCTTTTAATTGACCACCAACAAAGAGGCAATCAGCAAGTCTTTCTTTATACTTTGGGATCTTGTCCTGGTCGCTTGCCTTTTGGGGCTGGGGATAGTGGGGAAGGGGGAGTCTTTTTCTTGGTTTGATAACCACACTGCTATTGAGCACCCACAGGCAGGCTGAGCTCGCTTTCTGCCTTGTGCAGTGAGCGAAACTGAGTGCAGTGCAGACATGTGGTGGAAGAGGGCCTGAGTGGTGGAGGGTGAGAAAGTCAAAGCAGATCCCAGGGAGGAGGGCGGCATCGAAAGAGAGCCCCCGAGTGACACAGCCCTGTGTCTGTGACTGGCACCCTGGTACAGAAGCGCTCAGGCGGACTGTGGGGCCCTGTTCGAACATCTGTGCCACTTTAAGTTCCTCCATGACCTCAGCTCAAAGCTATGTGCACCAAAATGGAGTCTCCTCATCTAGGATTGAGATGTGGTTTGCACACCCTCTCTCCCACTGCTCTCCCTCTGTCTCTCTCTCTCTTGCTTTGGTCTGTGACGTTTGTGGGTTTTGTGGACACAGCCCGGCCATATTAATCTCTCAAAACTCCTCCAGGCTACTCCATCTAAGGACACTCTGAAGATGAAAGCCTTTGGGTGAAGCCTGGGGAGAGGAGCAATCCTATGCACAGATATGCCGAGTGAACATATAGCAAATTTGCTGTGTGGATTGTGGGGGAAAACATTTCTTTTGTTGACTTTGCTGTTTGGGTTGCATTTTGGGGGGCGAGGTGGGGGAAGAGAAGTTTTAACTTTGGTACCGAGAGTCCAGGCGTGTATAAATAGAACGCTATCTGCCATTCCAAAATAGGGAGCGATCCGATTGATGGCAAATTAACGCTCCGAAACAAAGCCGGCATTCTAATCCAAGCTTGGCAAGGGCTGTTTGGATGGTCGCTTGGGGCACTCCTGCAAAATCTCTAGGCGACTACCTAAGGGAGTCCCCCCCCCCATTCCTGAAATTGGGGGCGCTTCTCTTTCAGGTCTATTAGGGAATGCAGGCGGTGGGGAATTTAGGGGCCTGGAGGCCAAATCTTCCCCTCCAGATTAGGACTGGGCAATATGTGGTTTTCAGCATCACAATATATCGCCAGCTGAACATTACACTGATACATAACGATGTCTGAAAAAAGGATGGATCTATGTAGAGGCGTTGGCTGGCTTTACAGTTTTTCCCACATTGTAATTTTTGCATAGCTCACATCCTGATTCGCTCAGTGTTGCCAGGTCAAAAACTATGTGACCAATACCGCGATATGGACTTCAAAGCAGTTTTGGACAATATATGGATATATCGCCCAGCCCTACTCCAGATCTCTGTCCCATAGGACTCTCTCTCAGGCCACACCCCTTGCCAGCTCCACTATGCACAGTCCTTGAGTATTTTTACCTGCCTGGAATGTGTCCCTGAGTGCTGATAATGCCTCTTCCTTTCCTGGATGGAGAGTGAGAAAGGGGCGTGCGTAGAAGCCAGCCAGCTGTAGAAAGGTAAAGCCTTGGTTCCACTGCCCATGTTGGCCTCTGGCCTGGTTCACATGGCCCCTGGAAGGTGGCCTAGGACAGAATGTGGCCCTCGGTAAATGGATCCCCCAATTTGATCCCTTCCAGGTATTTATGGACTCCCAACTCCCCATTGCCTCTCACCCTCAGCCGGGTCTGATGGGCCTTTTCCAGCATCATTTGGAGAACTCCAGAGTTTGGAGAGTTGTCTCCCTCTTGCCGTATGTCTTCCGTTGATAACCCTATTTTTGTGAGTTGCCCGGGGCAGTGTACATGGTCTTCCCCTTCCATTTCATCTTCACAGCAGCCCTGTGGTGTAAGCCAGGCTGAGAGAGATCAGCTCCCCCAGCGAGATGTTTGTAGCAGAGTTTGGATTTTAATCCCTCCTAGGTTTGACACGGGACGCGGGTGGCGCTGTGGGTTAAACCACACAGCCTAGGACTTGCCAATCAGAAGGTTGGCGGTTCGAATCCCCGCGATGGTCCCTGCTCCGGCCAACCTAGCAGTTCGAAAGCACGTCAAAGTGCAAGTAGATAAATAGGCACCGCTCTGGCGGGAAGGTAAACGGCGTTTCTGTGCGCTGCTCTGATTTGCCAGAAGTGGCTTAGTCATGCTGGCCGCGTGACCCTCGGCCAATAAAGAGAGATGAGCGCTGCAACCCCAGAGTCGTCCGCGACCGGACCTAATGGTCCTTTACCTTTGGGTTTGACACTTTTTTAAAAAATGCTCCACAATGCAAGGGAGGTTGGAGAGGATAATTGGGGAAGGGTCCTCTTGTCCTCAGGCACTGGACAAGACCACCTTGTCGGTTCAAAATCTGGGGGAATGGGGATTGCATGGCGATGCAGCGGGAGGGATGGTGGAGAAGAGCAAGGCGTGGAGTCAAGCATTCCCCTCCCTGGCTCCGCAAACAGAAGGCCGCAGGGCATGAGCCTGCTTTCCTTTGTGCTGACAAGGGCTTGTTTGGCAGAAGGAGTTAGCTTTTCCTGATCTCTTGGCGCTGGGCCTCCTTGAGTGCCTTAAGCTCTCCTCCCCCTTTCTTGTTTGGCTCCAGGGCAGCCCTGGCCCTGTTCCCACGCCTGCCTGGCTGCCCCGGACACTTCTTTTCCCATCAGCTTCTTAATCTTCTGTCTGGCTCTTGTCCCCGGGATCCCGGGGGGGCGGGGGTGGCACTTGACAAAGGGGGCCTGGACGGGTCTGCAGGAAGTGACATCGCAGTTGCTGGCAGTGGGGGAGCTCCGTGGAGAATTCCCAGGTTTCCCGTCCAGCCTGCAAGGAGTGGTCCTAAAGGCTGCCAGTACAGCATTGATTGTGGCTGCCCGATGCCTGGTACATTGGGCTTGACGCCAGAGAGAGGGTTGCAAGATTTGGGGCTCTTTAGTTTTGTGAAGAAGCGCTGGGAGAGCGTGGTAGGGTAATGCAAAAGAGAAGCTTTCCTCCCTCTCTCTCAATAAATTTAATAAATAATAAGATAAATAGTAATGCAGGCAACTCCCAATTTATATGGGGGTTATGTGCTGAGGCCTCGTGCATTTAAGCGAAATTGCGTATGCAGTGGTACCTCTGGTTGTGAACGGGATCCGTTCCGGAGGCCCGTTCGCAACCTGAAAAGAATGCAACCCACATGCACGGGTCGCGATTCACCGCTTCTGCGTATGCGCACGACGTCATTTTGTGTGTCTGCGCATGCGCGAGCGGTGTTACCCGGAAGTAACCCTTTCCGGTACTTCCGGGTCGCAACCTAAAAACGTGCAACCTGAAGCAAACGTAACATGAGGTATGACTGTATTTGAAACACTGTTGGAAAAGTCTGCAAATACCCTCTTAAACCTCCGGAAGTCCTTGAAAACCCCTATTAAAAAACCAGCAGCACTTACCAGACCCCAAACTACAACAGAGTCTTCCCCTCTCAGCCCCCTTCCTCAGACTCCAGCTTTCCACAGGCCTCAATGGTTGGTGGAAGGGCTTCTGGGATTGCACTTGCAAAGGCTCGCAGGATTGCCTTTTTGCCCTCCCTGTGCTCTTTTTGCTATTTTTAAAGTCACTTAGGGTTTGGCGCGTGGTTGCGTTTCAATGGGAATGTGCGTAAATTGGCCGTTGCCTGCGCTAGAACTTGAGGTTATTCAAAGAAGCCGAACTCTGGAAGATTTGGGGACAGACAAGAAGGAAGCATTTCTTTGCAGGGCGCTACGGGATTCCCTCGCGCAAGAGGTAGCAATCGCTGCCAACTTGGACGGCTTTTGAAAGAGGCTTAGATGAAATTCATGGCTGCCACAATGGCCATGTTTCTCCTTCCATTGTTGAAAGCAGTAAGCCTCTGAATACCAGTAGCTGGGAATCGCAAGCAGGGAAGTCGCTGCTGTTCTCAGGTCTGGTTTTGGGGAGGCTTCCTACAGATGGCAGGTTGGCCACGGTGAGAACAGGATGCTGGCAAGGGGTTTGGGCTAGATGACCCTTCCGGGCCCCTTCCAACTCTACAATTCTATGATTCTATGACTAGGTGGGACAATGGTCTGAACCAGCAGGGCTCCTCTTATGTGCTTGTGGCAGCAGTAGAACGGCACTTGTGACGTTGCGCATAGGCTCAGGTCCAGTGGGGGACCAGCGGTGGTGCAGGGGTTAGGATAGGGGTCAGCAAACTTTTTCAGCAGGGGGCTGATCCATTGTGCCTCAGACCTTGTGGGGGGCCGGACTATATTTTTGGGGAAAAAATGAATGAATTCCTATGCCCCACAAATAACCCAGAGATGCATTTTAAATAAAAGCACACAGTCTACTCATGTAAAAACACGCTGATTCCCGGACCGGATTTAGAAGGCGATTGGGCCGCATCCGGCCCCTGGGCCTTAGTCTGCCTACCCATGGGTTAGGAGCTGGGAGAGACCAGGGTTCAAATCCCCGCCTGGCCATGAAACTTTCTGGGTGACCTTGGTCCAGTCACTCACTTGCAGCCTGACCTACCTCAACAGGGTTGTTACAAGGATAAAATGAGGAGGAAGAAAACCATTTCATAGAATTGTAGGGCTGGAAGGGACCCTGAGGGCTGTCTGGTCCAACCCTCCCTGCCCCCCACCATTCAGGAATCTCGACTATAAAGCATTCATAACAGATGGTCATCCAACCTTGATCTTCTTGGAGAAAAGGCGCGATATAAATGTGATACTTGAATAAGTGGCAGTCTGTTTAGTTCTGAGGACCAGTATTTCAGACTGTACCTTTGCTTGGCTGAGCTGGTGCGTGGACCCCCTTTCGCTGTTGTGCCCCGCATCCCAAATCCCGACAGACCTGGCAAGTGAGAAAAAGCGAAGAGTCTCTTCGTTTATGTATTTTTGCAAAGTCAGGCATGTGCGTTCTTGCTGCCAGATGCCTAGAATTCTTCAGTTCTGGAATAAGTTGTCAACGATGCAAACTTTGATAATTTTGACTGAGATAACAAGAATGCCAGATATCCTTTGCTTGCAGATACGGTCTTATTTCGCAGCACACAGTGACATCGCTGGATCTCCCTGGCCATCTCGCCTGTTCTGCCACCGCCCCTTGGATGAGACGTATAAGAACTTGGGAAGCTGCCTTATTTCGAGTCAGACTATATTAGCTCAGTATTACTACACTCCAGGACATTCCCAGCCCTACGTGTCCTGGAGCTATTGGGGATCAAACCAGGGGCTTTCTGTGACCTTTCCCCAGAGCAGCCAGGAAAGGCAGCAGCTGCCCAGATAAGCTCTTGCCATCTTGGTGGCCTTAACCCAGAGATTTCCAAACTTTTCATGTTGGTGACCCACTTTTTAGACATGCATCATTTCGTGACACAGTCACTCAGTTTTACTAGAAAACTGGAGGTTAAACTACCCCTTTGCAGCCCCGGGAGGAGCGTTCACGCAACACACCTACACACAGTAGCTGGAACACTAGCGTGTCGTGACACACGGTTTGGAAAGCTCTGCTTTAACCCTTGCCACAGACACACACACAAACACACAGACACTTAAACTAAGGTTACCAGATTTTTTTCAATGAATCCGGGGAGACTTTAAATCAATCAATAAATACTACACATTTGGGACGTTGATGTTGCAGCGATGGCGGTGGCAGAGGGGCAGCCTCCGCCTTGACCTCAACCGCCACGTTTCCCCTTCCTCCGAGGCTCCTATCTCCTTTCTCCATGAGCCTGGGCAGCCCCTGAGTTGTTGGTTCTTCAGTGGTGGTGGGGAAGTGGTGCGCGGTGGGTCAGGCATGGAAGGCGGAGAAGGAGGGCCGAGAGCGGTGGCTGCGGTGAGGCTTGGGCAGCGCGATGCCTCCCTTCCCATCGGAGCAGCCCCAATCCCATTCCTACTTGCTTGCAAGCAGGAGGGGGCGGGGATCCCTCAGCTGGGAAGAGAGGCTTCCTGTTGCCTAACTGAGAGATCCCTGCCCCCTCCTGCTTGCATGCAAGCTCTGATAGGCAGTGTGAAGCCTCCCTTCACAGCTGAGAGATCCCCACCCCATCCTGCTTGCACACAAGTAGGAGTTGGGAGGCTGCTCCGATAGGCAGCATGAAGCCTCCCTTCACAGCTTAGTTGCTGGGGTCAGGGAAGGTGGAGGCAGCCCGGAAGCTGCATCTTAGAGCCCCTGCACCACCATCACATGGGGACTTCCGAGCAGCTCCTGAAGCCAGCCAGAGCCAACTGCTCTGGGCTGCTGGGACTGCCGCTGCTGCGTTTGCCGGGGACATTAGATGAAATCCAGGGACAGAATTTGTCCGGGGACATATTCGCAAATCCAGGGACTGTCCCTGGGAAATGGGGACGTCTGGTAACCCTAACTTACACCCCATTGGAAAGGTGATTCCAAGCCTTTCTTGGATTAATGTCACACCTGTGGCGACAGATTGTCATGTAAGCTGTGGCGGCATGTTCTTTTTAAAGCTCCATATGGCATGGCATGATGCGTCGTCCTGCAGCTTGGAAGAAGGGGTGGTGCTTTCTGCTTTCTGTTGAGATGGAGCTGCGTGAGGAACGGGCGGGGTTCCCCTGAGCTCCCTTGCATTTGTGGAAGGACTTTTTCTGTCCAGCGGCGTCCCTTGAGGTCTTTGCTGGGTGCTTACAAAGCCCCAACGCATTCACTACCCCCTTGGCCATGAAGCTATGTGGACAGTTGCCTCTAAAAAGGATGTAGAGCTGAAGCAGGAAGTTGGAAAGAGCGGCATAATTTCCCCACTTCCTATCTCAGGTCTGTGTTGTTTTTTGAGGCTCAGATCTGACTTTGACTCGAGTTCCTTGAAAAAAGCAGCCTTTGCCCAGATCCCTTGGATAAGTGACTTGTGTCTGTGTGTGGGGGCTTTCTTTCTGTCTTTGGGGTATAGTAAAGGTAAAGGGACCCCTGACCATTAAGTCCAGTTGTGACCGACTCTGGGGTTGCGGCACTCATCTCGCTTTACTGGCCGAGGGAGCTGGCGTACAGCTTCCGGGTCATGTGGCCAGCATGACTAAGCCGCTTCTGGCGAACCAGAGCAGCGCACGGAAACGCCGTTTACCTTCACGCTGGAGCGGTACGTATTTATCTGCTTGCACTTTGAGGTGCTTTCGAACTGCTAGGTTGGCAGGAGCTGGGACCGAGCAACGGGAGCTCACCCCGTCGCAGGGATTCGAACTGCCGACCTTCTGATCGGCAAGCCCTAGGCTCTGTGGTTTAACCCACAGCGCCACCCGCATCCCTCCTTTGGGGTATGGGGCGATGCTAATCCAGGTAATGGGGAGGAAAGTGAGTGTTGGACGTCAGTGGCACTTGCACAAGCCTCCAACTTCACCTATGGTCCTAAAATGGTTGGAGACCCCCTACGCTAACGGAAGAGGAGGGGAAGGCCATCTTTTTCCATTTCCCCTTTGCTTCTCACCTCTGCACGACTCCTTGGGATCTATTCTGGGCAAGGCTTGCAGAGAGCCAGCAGTGTGCGTTCCTCGGGTCAGCATTCCCTATGGGGCTCCCTACCGCGGTGACGAGACGTTAATCTTGTATTGTCGCAGACTCCTCTAAAGAGGGATTAAGCCAGTTCACGAAAGAGGCTGATTTGACCTCTCTCTCCTGAGACTTGAACCTCCATGTCCGGAAGCAGTCTGCCCCAGAGTTCCAGGCTCCAGGGACAAGCAGCAAAAGAACGGGAAGAGGGAGCTGGCTGATAGAGAGCCCATCTAGCGCAATGCCAGGGACAGCCAGTGTGGCACCCGGCTGTCGGACTCCAACTCCCGTCAGCCCCAACAGATAGCCAGCGGTCAGGGATGCTTGAAGTCATAGTCTACAGCCATTGGAGGCCCACGCATATACTGGCTCGCTCTGGTCTGTGCTGGCCAGCCCTGGCTCCTCCAGGCTTTTTGCCTCTCATTGCCCTTGCTGTGACACTCCCTCTGGTTGTTGTTTTTCTCGGAAGTTATATTTACAACATAACAAAAAAAAACCCCAATACAGAAATCCACCCTCATTAAAAGTGAACATAACATACAATAAGCATAACATACAACAATACAAACAACCAAATAAAAAACTTCCTTTATCCTGTACCTGTCCTCCTTATTTACTTTTTATAAGCTGTTTCCTTTATGAATAATTATTAAGATTTTTCTAATTATAACTTTATATCCACAAAGTCTCTTGCAGACATTAATTGAAACAAGTCCAACTATGTATTTTAGGGCACTGTTTTGTGAAGTATTCTCTGCATTTCCCCCATGCTTTTTGAAACTCTTGCCTAGTGTGGTCTCTAATTGCCTCTGCTAATCCAGCCAGTTCAATATACTCGAACGGTTTGTCTTGCCATTCCCTTTTTGTTGGCACAATTTCTTTTTCCCAGTTTTTAGCAGTTAGGATCCTTGCCGCTCCTGTGGCATAGAGGAATATTTTCTGATCTTCTCCTGCTATACCTGTGTCCGTTATCCCTAGTAGAAGAGCTTCGGCATTTTTCATAAAGTTAAACTTAAACATTGCTTTAAGCTGTCATATACTATATTCCAGAAGCTTTTGATTTTTGCAGTGACACTCCCTCTGATGCAGCTGTGTCCAAGGCAGGGGGAGTCAGTGGCTCCCCCCACCCCTCTCTGGAGGCTGACTTCTGACCAGGGTGGAGCGTGTTGCTTTCCTCTCCGGTCCTCTTAAACCCTGGCAAGCACCGTGCTTTCCAAGCTCTTCCTACCTTATAATTTTGGGTCCTGCTTCCTTCTTTCGTCCCACTGCTTGCTGGCCCTGTGTTTTGCAGTGGCTGGTCAAGGAGCTGCTGGCCCGTTCTGGTGGGCTGCGGTGGGTGGGTGGGTGGCGGGTCTGGCTACCCAAAGAAGGAGGGACCACAACTGTGTGGGCAACAGGCTGAACCAGGTCAGGAGCATAAGAGCTGATTGGTTCAGGGCAACGTCCCATCGAGTTCGGCATCCTGGACTAAACCCGGACACTCCTTGCAGAGACAGGAATTGGAGCCAGAATATGAAGGAGGGTCTGGGTGGTGGCTAAACCGTGTTTCCCAGTGTCTTGGGGGCTTTCCAGTGTTTTGCGGTTGCTGCCTCTTTCATGGAGAAAGGCTGTGGCTTCCTTAACTGCTGCTTGGCAGGCAGAAATGGACTCAGCGTTACCTTGCCTAGCCACATCTCCCTGCTTGAAAATGACCTCTCAACAGGGATTTTTTTCCTCCATGGAAACCCTCTCTCTAAATTGGGTTGACATCTGTGCATCACATTGACTTGCTTTTTCCAGGCGCTAAAAGCAATTTGATTGAAGCATGGCGTTTTGGGGGAGAGGCGGGAACCTGAAAGTGTGGTTTAAACATTGCATTCATTCAGAGGAAATTATGGGCTTAGGTTTAAAGTACTAAGTTGTACTGAAGAGTACACCCATGTAAATTAACAAGACTTTTAGACGGCTTTGCCCATTAAATTCAACAGGTCTGTTCTTCGGTAAGAAGACATGGCAGCTGAATAGCAATTTAAACGTTTGCTTTGGGTTTTTTGTGAAGTACTTAGAGGTTCGTTTCACAGCCAAGCAGTATACAGATTTCGTAAAATAAAAACACCCTTCTGTACATGGCTTTTTTTTTTAACGGAGGGCATGGAGAGGCAGCATTAAACTTTTTTCTGGGGATGTCCTGTCTATTTACTTATTGAAGAGTTTGGATTTGATATCCTGCTTTATCACTACCCTAAGGAGTCTCAAAGCGGCTAACAATCTCCTTTCCCTTCCTCCCCCACAACAAACACTCTGTGAGGTGAGTGGGGCTGAGAGACTTCAGAGAAGTGTGACTGGCCCAAGGTCACCCAGCAGCTGCATGTGGAGGAGCGGAGACGCGAACCCGGTTCACCAGATTATGAGACTACCGCTCTTAACCACTATACCACGCTGGCTCCCTTATTGCATTTTTATCCCACCTTTTTCTCTCCAAGGAAGCTCAAGGTGGCATGCACTCTTTTCCCCCCTCATGTAATCCCACAACAACCCTGTGAGGTAGGCTAGGCTGCAAAGGCATTGACTGGCTTCCAGGTTCACACCCAGTGAGCTTTGCTGATGAACTGTGGTCTCCCAGGTCACAGCTTGATGAGTCATAGGTGGGGATATAGGCGTGAATACAAATACCCGCATTTGTATCCTTCCTTTTATTTGTTTTGGCTGAGTAGTAAGTGATTGAATTTGGCAAGGTATTATACCAAGGCAGGAAATGTGGGTCATTTTATAACGCTTACTCAGAATTTTGCCGCTGGTGGAAGTCGTCTGAGTCTGCCTGTGATCCTTGAGGAAAACTATATCTTACTGTGTATCTCGTACATGTTAATGCTTCCTTGCATCAGTCACTAAAGAAAGCTAACTGCAACTTGAAGTGTTAGGTGAACTGAAGAAGGATTAGATTAATTGAGAAAAATGAAATTTGGATCGAATTAATGGAGTCATTTGTTTTGATTATAGGTTATACTGCAGGGGTCAGCAAACTTTTTCAGCAGGGGGCCGGTCCACTGTCCCTCAGACCTTGTGGGGGGCCGGACTATATTTTGAAGGGGGAAAAATATGAACGAATTCCTATGCCCCACAAATAACCCAGAGATGCATTTTAAATAAAAGCACACATTCTACTCATGTAAAAACACCAGGCAGGCCCCACAAATAACCCAGAGATGCATTTATAGAAAACAATGTACAGGAAAAACTAATGTTAGATATTATAGTAGATCCAGTGTCTTGTTAAATATGAGATTATTACCAGTAATCCTACTTGTGAAATGTATTGTGTTTTAATAGAAATGTAATCTGAATCCTGAAATACTCTTTTTTGGGGAGAAATCTATGTTTATGCTTAAATGCATACCCTAATCGGTATTATTTTTGTAATGCAGTTTGGTACAGAAAATAAAAACATTTTTTAAAAAAAGTTACAAGCAACAACTTTGTGGAATCGCCACTTGGGCTGGCTTCGTTGTTGATTTAATAAAAATAGGTAACGATTATGTCTTTGCTTTTTAAGGAGCAGCAGAAAATATCCTATTATGGAAAAATTCTGCTGCAAGTCACTTCCTGCTGGAAAGCTTGCCTGTCTTGGGACTGTCAGTGGCGCTGAGCCTCTCAGTCTGCAAGAGCAGTGATATCCTTAAGCAATAGCAAGCTGTTTCACAGCAAAAATAAGAGCCTACTGGATTTTTGGACAAGGACAATGGGAGTCATAGTCCAGCAGAAGTTCCCCCACACCTGTCATAGAAAAAAATAAATAATAGGTTGCAATATGACATATATTTTGGACGCATGCAAAAAATCAGAAAATTTTGGGAAGATGCAGCAAGGGAAATTACATTAGTAACAGGCTAAACTTTGCCTACAGGGCCTCTTTACTTTCTGGATATGTTAAAGAAACTGTACTAACAGAGGACAGGGAATTAATAACACCACATCTCTCTCTGTCTGTGTGTGTTTGGGGGGGAGATTAGAACACTATGCATGAGGGAATGGGTAACTAAGACCTGGGACATAAAATGCAAGTTTTAAGCTCGCACACATTTGGTTAGAACTGGAGAAGGTAGACAGCAAGAGAATGTATTCATGGAGAAATGGGAGTCTTTTTTTTATAATGTGGTACAGGAACACGTAAGCCCATTTCTGCTACTTGGAAGTGTGTAATAGCAATCTGTTGTACTCAGTCTTGGTATGGAAACTTGTCCTGCTGTGTTCACTTCTATGTTCACTTCTGGAGATCCTTTTTTATATATATTTTTGGCGTGTGTTATTTTGTTCCATTAACAATTATATTTTTTTTAAAAGATTGCAAGTGAAATGGGGGTGGGGAGATGTTTCTCCGCCTGGAGAGATGCTGTGAGTTGGATGTAGACAGTTCTGACCACGACAGTGCAAAAAATAGCGGTCTCCATCCCTACCATGCCCACTTTTGCACATGGCCTTGCCCGCTGCTATTGGAAGCTTGCCTTCAAGGAAATACTAACCCTCAGGCTGAAATTGGTTCTCTCAACCCTTGTCTTAAGCCCTATCGCTAAACACTGCATCTTAAGAAAGCCAGAGATGGTTTGAATGAGCTTCCAGCCGGCACAGCATTCATAAGGGCTAGAAACTTGTGTTTGCTTAAATGGGGTGGGGAACAAACGAGTCCGTTCCAGTGTATTCCAATGCCCACATCAGTGTTTTCCCCCTTCCTCTCCAGGCCGAGGCAGAAGTAGCATCCTTGAACCGCCGCATTCAGCTCGTGGAAGAGGAGCTGGACCGGGCCCAGGAGCGCCTTGCGACAGCCTTGCAGAAGTTGGAGGAAGCTGAGAAAGCTGCCGATGAGAGTGAAAGGTAGGTGGGTGCATTTGCAAGAGGAAGGGGCTCCTTAGAGCAGGCATTCCCAAACCTGGCCCTCCAGACGTTTTTGGGACTACAACTCCCATCATCCCTAGCTAACAGGACCAGTGGTCAGGGATGATGGGAATTGTAGTCCCAAAACATTTGGAGGGCTGAGTTTGGGGATGCCTGCCTTAGAGCTTGTTCGCACTGAGCAAAGCTATGTATAAATTCTGTGTGGGTGGGTGGATGTTCAGGTGGGTGGGTGTCATACCGTATTTTTCGCTCCATAAGACACACTTTTCCCCTCCTAAAAAGTAAGGGGAAATGTGTGTGCGTCTAATGGAGCGAATGCAGGGGGGAGGCAGTCAGGAAAAGCCCCCAAGAGCCGCACACAAGCTCCACGCGGCTCTTGCGGGCTTTTCCCCAGGAGGGAGAAGGGACTGACGCGGCCAGTCAGTCCCTTCTCCCTCCTCGTAGAAAAGCCCGTAGGAGCCGCGCACTCCTTAAAGGGTGCGCGGCTCCTGTGGGCTTTTGCGGGAGGAGGGGGTATTGCCATAGCCGCATGCGGCTAAAGAGGAAGCTAAGACAGCGAGCGGGATCCATCCCGCTTGCAGTCTTGGCTTCTTTGCTCTTTGGGGCTGGGGGCGGGGAACCCGGGCTTCCCCCGGCAGCTCCAGGAAGCTCTGGGAGAAGATTTTTTTCCCTTGATTTCCCCCTCTAAAAACTAGGTGCGCCTTATGGTCCGGTGCACCTTATGGAGCGAAAAATACGGTAACTGAATCACACCCCCTGGTGTGTGTAACTGGGTAGAAGGTTAGGCCTTTCTCTGGCATTGCTAGCCTTCTGTGTGCCAGAGAGGTTCTTGTTTTGGAGAGGCCACCCCTGTCCCCAAGTCCTTTCTGCGGACTGGGAGAGCAGAGGAATGTCGCGTCTTGGATGCTGACGATCCCTTCTTCCCCCGTTCTCCCTCAGAGGCATGAAGGTAATTGAGAACAGAGCCCTGAAAGATGAAGAAAAGATGGAGCTGCAGGAGATCCAGCTGAAGGAGGCCAAGCACATCGCTGAGGAGGCCGACAGGAAGTACGAGGAGGTGAGAAGCCACAGCGGATGCGCCTTGACCAAGCAGGGTTGAACTCCTCCCTCATGACACACAGGGAGTTCAGTCCTGCTTTCTGCGGCTGCGCCATTCCCTGATCCACATTTGATGTCATATGCAGGCAACCCCGCCATTTTAATATTTTGTTGGAAGCCGCCCAGAGTAGCTGGGGAAGCCCAGCCAGATGGGCGGGGTATAAATAAATTATTATTATTATTTTATTTACGTGTGTTCAGTATGTGCGCAGGCTTTTTCAATGGTGTTTTAAATACAGTGGTACCTCAGGTTACAAACACTTCGGGTTACAGACTCTGCTAACCCGGAAGTAGTACCTCAGTTTAAGAACTTTACCTCAGGATGAGAACAAATTGTGCGTCAGCCGCAGCAGGAGACCCCCATTAGCTAAAGTGGTACCTCAGGTTAAGAATGGTTTCGGGTTAAGAAACGGACCTCCAGAATGAATTAAGTTTGTAACCAGAGGTACCACTGTATACTCAGTTTCACTTAAACATGCAGTGCTTCGAAACATAACTCCCACCTAAATTGAGGAGTTGCCTGTAAGATGTCATGTGTGGGGCAGGTGATTTCGGGAGGAAACTGCTTTGTGGGCAAAATGTGGAAGCCGGGTGGTCTGACCAGGCTGGCGGGTTCCCCCTCTTCTTTTTATTGATTACAAATTACTGCTATTATTTATTAAATTCATTGCTTACTTTTTTTTTAAGCAAGGTAACATGAAGTAACTAAGACTATGTAAAAAGCACTATATAAACAGACACATCCAGTAAAACTGGCATAATGTATATATATGTGTGTGTGTGTGTGTGTGTGTGTGTGTATATAACAACACAACCCTGCTTTAAAAAAGGCATGTTTAAGACATCTCACTCACTCAAGGAGGCCACCGATGATTCAGAACCAAAGGCCTGGCCCAAAAGAACAATCGCAGGGTGTGGGTCGGTTTATATGGGAAGAGGCGGCCATTGAGGTTTTGGTGTCCTGAGACGTATAAATGATTTTAATCTTGTGCTTTTAAATGTTTGGAAACCTGCCCTGAGACCACGGTTAATGCTATTAGGTTCATTAGCCGCCCTCCATCAGAAGGTCCCAGGGCAGGTTGCAGTAATATGAAATACAGCATTAAAAACCGTTTAAAACAGCTAGAGTGAGTTCATAGGCCAATTTACAGAGGTACAGTGTACGATGATAAGCTGTGCAGTGAAGGTACCAGGCACACCTCTTTAGGGAGAGGAAAGCCACAATTCATGGCGAAGGGCAGGTAGCAAATCCAATTGACAATAATTTCTTCTTCCTCCTTCTCCTCCCAGGTTGCCCGGAAATTAGTCATCATTGAAGGTGATCTGGAGCGTACAGAGGAGAGAGCTGAGCTGGCAGAGTCGTGAGTGTTTTCTACTTCTCTCTCTCTCTCTCTCTTTCTCTCTTTGCATGAGGCGCCCTGCTGCATGGAAGCTTTTAACACGAGCGAGCTCACCTTAAAACTCCCTGTTAGGCAAGGCCCAGAGTGTGGGGCGAAGGTTAGAGGCAGCCTCTGCTGGCTAGAAGGAATTGTGGGTCTCCACTTTCCCATTTTCTCTCTCTTTTTAGTGGGAAACCTTAACTGGGTTTTGGGCAGGGGATATGGTGTACAGACCAGTGACTTTTTTTTTAACACCTGTGGATTCTTTCCTGTGTAGAGAGGTGAGCATCTGTTAGTCCCTCTGCAGGGCCGTACTTAGGTTGATGGAGTTAGGCCTTCATTGTGGCCACATTCACACCATACATTGAAAGTCCCGTACCACTTTAAGCAGTCATGGCTTCCTGCAAAAGAATTCCAGGAGCTGAGTTGTTAGGAGACCTCTGTATTCTTTGTGGAGAGCTACAGTTCCCAGATGGGACGCGGGTGGCGCTGTGGGTTAAACCACAGAGCCTAGGACTTGCCGATCAGAAGGTCGGCGGTTCGAATCCCCGCGACGGGGTGAGCTCCCGTTGCTCAGCCCCTGCTCCTGCCAACCTAGCAGTCTGAAAACACACCACTGCAAGTAGATAAATAGGTACCACTCCGGCGGGAAGGTAAACGACGTTTCCGTGCGTTGCTCTGGTTCGCCAGAGGCGGCTTAGTCATGCTGGCCACATGACCCGGAAGCTGTACGCCGGCTCCCTTGGCCAATAAAGCGAGATGAGTGCCGCAACCCCAGAGTCGGTCACGACTGCACCTAATGGTCAGGGGTCCCTTTACCTTTACAGTTCCCAGAGTTCCCTGAGAAGAGGGATTGATTGTTAAACCACTCTGGAAATTGTAGCTCTGTGAGGGGAATGGGGAGGGGGGTTATTCTCCTAACAACTCCCAGGACCCTTAACAGTCATGGCTTTCCTCTGCAAAACCCTGGGAACTATTGTATGTTAAGTGTACGAAGGGTTGTTAGGAGAGTCCCGTCCCCCCCGAGCTACAATTCCCAAAGTGTTTTAGCAGTCAATCCCTCTTCCCAGGGAACTCTGGGAAATAATAGCTCTGGGTGGGCCATAGGGATCTCCTAAGAATTCTCAGCACCCTTATAATAATAATAATTTATCATTTGTACCCTGCCCATCTGGCTGGGTTTCCTCAGCCACTCTGGGCGGCTTCCAACAGAGATTAAAAATACATTAAAACACCAGTCATTAAAAACGTCCCTAAACAGGGCTGCCTCCAGATGTCTTCTAAACATCAGTTAGTTGTTTTTCTCTTTGACATCTGATGGGAGGGCGTTCCACAGGGTGGGCGCCACTACCAAGAAGGCACTCTGCCTAGTTCCCTGCAGCTTGGCTTCTCGCAGTGAGGGAACCGCCAGAAGGCCGTTGGCGCTGGATCTCAGTGTCCGGGTGGAACAATGGGGGGTAGAGATGCTCCTTCCGGTATACCTTAGCAAATGACAGCTCCCAGAATCCTTTGGGAGAAGCCCTGAGTGTTCAAAGTGGTATCGTAGCACTTTCAGTGTGTAGCGCGATTGTGGCCCGTGTTAGGGGAAAGTGGAACAAAGGTGATTTCATCATATTGGTGTGAGATACACACTCTGGCTCACAGTGAGATTAAAAAAAGGAAATAACAATATTTTAAAAGCAGCTTGGTGTCAGTCATGTCGGGCGCCATGCCCAAGGTTAGCACAGAAGCACCAAAAATCCAGCGGCAAATACAGAACGCCAGACAGATCTCCCGCAGCAGGACATTCCAGTGTCGGGTCACAATAACAGGCCTTGTTCCTTTCCCCCCCACTGCACATATCTCTGAAACAGGCAAGACTTGTGATGAGCCCACCCCCTGGTCCACTTGTTTAAGATCATTTGGGGTTCATTCATTGTATTCGAACATGGCTGGGCCACCCTGTTGCAGTCTTCCAGATGTGTGTCTGGGGCTCCATCTCATCTGCTTCACATCTGGGGTGCTGATGTGATGGATGGAGTGGCGGGGGGGGGCTAAGAGGAGGAAACGAGACAGTCTGCAAAAAATGCCAAGCATGTTTCTAGGTCCTGGCAAGGCCACATTTGGTGGGGAAAACACACATTGTGAGACTCCCTGCCTCCAGCAAGAGTTTTGCCCCTTGCCAAAAACGAGCGAATCTTCCGCAACTGCCTGATAAGGACAGGCCTGTCGTTTTTGCAAGACGACTGAAATATGTTCCCTGCAAGCGCTATTAATACCATATGTTGTTTTCCTTTGTCCCACGGTCCCTTAAAAAATATTAATTGGGAGTCTGAGATCCCACTTCACAAGTTAGCTTCGGAGTGAATGTTGTTGGGGTAACTGGAAACCATTTACTTCAGAACTTTTGCTCTGCCTTTCTGTGAGGTGAAGTTCCCACCAGCAGGTTTCCCCCTCTAAAATATAAACACACTGGGTGCACATCTAATGCCGTAAGATGGTATCTGCGGCTAGTTTCCGTTGTTTCTTCTCACGGAAAGCTGTGTGTTTCTACGTCCCCATTTGCACCGCGCATTTAAAGCTCTTGAAGCAGCCCTGGCTTCCCTCAAAGAATTCTGGGAACTGTAGTTGGTTAAGGGTGCCGAGCGTTGTTGCCCCTCGCAATTCCCAGAATTCCCTGGGAAGAAGCGGGATTGAACGCTAAACCTCTCTGGGAATTGTAACTCGGGGAATTGGGGAGGGGTGTCTCTTAACAGCTCTCAGAACCCTTAACAAAACTACAGCTCCCAGGATCCTCTCCCAATTCCTGGCACCTTTTGTGAACCAGAATTCCCAGCATCCTTTTATTGGGCCGAACTGTTACCAGTGGCGTTGCTGTAAAAACTGACGCTAGTTTTGCCATATAGACGTGCACTCAGGGCTACACTCACTAAGTGTTGCACGCTTGTTCTTGTTGTGTGTAGATCTCTTGCACAGGCCTGCACACCAGCCCTCTCCTCCTTTTCCTCACCGCCACCCCCGGCCCACCCTCTCACTGTGGTGCTCACATCTTCGTTGCTGTGGGCCAGCCAGTCTGCTTTTCTCTCCTTCACCGACTACAGTTATGCAGAAGATCTTACACAGCTTCCCCATGTGGTTCCTGGTAGCAGGGGTGGGGAGGTTGTCCTCTGGGAGAGTGCCTCATCTTTATGGTTGAGCCCATCACCATCGCCCTTCTCCAGCTGTGGCGCATGAGAAGCAGATGGGCTGGAGACGCATGGAAACAGCCTCCCCACGGAGCTAAAATGGGCTTCTGCATCAAGGTGGGGGGCCCTGTGGCCCAGATGTTAGTGGGCTCCTCCGCCTTCCATCATCCCAAGCCATTGGGCCATGCTGGCTGGGTGCTGATGGGAGTTGTAGTCCAGCAACACCCGGAGGACTACAATTCTATCCCCGCCCCCTGCAAAAAAAACCCTGCTCTACATTGTGAGCTTTTCATTAACTCCTGTGCAATTCCTGGCTGGAAATAATCCCCTCTCAGTTGGGACTGTGTGTATCCCACCTTAAAAAAACAAAACCAACCACCTAAAACTGCAGAATGCAAAACTATCTGAATTCGAAACCACATGCAACCCCCCCCCCAAAAAAACCCCACACCAAGGTAGTGTGTTTTTTTTTCTTGTGCAAAATGTCTGCATTTTGCCAGCTGTGCAGGCTCCACACAGCCTTGTCTGGAACACAACGGAATATTATTTTGGGTGCTCTTGTGACACCCCAAGCGTCATCAGTTCCCCCTCTTACACCTGAGTTTCTCTGCAGCCTTAAGGGCAATAGGTTTTGATATTTAAGTTGTTTTCGCCCCTGTTGTGGCCTGGTAAGAACCGGCCTGCGCTCTCGCAGACTCCCTTGGCATGCACAGTTCCTGTCATTGGAAGGGAAGAGAGGGCCATTTGGGGCCCTTCTATGGGGCCTGCCTTATTACTATTAAATATTTATACCCACCCATCTGGCTGTGTTTCAGCCAGTTGCCCTCTTCCCTTTCAGCAGCTGGCAGCTATCTTGTTCGCAGTCCCCTCACACAGAACCACTCCTTGCGCAGGAGCATTAGCTGTCAACCTTCCCCTTTTTTGTGGGAAATTCCCATATTCCAGCGCCGTTTCCCGCTGCTTCCCGCTTCTATCCCGGATTGTTAGATATCCCGTAGACCGTCCCCGGGACAGGTGAGGCCGCTGATCCCTTATTTTCGAGGCTGCTGATCCCTTATTTTCAAATCTGAAAGTTGACAGCTATGCGCAGAACCTCAACCGTCACTCGGAGGGCTGTCTGCGGAGGTGGCCAGGCTACCGCTTTATAACCTCACTTCACCATCACACTTCTGGGCCGGGTCTAACAGGTCTTCTCAGGAAATATCCCCTGCCTGGCATGAGGCCTGTAGAATTGTGCCATCTCTCTCTCCCCCTTTGTAAAACCTCTTTCCTTACCCCGCCAAGCCTGCATGTTGTGACAGACTTTTTTTTTCTTCTCCCCCCCCCCTTTTTATGGCTCTGCTTTGTGTGTGTGTGTGTGTCCTTTCCGTTGCTGCTCCTTTTGCCCCCAACCCAACCCAACCCCCCCGTCCGAACTTGTGCCTGCCGACGCGGTCCTGCCTTTCTAAACAGCCGTTGCCGGGACTTGGATGAGCAGATCCGGTTAATGGACCAAAACTTGAAGTTCCTTGCTCAGGCTGAAGAAAAGGTACTAACCCTTCCTGCCCGCCCCCTCCCACAACCTCCGGCTCCATCGAACGCCCGTGCTGCTCCCCATTTCTTTCCCCCTGAAAAGAAAAGAAAAAAGAAGAAAGCTCCTTCGAGCGCATTTCTCCTCTCGCTTCCTCAATACGCTTTGCTTGCTCTCTCTGTATTTTTTCTCTCTGTCTCACTTCAACTGGTTTCATTTTACTTTTCCTGCCGAGCAGGTTGCGGCTGCTGGGGCCCTGCTCCATGGCACAGCGGCTTCCTTCAGGATGGCAGTGAGGCCTAATGGATTCCAGGCAAGGTTTTCACCCTGGACCCAGAGCCTACCAGGCAGCTTTTCGCTGCAGCTTGCAGGCTGTGTAGTCATGCTTGTGTGTGTGTGTGTGTGTGTGTGTGTGTGTGTGTATGCAAAAATCCCCGTTGTGCTAATGCTCCTGACGTTTTATGTACTGAACATATTAGTCAGTAATACAGTGGTACCTCCGGATGCGAATGGGATCCGTTCCGGAGCCCCATTTGCATCCTGAGTAGAACGTAACATGCGACTTTGCGTGCGCGGGTCGCGTTTTGCCGCTTCCGTGCATACACGTGACATCATTTTGAGCGTCTGCGCTTGCGTGAGCGGCGAAAGCCAAAAGTAACGCTTCTGTTACTTCTGGGTCGCCGTGGAGTGTAACCTGAAAACGCTCAACCTGAAGCAGATTTAATTTAACCCAAGGTAGGACTGTAATCTTTTACTGAACTTATTAGTTGCTTAAAAAAGAAAAAGTAACTCAAAGTATCTTAGAATGAACACATACATGAAAACCAGCATAAAAACATCTGTAGAAAAATCTAAAACATATTCATAGTGGGGTTTTTTTTAAAGGCAAGATTTAAAATACCTCACATGCCCAAGGAAACCACAGATAGTTAAAAGCCAGGGGCCTGGTAGAAAACAAACATTTTGGAAGGTGCCCAAAGCTGTTCAGTTGATGGCGCCAGTCGAGCCTCTCAGGGGAGAGCGTTCCGCAAGCAGGGAGCCACCACCGAAAAGTCCCTGTTCTCTTGTTGCCGCCCTCCAGACCTCCTGGTGGGAGTGAGAGCATGGAAAAGGGCCTCAGGTGGCCCCGGGGGTTGTGGACAATGTGTGTTGTAGTGCCAATTCATTCCATTCAATAATTTGTTATGTTTCTATGCCAATTTTCACTCACACAAGTCACAAAGCGGCTCACAAATAATAAATAACAACAATAGAATATCACAGTTGCAGAATAATTAACTAATCATCAGTCAATGACTTCTGGACTTCATGGACGATAGGTATTGTAGGCCCAATGACTGGCTACTCCGTTTTTTAAAAAAAGGCTTTACAGTGGACGCTCGGGTTGCGAACATGATCCATGCGGGAGGCACATTCGCAACCCAGAGCGCCGTGTCTGTGCATGCGTGGGTTGTGATTTGGCGCTCATGCGCGAGCGCCCCGGAAGTAACCCGTTCTGGTACTTCCGGGTTTCGGCGCATCTGTAACCCGAAAACGCACAACCTGAAGCGTCTCGAACCTGAGGTATGACTGTATAGGTCAGAGACAACACATTAAAATGTGCCCAAATATGAACTGGAAACTGGCACAGATGTCGCAAACAAAACACAAGAGCAGTTCAGACGGTACAAAGTGCAGTCGCCAGACTTCAAGCCTATAATACACACACACACAGAATTCCTACATGACCCGATTTACAGAGCCTGCAAGGTGTTGTGTTTGGCCGGTGCCTGGGTCCTCAAAACCTTTTGTCTCCCGTGGATGGGGAGCCATTGTTGGCCTTGTTAGGCCCCTCTCCTGAAGTCTCTTCGACCCATGGATTCACTCTCTTCTCTTTCTCTCCTGTCCTCCTTTTTCTCCCTTTCCCATCCATTATTTCTCTCTCTCTCTCTCTCTCTCTGGCTTCCTCTCTTACTCCCTTCCCCGCCCTCCTCGGCAAACACACTGCAGCAAATGTTCGGAGCTGGAAGAGGAGTTGAAGAATGTCACCAACAACCTCAAGTCCCTTGAGGCTCAGGCTGAGAAGGTAGGGCTGGCTATTCTCCTCCCCACTGTGGCCGGAGGAATAGCCTTTCCCTCCCACCCACCCCCTGATAATCCTTCCGTGTTTACTCAGTTGAAGCCTGGAAAGTATACAATGAGGACGTCGAGAGGCCCCGTATAGAATTGTAGAATTGAAAGGTGGGACCCCAAGGGTCATCTAGTCAAACCCCCTGCAATCACACCTGAAGCCTCCATGACAGATGACCATCTGGGCTTGTACATGAGCCATTGGCCTGATCCAGCAGGGGCCAGTTAAAAACTAAAGCACTCACTTTATGGAAATTCCTTACTTTTGAAGATAAGCCATTTACAGTTCAAAGTCTCCTGAATTCACTAGTAACAACAGCTATCTGTTGCGAGGAATAATATACAGTGGTACCTCGGGTTAAGTACTTAATTCGTTCCGGAGGTCCATTCTTAAGCTGAAGCTGTTCTTAACCTGAAGCACCACTTTAGCTAATGGGGCCTCCTGCTGCCGCCGCGCCACCGGAGCACGATTTCTGTTCTCATCCTGAAGCAAAGTTCTTAACCTGAAGCGCTATTTCTGGGTCAGCGGAGTCTGTAACCTGAAGCGGATGTAACCTGAGGTACCACTGTATTTACTTTGTAGGGAGAGCTGGTGGTTCAAACTGGGCAGCGATCTGTGGGGTACCCAGATGGTCATCTGTACCCACGTTAGGTACCCAGCAGGGCAGAGTCTCTCCTTTCCTGACTCAAGAGCAGTGATCAGCTCTCCTGCTGGAATAATATTAGATAAACAAAGCTGCATCAAGTGTCTCAAGATCCCTCCTACAGGGATAAGGTCCCTGCAATGGTCACTTTTCCATGGTGGCGTTTAAAATAACTTTGTACAAAGGCACAACTTTAAAATTAAAATGGCTTGAAGCCCTGAAAAAAACAAAGCTAAAACTAAAACACTCACAAGCGGCACCAGGAGGCCTCAGTGAATGGCAATATTCCTGTTGTGTGCTGGCTGCTGAAACGAATGGCAAGCAGGCACCCCATTAAAATATCTTTGGGGGTTCCTCCTCCTGAGAAAGCCTGGTCCTAGTAACCCGTCTGCCCGAGCCCAGGGCAGGATGTGCAGAGCAGCTCCTTCGGGGGCCAGGAGGCAGAGAAGCGTCGGCAGCGGAAGAAGGGTCAGATCAGTGGAAGGCGTTGCTCGCAGAAGGGTCTTGGGTTCGATCCCCGGCTCCTCCAGTTAAAGGATCAGGTGGCGGTGGTGGGGCGGTGACCCTAAGGAGCTGCTGCCAGATGAGTAGAGATGATACTGGGTTGGGGGCAAGAGTTCTGGCTATAAGGCAGCTCCCTGTGTTCTGGAATCGAGGCATGTGGCTCTTTTGTGGGGTGTATTAGTAAGCTATTGCTTTTATTTTTATTTTATATACTGTGATCTTTTTATGTGAACTGCCCTTAGACCTCTGGGTATAGGGCGATGTATATAAATTCAATTAATAATAATAATAATAATAATAATATATTACTTATACCCCGCCCATCTGGCCGAGTCTCCCCAACCACTCTGGGCGGCTCCCAATCGAGTGTTAAAAACAATACAGCATTAAATATTAAAAACTTCCCTAAACAGGGCTGCCTTCAGATGTCTTCTAAAAGTCATAGAGAGTTGTTTATTTCCTTGACATCTGGTGGGAGGGTGCCACCACCGACAAGGCCCTCTGCCTGGTTCTCTGTAACCTCACTTCTCGCAATGAGGGAACCGCCAGAAGGCCCTCAACACTGCACCTTAGTGTCCGGGCTGAACAATGGGGGTGGAGAGGCTCCTTCAGGTATACAGGACCGAGGCTGTTTAGGGCTTTAAAGGTCAGCACCAACGCTTTGAATAAAATTTGAATGAAATAAAACCGTGTTGGGACGTGGGCGCTGCAAAGCCCCCTTGCATGTCTGCCACCCTGGGGCATTTAGCATATCGCATAGAATTCTAATCGGCCCCACAAGGCTCTCTTAGTTAAACTATGGAACTGTCTGCCACAGGAGGCGGTGACGACCACAAACCTAGATAGCTTTAAAAGAGAATTGGGAGCAGATCCACAGAGGAGAGGTTTATCAATGGTTGCTTGACACGGTAGCCGTGCTCTGGTCTTCACGGTCAGAGGAAGCAATGCTTCTGAATGCCAGTTGCTAGAAGCGGGGGGGGGGGGGGGTTTGCTCTTGTGCTCGGATCCTGCTTGCCAGTTTTCTGCAGGGATCTGGTGGGCCATTGTGAGAACAGGAAGCTGGAATGGATGGGACATTGGCTTGGTTCAGCAGACTCTTCTTACTTGGTGGTATTATTATTATTATTATTTATTTATACCCCGCCCTCCCCGACCAGAGCCGGGCTCAGGGCAGCTAATACCAATAAAATCACAGTAAAAACATAATAGGGGGGGATTTAAAATACAGGTTAAAATGCAATTTAAAATGCAGCCCCATTTTAAAAGTAGCCGATAAATCAAGACCAAAAGGGGAGGGAAACATAAGGGTCAGACTGAGTCCAAACCAAAGGCCAGGCGGAACAGCTCTGTCTTGCCGGCCCTGTGGAAAGATGTCAAGTCCCGCAGGGCCCTAGTCTCTTGTGACAGAGCGTTCCACCAAGTCGGGGCCAGTACTGAAAAGGCCCTGGCCCTAGTTGAGACCAATCTAACCACTGTGCAACCTGGGACCTCCAAAATGGTAAGAGAGCAGTTGGGACCACAGCCACGTTCCCCCCCAGTAAGAGGCCGCAACGTTTGCGAAGAGTGGTTTCTGGGTGGAGCAGGGGAAGCTGTTTTGCGTACAGTGCTTTGCCATTGTGGAAATGTGGTTGGAATATAACTCAGAGGTAGGGAACCCCTGTCCGCCCAGCAGTTACAACTCCCTGTCCAGTGACCATAGTGGCTGAGGCTGATGGGAGTTGCAGTGCAGCAACGTCTGGAAGGACGCACAGATTTTTCACTTAGCCCTGGCACAACTTGCTTTTTCTAGCCTCACTTCTTATAAATGGAACGAACGAATCGCTTCCTGTAAAATATACTTGTTAATATTTAACAAAGCAGTTTCTTCTAAATAGACTGGGTTAAAAAACCTCTGCTTTAAAGAACACAACCCTTTTGGCATTAGTATTATATCTAGGCAAGTCTTGGCTAACGATAATTCAAGATGTGGGTCCCTGGAAGCCCTTGGGAGTGGAAGTAGAATAAAAACCCTGTCTCAGGACTGCTCTCCTCCCCTCTGACTAAGAGCTGGAGGCATCTTCCTATCCTTACCCCTACTTATCCTCACAACAACCTTGTGGGGTAGGGCAGGCTGAGAGCCAGCGGCTGACCCAAGCTCTCCCAGTAAGCTTAGTGGCCAAGCTGGGATTGAAGGCCTGGTTTCTCTCCCAGAATGAACACAATGCTCTTAACAATTTCACCACGTTGGCTGTCATTTTCATTCTGCCTTCGCCCTCTCTATGGCAGGGGAAGGTCTGTTTCTTTAAGTTTTCCATTAAACTTAAAGAAAGATGTTGAGAGTGGGATCTGGCCTTTGCAGTGGGGTGCTGGTAGTGAGTCGCCTTGCTATGTCTGGACCCTGAGCTGTGCCTTCTCTCCCCCCAGTACTCTCAAAAAGAGGATAAATATGAAGAGGAGATCAAGATCTTGACCGACAAACTCAAGGAGGTGAGCTATGCCTTATGCGAAGGGTCAAGGTGGGTGGGTGTCCTTTCTTGGGCCGCTCCTTGGCAACATGGGGCAAAATGTTGCTGAACTACAACTCCCATCATCCCTGGCCATCAGCCTTGCTGGCCGGGGCTGATGGGAATTGTAGTCCCAACAACACCACACTGTCTGCCTTTGTAATAGACTTGACTAGTATCTCCGGAGGCATGGCACATTGGGAAGAGTTTGGACATAATCAATATGCAGCCCTGCTTGTAATGTAAACCCCGCTCCCCCCCCCCGCCAGGGGACAGACCAATGGAGGCGGGAGATCGAATAGATCAGACCTCCCCTTTCTTGACTGACAGTGATTCTTTCTCCCTTTCCCAGGCTGAGACCCGTGCCGAGTTTGCTGAGCGGTCAGTAGCCAAGCTGGAGAAGACCATTGATGACTTGGAAGGTAGGTGTGGGCAGGAAGGTGGTGCAGTTGGATAGGGAGAATCCAGCTAAACGGGAGCTTCTTCCTTGATAACGGCACATAGCATGCCGTGATTTTATTTCGCCACCCTGGTGACTGGTTGTTGCAGATTCTTAACTCCCATCAGCCCCTGCTGGTGCTGGTCAAGGGGATGTTGGGAGTTGTAGGCCAGTGACATCGTATCAGCAGCAGGGTTAGCAACCCTCTGCCTTTATTTCTCTCTCTTTTACCTTGACGTCAGGTCTGGTGTTTTGTACCTGTACACGCAGCTCTTGATTATTCTGGTCCTGTGTCTAGGAGCCCTAGAAACAGAATACGTTTGTGTGTCAGTAGAATACGTGACCTGTCTGTCTGTCTGTCTGTCTGTAGTGCAGTGTGGACTTTGAAAACTGCTTGGGGTGAGGCTAGGGGGAGTTAAGACCCCCTTCGACCCTGCTTTTTGTTTTGTTTGCCCTCCAGTGGTCTCTGCTTCTTGAAGGCCGGAGGGAGCCTAAGCCCAGCATTCTCCAACCTTGGGCCCCCAATATGATGTCGGACTACAACTCCCATCAGCCCCAGCTGGCATTGTCCCAGTGGTTGGGTGATGGGAGATGTAGTCCAAGCAACCTTAAGCCATCATTTACCTTTCCCCCTCTGCTCCCCCATTTGTCCATTCTGGCAACTTCATTGTTTTTAAAGCCTTGTTCCCCACTCCAAGGTGGATGCATGAAATTGACCTTAAGTGTCTCTTTCCTGGTACATTTTGCACCTAGCTTGAGACAAGGCTTTTCCAAACTTACGGACTCGTTGACCCCCTTTGCCTGCTTCTAAAAGTGCCATCGACTGTGACTCCAAATCCTTAGGAATGTAAATGAAAGGAAGTCAAGGAACATCAGTATAAAATCATCACTTGTTAATCATCCATCACCATTACCAGGAATCATAAAATGTAAAAAAAAAAGCAAGAATCTTACTCGGTGCAAAGGTTCTTCATTGGCAAAGGGAGTTGCACTCTGTACATGCCCCTGGGCTCTTTATTGCTGAGGCCCTTGGTCCTATTTTGAAAAGCAGTCCTTTCTGAATTGCCTTGATTTTACAATTGGGGGTATCGCGGCTGAGCTGCGGCCTAAGTAACATCTAGGCAGCCCTCCTTGCAGTAGAGCAGGCATAGGCAAACTCTGGCCCTCCAGATGTTTTGGGACTACAATTCCCATCATCCCTGACCACTGGTCCTGCTAGCTAGGGATGATGGGAATTGTAGTCCAAAACATCTGGAGGGCCAGAGTTTGCCTATGCCTGCAGTAGAGGTTAGCAGCTAGAAGCCCCTGGGGCCTTGTCTAGCCTTCCCCTCCCTGGTGGAGGATTTGTCGACTACCGCCAACCCAGAAGCAATGCACTTTGGACAGCATTTATTGGGGGTAGGGTGAGGGTTTGCCCCCCCCCCATTCCACTCCTTGGAAGCCCACACAGAAAACCAGCTGTGTCTGAAATGTCTCCTGGAATTACCTGTAGCTGGATCGCTTTTAAAAGATGAGGCGAAAGTTAACTCGGCTCTGTGCTGATAAGGGAAGTGGAAATATGTTTGTTCACCACAGGCCCGGCCCCATCTAAGAGTACCTTTGCAACACCTGGAGATCCAGAGGGTGTTCACCTGCCCACTCTCACTGTTTAATCTGCTAGGAGTGAACAGGTGCGGCCGTGTTTCCAAGAGCTCTTTCCTGCCCAAGGGCGTCCTCCTTTAGACCTTGGGGAGAAACAAAGAGCCCTCCTTTATTTCAATTATGCTCTCAAAAAAACCCAGTGGGTGTTCGTCAGGGAAAAGCATGCAGGGAAAAACCTCCATGGGTGAAATTAAACCTGCGGGGGCCCTATTTTGACCTGCAAGGCCATTTCTCTCCGCCCCCCCCAGTCCTGCACACCAGATGTCAAATGCATTTGCAGTTGTTCCTGTGGAAACATTATCCGCCTTTCGAAAGCAGTGGCAAATGCAAGCTTTTCCCCAGGTTGCTTCCGATCCCTGCTGCGAGCCCCGCTTTCGGCAGGGAAAGGGATGCCAGATTCTTCCTTTGCAGCCCTGGCTTTGCTAGAAAGGAAGGGAGGCTCGGACTTGCTTTTGTGCGCTCCCAATTCTAAGACGCGACTGAAGGCGATTGACCGGTTGGGTGACTCCACCTCCCTGCCAAACATGGCCCACGGAGACTAGGCCAGTTCTGGATCTGGCTGGCAGAGGGTGGTCCACTTTTCCAACTCTTTCTTAACATTTGAAACATCTTTTTTTTAAAATAAAAAAAAGAATAGGTTCTTATGTGTTTTAAACTCCCAAACGTGGAATTTACGGTTCGAATGCAAATGAGTGTGTTCAGGTTTTTTTAATTTTACAATGATGTTTCGTGTGCTGTCCTGAAACAAAGTTTTCTGGGCAGCTTGTAAGTATACGCAGTGAGGGGGGGAAAGTATTTGATCCCCTGCTAAATTTGCCCGTTTGCCTTCTGACGAAGAAATGACCAGTCCCTAATTTTAATGGTAGGTTTATTGTAGCTGTGGGAGACAGAATAACAGAATAAAGTTAATTTAGGGTAACTTTTAAGTTAACTTTTGTCTTCCGGGTTTCTGGGGTTTTTCCTGTTGTTATTCTGTCACTCACAGCTACAATAAACCTACCATTAAAATTATGGACTGTTCATTTCTTCGTCAGAGGGCAAACGGGCAAATTTAGCAGGGGATCAAATACTTCCCCCCCCCCACTGTATAAACAACCCAAGCACAACATAAATACAAAATAAAAGATGAGGGTGTTAATTAGAAGGGAACTTGACTAGCCCCTGTCCCCTCTGCAGCCCTCTGTGAATTCCCCCCAAGCCTCTATGGAAGACGTGAGGGGTCTCCTGAAGGATATGGGGTGTGTGTGTGTCCCAGGGTGTGTGTATTCAAGGACGGAAAGTCTTCCTTCCATTAACTCGGGTTAATTTAGCAAGCCAAGCCTGTATCTCCAGCGGAATTCCAAGAGTATCCATTTCTTCTCCCTTTCCATTTCACAAAATGTCTGTAAAATCACTCCTCTGCCCAGATTTGAAATCTGAATTGCAAGATGTGGCTCAGGTATATTGCTTTGCCTTGTCGTTCTTGTCTATCGTCCAGGGCGGACTTTGGTAATATGGTACCCCGAGTGAGGACAGAATTTGGCACCTTGCCCCATACATTATTTTCAAATTTTCCATTTTTAAAAAATTATTATTTTGCACCCTCTCAACTCGGCATCCTGTGCAGTGAAGCAGCTCCACCCTAAATCCAGTACTGGTATCATAGAGTGTTTTTTTCCTCTTACTATTTTTTTTTTTTAAATGCTTTCACTTCTTTGTTCGTTGAGCTGTTTGTGAGCTCATGGCCCCAATGTAAAGAAACTGATATGCAGCTGGCACTCAAAGCCCAGGTCAAGACACAATTGCAGTAGTTTGTGGTGTGACCCACAGGTCATAAGAGTCAACTTTCGGAAAAGGCCAAATAGCGACTCAGGAAACTCTTAGCAGTTGACTGGATGTTTCAGTGTTGGTCCTTTCTTAAAAGCTCAGTAAGTGATACTTTCCCAGTATTTGTCGACTGCTCACTTAAGATTAGCAAGCCGTCTCTGGCAGAGCTTAACTTCTGGGGAATCTCAGCTCATGGCACTACACCCTACATAATGCCATAGGGCAGTGACCCCAAAATGGGGCAACCGGGGCACATTCTGCTGTGGCCCCTCTTCTGTGGCATCACTTCTCCCCTTGCAAAATATGAGTAGCTGGGGAAACCCGGATGGGTGGGGCATAAATTATTATTATTATTATTATTAACAACAACAACAAACCCACACAGCACAAAATTGTTCCTGTTGTGCTGAAGGATGCTCAGTCAAAGCAGCTGATGACAGGCTGCCCATAACTCTGGACCCTATTATGCTCTTGGAATAGAGTAACTTCTCTGTAGAGAGAAACAGCCCTGCAACAGGCTGCAAACGGCCCTGAAAACGGCAGTCAGGGCCTTGAAACGCTTTTGCGGGGTTACCATCTGAGGAAGTTTGTCAAAACAGGACCTTGCCCACAGCTTCCCCATTCCTGACATAAAGGCTTTTACAAAAACTTATTTATAATTTTCATTATTACCATTTCCAAAATCACATTCACTTTCAAATACACATTTCCACCGTTAATATCTTTCTTTTAATAAAAACATTCAGCGACTTCCCTTTCCCCCCTTCCCTGGTTCCTTTAATATTCCCACCATTCCTGCATATTATTATGCATCCATTTAGATCACTTTCTCCCCTTATTCTTCCTTTATTATATATTATACCGTTGCATTTACCTTAATGCTGCTAGCATTTTCACTTTCTCTCACTTTCAGTCCGGTTACACTTCTAAATAAAGAAGCAGCTCATATTAACAACCCTTAATGGGTGTCTTCTCCCCCCAAAGAAAACCTCTAACAGGCATTCACCATCTTCAAAAGATGCATCTCCTACTATTGTGTTCCTTTGTTTTATTTAAAATATATATTTCTTGCTTCTTACCATCTAGGTCTTACCATTGTTTTTAGCAAGCACCGAAAAGAGTACATTGCAGGCACTTGCACGATATCGATAGGCAGGGAGTTCCAAAGTGTAGGTGCCACTATGTTAAAAACAACAATTTCTTACAGATACAGAATAGGTATTAGGTGGCACCTGTAACAGTGCTAATTCCGCAGATCAAAGTGGTTGAGTGGACATGCATTGGGTGGGAAGCAAAGGTGTTTTCACAGATCCCAAGCTGTTAAATAGCAACACCTTGAACTTGGCCCAGTAGCAAATTGGCACCCAGTACGGATCTCTGAGCACAGCAGGTATTATAGGCTGTCAAGGCCTCCCATCCCATCAGCAGTCTTGCTGAAAGATTCTGCACTAACTGCAGCTTCTGGATCAAGCACCATCCATGCACACACACACACACACACACACACACTCGTACCTTGGATCTCAAATGCCTTGGCTCCCAAACAAATTGAAACACCAAAGTGATTGTTCTGTTTTTCGAACGTTCTTTTGGAAGCTGAACGCCCGGCGGGGCTTCCGATTGGCTGCAGGAACTTCCTGCAGCCAATCAGAAGCCACACTTTGGTTTCCGAACGTTTTGGAAGTCAAACGGACTTCCTGAACGGATTCCGTTCGGCTCCCAAGATACGACTGTATAGCACATTGCAGTAATCCAATCTTGAAGTAACCAGTGCATAAGCTACTCTGGCTAGGTTTTCCTAGTGCAGGAACAGGTCCATAGCTGTCAGAGGTTTCTCTGTGATCGGTTTTTCCGTTCGCCTTGGCCGCCGTTGGGGATCCATTCTCTGCTATGTGAATATCTGACCTCACTCTTTCCTCCTTCCCTCTGTAAACCCATCACTGGCTCCTCCTCCTCCTCCTGACGGCCTGGACGACCTGCCTTCCCTCACTTCTCCTCATCCCCCTTTTCTTTAAATAGACGAGCTGTATGCCCAGAAACTGAAGTACAAAGCCATTAGCGAGGAACTGGACCACGCCCTCAATGACATGACTTCCATGTAAATACCGGCGCTTGGGCCTGTCGGGTGCGCGGGGTGGGGGCTTGTGTGTTCGCCTCCGCTTCAGCGTGCCTTGTGTGCTGTGGCAAGCGCGGTACTAATGCTGCTCCAGCGGTTGGGTTAGGCTGTTCAGATGTCGCTGGACTCGCGACTCCTGCCGCCGCCGACCACTGTGCATGCTGGCCGGGGCTGGCGGGTGTTGCGAGTCCGGCCAACATCTGACGTGGTCCTACAGCTTCTCCACTCCCCGCTTCACGCCTCTGTAAGTGCATTTATTATTATGTGATCCCTGATTGGCTGGGACATGTGTGCAGGACAGGAGGCCAGGGACCTTGGCTCTCCAGGAGTTGCTGAATGACAGCTCCCATCATCCCTCGCCACTGGCCATGCTTTTTGGGGCTGATGGGAGTTGGGGGACCAGCCGGTATCTGTAGGGCCACAAGCTTCCCCATGCCTGGCCCTAAAGTTGCAGCAGGCGATCCCTAGCTAGACAGTCCAGCGGGCTGACTTCGTATAAAGCAGTATGCGTGATTTGCAAATTTGGTAAATTTCAGCAAGGATAACTCCCCTCCCATGGTGAAAGCAATCCCTCCCGTGTGTGTTTTTGGCACAGTGTGCCTAGCCAGCATGGTGGCTCACAGATAATTTTTTATTCCAGCGCCCGTCGTCAGGGTCAGCGAGGAGTTAGGAATCCACCAAATCTGGAAGGCCACAGGTTCACCAGCTGCTACGGAGCTGCTCATTCGAACCCTCACTTTCATTTGCAGTCGACAGACCCTTTAAACGATTAATAGCAATTTTATAACAATGGACAACAGCCTTTAAAAATGCATGTTGCTGTGACTGAAAAACACAGGTTTTAATGCTAGAGGTTTTCATCAATTGATTATAAGTGATCTGAAACAGATACCCATATTTACAAACTTCGCCACTTTCTCTGCAGCTAACATTGGAGTCCTGGAGCAAAGTGAAACTCAGAACAGTGGCCAGGGATGGACTGTGTAATAGGATATATTAGGTCTTTCCAGCCCCTTGATAGAAACTACAGTGAAAAAGCACATGCAAGGATAGACTCCACAAAGGCAGCATCCCTTCTCATTGGGGTTTTGTTGTATCTGCCTTCCAGTAAATTGGACCGGAGAACATTAAGCCCTACCAAAGTGAACCACTCCACCCCTCTCCCTCCCCCTTCCTCGATCTGCCTTTTGGTAGAATCAGGGTGGACCCTGTTTCCTGCACCCACGAAGGGCAAGGCCTTTCAATTCCTCTTTCCAGGTAACTACAGCTGGCTGCCCCGGAAGAAGGGTTCCACACCCTGGTCCCCTTTGGGAGGAAAGGAGGGACAGTTTGCTCTAATAAATAAAAAATATTGAGACTTGGGTGGATGAATTAACACCCCCCACCCCCCCACGGCCCCCCCCATTTTTTGCATTGGGTTGGGGAGGCGTTGCAAGGAGCATTTGTGTGTGGCTACCTTGCTTCACGGACAGCATGAACCTTTGCCCTTCCCACTTCCATCTTCCTGATACCTCTTTGCATCCTGGGTGGGGGGGTGTTCAGGGGGTTGTATCAGGTCAGAGGCGCGGCGCGTATTAACCAGAAGTTGCTTGGCAACGGCTGGGCGTGTGTTTGCAGGGCAAACCGCTTGCATCTTTCTTCCCTTTTTAAAAAACGAAAGTTTGGTTTGATATAACCGGCTGCTTTTTGGCCTCTTGTGTGTGTGTGGGCTTGGTTTGCGGATTTGACGGGACGCTCCCTGTCCTTTCCTTTCCCCTAACGACGGAATGCGTTCCTCAAGTGTGCCGTACCCTCTCCCTTGTTCTCTTTCCATGCACCATGTTGCAACGGCCTTCTTTCCTTCCTTCCTTTCTCTCTCGCCTACAGATAAAATCTGTGATTCCAAAGCTCCACTTAGTGGCTTCTTCCCGCAGCTTCTTCTCTTTTTTCCCTTCCGGATTTCTTTTTTGGTCTCGTTTCCTCTCCCTCCGTTTGCTCCTGTCGGCTGATCTTTCCCCCCCTGCGACGTCGCCTCATCCTACACTGGCACCTTGGGGCATCCGTGGGAACAAGCCTCTTCCCTACGCTGGGATGTGCGTGACCTCACGAGCTGTCAGACTGCTGCCTGTCCCCCTCCCCGGCTGGGCCACTCCGCTGCACCCTTGGTCTGGAAAACAAAGCAGCCTTTGTGACGCCCGACGTGCCGGACTCTGCCCGGGCGTGGGGGAGCCGGGGGCGGGGTCCGGGATTCTTGGCCGCAGAGCTAATCGGAGCCTGGCTGGCTTGCAAGCAAGCGGGGTGACACTTCTGGGGTGTGTGTGTGTTTGTGTACTCCTGGAGACCGTGCTGCTGTAGCGACTGTCACACTGCTGGCTTTTACGAAACAGATTTGTGTAACCGTCGGCGGAATGTAATATAGACATGATGCACTAGATGCTGGGCTGGGTCTGATTTCTGCACCACCTTTCCACGAAACAGAAAAAGTCCTGTGGCTGTTGCACTGGGAATGGTTACTCTGGGTTCGCTAAACACATTTTGCAAAGGGTGTGACACACACTCACACGAGAACCGCTGCATGAGGCTTGGCATTGTCCACACAGCGACACCCTCGACACCATTTTATATTTGGGGAGTTGGGGGGGAAACGATCTTGGGCGGGGATGAAAGGATCGTAAAACTGCAAGCCAAATGGTTTAAGCCCTTTTCTCTCTCCCCGCTTCATAAGCTGAGCAGTCAGCGTGGGTCCCCGCAATAGGAAATGTTTCACACAGTGCAAAGCAAAACTGGTAATTCGCCGCTGTGAGGATGTGATGTCGGTGGCGTCTTACTACACAATTCACCTTTTCTTAAATGGACATTGGAGAAACCTCTCTGGGTCAGTCTAAAGGCCCACATAGTCCAGGATCCTGTTCTTGCAGTGGCCAGATACTTTTTAAACCATTAAAAATAAAAATCTTCAGGCAATGCAACCAATATATGAGCATAAGTACAGCTCTGCTGGATCAGGTCAAGGGCCCATGTAGTCTAGCATCCTGTTCTCTCAGTATTCCTCTGGGAAGCTCACAAGTAGCCTTATCCCCCACGAATTTGCCTAATCCCCTTTTAAAGGCATCCGAGATGCTGGCCATCACCCCTTCTTGTGGGAGCGAATTCCAGAGTTGTAACTACCGTGCAGAGAAGTCCTTTCATTTTGTCTGTATTAGGTCTGCGTGTTCAGAGGTTGCATACCTCTGACTCCCAGTTGCCAGGGGACATCCAGTGCCTGGCTTCCAGGCTTCCTGGAGACCCAGGGCAGACAAGCTGCTGTTCCCCCCAAGTGGGGCTGCCATATAAGATGCACCTCTGGTCCGATCCAACAGGGCGCAACTATCTCCAAGTCATGTTGTCATGACATTCTCATCAGGACCGCAGCTGCTAAATGCTGAAACAAACCCATGTTTGTGCTGCAGCAGGTGTGCCTCTTGGGAAAGGATGCAGCTCAGTCCCAGAGCCCCTGCTTTGCATGCTGAAGGTCCCAGGTTCGATCCCCGGTGTCTCTGGAAAGGGCTGGCTGCTCCTCAGAAGCACACTGCTCTTCTGGCTCAGTTTCACTCGCTCCACCTCTTCCACAACCCCTGCCCACCTTAAGACATGCCCATGTTTTACTGGATGCCAGGATTGGACAACCGCCATCCTGTCCTTTCTGAACCCCAACCCCACCTGCCCCACTGCATCTAGGAGCAGCCAAAGGAATTGAGATTCTGGTGCATTTTGAACGAGGCAGGCAGCATCAAGGGATCTGGTCCAAGGGGAAGATGGGGCATAGCTGTCAACCTTCCCTTTTTTTGCGGGAAATTCCCTTATTCCAGCGCCGTTTCCTGCTGCTATCCCGGATTGTTAGATACCCCATAGACTGTCCCCGGGACAGGTGAGGCTGCTGATCCCTTATTTTCGAGGCTGCTGATCCCTTATTTTCAAATCTGAAAGTTGACAGCTATGAGATGGGGACATCAGGCCTGTCACCCGCATGGGAACAGGAAGTGCGGGGGCTGCTTTGAAACACTCTAGCTCTATGATTAGAACCAACTCTACTTTTGCCACAGCTTCCCAGGCGCCACTTCGCTCACAGATCCAGCCCTTCAGTGCTGCTCTTCTTTCCTCCTTCCTCCTGTGGGTGCTTTTTTTTTTTTAAGGGTTTCATTTGCGTGGGGCTGTTTAGCATACCCAAAAGCTGCTTGGTCATGATGCCACTCAGCTTGCCAGATCCCATCTTCAGACGTGTTATCTCAGGCCGCCCAGCTGTTTCCCCGTCTTCCTGGCCATGGAGCTTGCATCTGGAAAGGGAGTGGGTGGCCCCCAAAGGACTGGGGCTCTGGCTGAGCCTCAGCGGCTCTGACCTCTTGCGCAGAAAGCATTGCAGGTTTAATTCCCTGGCACGTCCTTGTTAACAATCTCTGTGCCTGAGAACATGGGGGAGCTGCTGCCAGGCAGAGTTCTGGGCTAGATGGGCAGGTGGTGCACCCGCCCAGTGTGAGGCAGCCTCCAAGGAACATAAGAGCCCCGCTGGATCAGGCCAGAGACTCCTCTAGTCCAGTATCCTGTTCTGATAGGGGCCGACCAGGTGCCTGCAAGCAAGATTTGAGCACAAGAACCCTCTTCCCAACCCGCTGTTTGCAACAGCTGGAATCCAGAAGCCTCCAAAAACTACCAGTGACTCTCTAGGGCAGGTGGTCCACGACCTTTTTGGACCAGAGGGCACATTTGGAAATGTAGGAACAACAAAACAACCCATTTCACAGAATGAAAAACGGGCAGGGCTCAGAATGCCGACCCCTCTGAGCATGCAAAGCACTAGACACCCAAAACAAATAAAACTGGTAAACAAAGACCCACACACACACTTATTTTTTTTAAAAATAAATAAGTAGCGAGGGGCAGGGGGCCTTGCTGAGCACTGGGGGCGGGTACCATTGTGGGATCTCCAGCTTCTAGGGTTTCTGTGCTCTTGCTGCAGGTGTCGTGGCTTCAACCCACACAAAAGCCGCTTTCCATGCACAGCCGGGGTCTGTATAAAGTTGGAGCTGTGCTCAGCTAGTCTGTTTACCTGTTTGGAGGGCATTCTGCCCGCTACAGGTAGAAAAAGCATCCTTCCATATGGCTTCCCCCTGCCGCTGGCACAGGATAGGTTGCTGTGTGGTCCTCGTAAGGCGGTGCAAGGGAGGAGGTTGTGGCTGCAGCCGAGAGCCCATTTTTGCCTATCCTTTGGGAGCAGGGCCGTAGCTGAGTGACGCAGCTTGCATGCAGAAGGTAACTGGTTTAATCCCAAGGTAAAAGAGGCAGCGGGGCTGAGAGATGCCTTTGATGGAGACCTGTCACGACTGCTTGCAGACAAGGACGCCTGTGCAGCCAGTGGCCACCCATCGGATGTTGTTTGCCGTCATCCCTGACCATTGGCCATGCTTCGAGAGCAAGAACATGGTTGAACTACAACTCTCATCATCCCTGACCATTGGCTATGCTGGCTGGGGGCTGGTGGGAGTCCAGCAACTTCTAGGCGGCCACCAATTCCCACCCCCCCTTTCTGTGTACGCAATACTTAGCTAGGTGGAGTTCTGGTCCGGCTCTGAAAGGCAGCGCCGTATCTGCCATGCTGCCGTATGTCTTGCGCTCATTCCCCCTTGGCCTGTGAGTGCTTTGCCAGCAGCCTTCCTCTCTCACCGCCCTTCTGCTCCACCCGATACCCCCACGTTCACCAACATTGCTCCGAGATGGGACAACGCACCATAGGCATCCCTCTTTAAAACAGAAGCAGGAAACTTCCATTTTTTCCCCTTAAAGTAGTGTGAGATGGGGAGCCGTTCCTGCTCCTTTGCAGCATGCACTGACTAAATTATGATCCTGGGAGCCGATCCCACTCTCATTTCTTAGGCTGTTCTAAAACATGAAGCCTCTTCTTGATTTATTTCTCTTATTCTCTCCCCCCACCCTCAGCCAGCGTTGTTCTGGCAAACCTCTCCCTGACCCCCTTGTTTTAATTTTGCTTGAAACCAGCTGGGTTGGCATGGCATTAACTGAGGCGGGGGACGTGCCCCATCTTTTGGTACTCAACTAACCTTCCTTTTTCTTTTCTTTTTTGTCCTCTCTCTTCTCTTTCTCTTCTCTCTCTCTCCCTCTCTCATTTTGGTTTTCCTTCTCCTAATCTCCTCCTCCTTCCTCTTGCCTCTGCACAGAGCGTCTATACAGCCAGCTTGAGAAAAACCGGCTGCTGGCTAATGAGCTGAAGTTAACCCTGCATGATCTGTGTGACTGAGAAGGGGGTCTCTCCTCTGATCCTGTTTAAAGCCAGCTTTATTTGGCGAGGCGCTGGGGGGGGAGCCTGCCGGACGCAGACTTGAAACCGGAGCGCACACTCTCCCCCCCTTCCTTTTTTTTCTTTTTAAAGACTTAGGACACTTATTGCAGTTTAATTGGAGCACTTGATGCTTAGCCTTCCTAATGTACTTATTTTTCTAAGCTTTTGTTTTTCTACAAAAGCTGGGTGTTACTCACCGCCTGCTTTCTTGGCGCAGTAGCTTGCTAGCACAGGCCTGGTGGAGTGTTCATCAGCCTTGGGTGTCCCCAAAGCTTGTTTTGGACTACAAAACCCATCATCCACAGCCAGCTTAGCCCATGGCGGAGGTTGATGGGCCTTGTAGTCCAGCCACATGCGGGAACCCAAGGTTGAGAGTAGTAGCTTCTTCCTGTAGATGCAGGCTGGGGAATCTGCAGCCCTCTTGGACTCCAAGCTTCTCGCTCCCAAGACATCCCAGATCGTTGATTGAAGCTGGTGTGAATTGGGGGTGCTCCACATCACCTGGAGGCCCACAGCTTCCCCAGCCCTGCTGTAGAAGACTAGCATAGCAGTGGGGCGTTTTCTTGGCGTGGGGCGGCTCTAGATTTCCCTCCCCACCAGGCAATGCCCCTGTAGCTACTTCTGTTGACGCCCCTTTCTATGACGCGGGTCTTCTGTAGCTCGACGTTCTTTCCTCCTTCTCTCCCTGCTCCCTTTTAGACCCCTCTTGCATGGATTGGCTGACTTGGTTATTTCCAAAAAGTTATCATTTTCTTGTACCAATAAAACCACTGGCCCACTTGGTTTCGTGCCTGGCGTGTACTTTCCCTGCCTGTGCTGTTTCTTTTGTTGGATAAATGTTGCTGTCTGGCAGGTATTTTTTTAAAAAGGGGTGTGTGTGTGTGTGTGTGTTTGTGTGTGTGTATGTACGTACGTTTTGTTCCACGGAGGAGATTGGGTAGGTATCAACCTCTGGAGCGACGCCTGGACAGAAGGGGGCACCCTGTCGCTACGGGAACAGTGACCAGAATGGTGTAACCGCGCCGGAAGCGATTGGGACCCTGTTCCACCGTTCAGGGGGAACCCTTTGATGCTTGGTCAAACGGGACACCTGCCTCTGCCATCTCGGGACTCAAGCAGCCAGCCTCAAAAGGCAATCGCCTACTTCATTTATTCTTTTGGCTCTTCCCAACCCACCGTTCTGAAGCTTGGGAATGCATGGCAGCTGCCCACTCTCCTTCCAAAACTGCCAGAAGAGCAGAACTAAACTTGACTCATCTCAGAATGGCACACTTTCATGTACGGGTTGCACTGTGGCGATAGGTCTGCCTTCTGCCCGTTGTTCGGTTTTTCGAGATGCCGCGCCCGCCATTGCCACTCTGCTTGCCGGCGTCTCGATCCCGCTGCCCCTACGCAAAAGGGGTCGTGGCTTCCTTGCAGACGGGGCGGTATCTAGGGAAGCATTCACGTTCCTCCTCGAAATGGCCGCGGGGGAGCTTTCAAAAAGTCACGAGGCTCCACAGTGTCACCTCCGCATGTCGTCCATGGCTGCGTCTGTTGTTTTTTTCCAAAAGGTCTTTTTTAGCTTTGCAGCCCAAGGCATGGCAAACGAGGCAATTGCTTGAGCTTGGTTGGAATTTCATATGTATGTCTCTGTGTGTGAGTGAATACTCATTTTCCCGTCAAGTAAAAAAAAAGCCCACGTTATGATCAGGATTCTAAAGTTGCACAGGTACGGAAAAAGCCACAGGGCGGAGCACTGGGTTCACCGTCCGATTTTGGGAGCGTCTTGGCTTTAATAATAATAATAATATAAATAAATAAACCCCAAAGCTGCTCATCCTTAGCTCAGCACTACCAAGATGCATTTGAAAGTTTGGTGCTGTAAATCTCAGGAGGGGCTGGCACGCAGGACGACACTCTGCATGTTCATTTGGGAGATAGCCCCACCACTCTGCTTACACCCTGGGTGAGCGAGGTTCAGTTTACACCTCCAGTCCCTGTGCTGTCCCCCCACAGCCAGAGGCAGGAAGCCCCCGAATGCTGTTTACTTGGAACTGCAGGTGGTGGAAATGTGGTTGAACTAGAGTCCTGCTTGTGGTCCTCCCGGAAGATGCATCTGGTTGGCCACTGTGAGAAGAGGGTGATGGGCTAGAAATGCCTTTGGCCTGATCCAGCGGAGCTGTTCTTACAAGTAGCAGTCGTGGGGAGGTAGGGGGGTCCCTTGCCTTCATGCCCAGCCTCTGCGGGCTTCCTGGAGGAATCTGATTGGCTGCTGTAAGAACAAGATGTTGGACTCCTTGCGTTCCTAACATTTAAGCAGCAAGGCTTTGGCATACCCTGTTCTCCCTTCCCTGCTGTTAACTCAGTCTGGATCAAAAGGGGTCACAAAAACGAGCAGCTAAGCCGCGGGTGGCGCTAAGGGTTAAACCACAGAGCGTAGGACTTGCCGATCAGAAGGTCGGCAGTTTGAATCCCTGCGACAGGGTGAGCTCCCGTTGCTCGGTCCCTGCTCCTGCCAACCTAGCAGTTCGAAAGCACGTCAAAGTGCAAGTAGATAAATAGGTACCGCTCCGGCGGGAAGGTAAATGGTGTTTCCGTGTGCTGCTCTGGTTCGCCAGAAGCGGCTTAGTCATGCTGGCCACATGTACGCCGGCTCCCTCGGCCAATAAAGCGAGATGAGCGCCGCAACCTCAGAGTCGGTCACAATTGGACCTAATGGTCTGGGGCCCCTTTACCTTTAAGCCAAAGTTTGGGTGGGGTGGGTGTGTCAAACTGGCTGCATTTTTTCCGGCTCGGGGCACACAACAGCTCTGAAAATCCGCAGGCCCGGCTGGATGACAACCAAGCACCTCTGCATGTGGATGGCGAAAGCATAAAATGGAAGCATGAGTGTGGATGGGGTGGGGAGACCTAGCGTTCCGGCTTGGTTGGGGGGCAAACAGAATCAAAAGCTTTCGCGTGGCTGCGTTTGCTGTGAAGGGCACTGCGTTGCTGGGGGGGAAATGCACCTTTCTGGGAGGGCGCGAGCTCCCTCTAGGCGCTCCCTCCTGACCCGGCCGCTCACGGTCTCTGCTCTTCCTTTCCAGATAAGCTGAAATGCACCAAAGAAGAGCACCTTTGCACGCAACGGATGTTGGACCAGACTCTGCTTGACCTGAACGACATGTAAAAGACCCTGCCCGCCCGCCCATCGGCCTCACCCTGGCTCCCCCACCCACCTACCCCACTGCCTTTTTGTAGCCAATCCAGCGGGCAGCTTCCTGCTGGGGCCGGCTCTTGTCTTAAAAAAAAGAACGAAAAGTTGACCTCTAACCCTTGAAGGGTCAAAGGTTAACCTTCCCGCTCTCATTGCCAACTTAACCAAAAGCCTCTGCCAATCCACCTCCCCTCTATCTTCCCTCCAGTCCCTCTGCACCCCCCTAAACGATTATGGGGCCATCAGACTGGGCAGTTGCCAGCAGCATCACGAAACGAAAACCCGGCACGCAACGCAATATTCGGGTGTCTGTGTGTCTGAAACGTACATTCCTTTGCAGTCGTCGGGGGAGAGGGCAATTATTTTGGAGCAGGGAAGTAAAAACGCCCCTTGCGAGGAACAGCGTTTGTAATTCCTAGGGCTCACAAGCTTGTGGGCTTTTAGAGGTTTGCGGTTTCACCTCCTTGACCTGCTTTTTTTTTCTTGCTGGGTTTTTTGGGGGGGGCAGGGTTTGGTTGGAATGGGACACGTCTGCAGCCTGTGGAAAGGTTGCAAATGTCCCGCCTGAGCCAGATAAATGGAAAAAGCCTCATGAAATTTATTGAGGGGGACGGAAACGTGGCCTCTGTACAAAGAAATCCCTCTTAAAAATTTTTTTTATGGGGGTGGGGGAGTACCTAGAACTTCTTTGCTTCTGGCAGAGGTGACCGTGTATGTGTGTGTGTGTGTGTGTGTTTTGCCAAAATGGTGCAGTCTTAACACACTCTCTTGTGCTTTATAGCTATTTCTAGTTTGGGGAACACATATATATCAAAATATATCAGGTTTCACGATCCATTTCGCTCTCTAAACACGCACCTAACTCTTTTCCTCGAGCACCTTGGCCTTCTCCCCTCCTTCAAGCTTCTTACACCTGTTTACTAAGAGCAGGCTGCTCCCCAGTCTCCTGTAACCAAGAAATCTCTCTTCCCCAGCTAGGCTTAGCTTGCTCTGTGCTTTTTTGAGTAAAAGCTTTTGTAGCTTCTGTGTATGGGTGTGTGAGCATGAGGAGAGGAGCTCTCTCTTTATCCTAGTGCTCTTCCGGACGCAAGGGGTTGGTTCCCTCCCCTTCTTGAGCCGCAGGATCTTACTGTACTGTCTTAAAACAAAAAAAAAAACTGGATACCAGCCGCCACAAGGCCCTTTGCTGTTTGGAGACTTGATTTATCAAGGGGTGTGGGGTTTATTTTTGCCTTTGTGTAAAAAAAAGGAGGGTGTTGCCTTGAAGCAGAGAGGAACAAGTGTTCATGGTGTGGCGGTCTTTTTCTTTTTTTTTTTTAGCGGCCAGTGTGGAAAAAATGAGGAACCATATCAAGTATTTTGATACTAAAAAACCTTGTCTTTTATTGTCTGATTTTTTGGGGAAATAATAAACAGAAGCATTCCCTTCACTGTTGCAATTTTCTTCTTGTATTTCACAAGGGCCTTGTTAATTGTTGATATTAATGCGAGGAGTAATTACCAGGAGGGGGGAGGAGATGGCTTTACAGGTACAGTGGTACCTTGATTCTCAAACTTAATCCGTTCTGGAAGTCTGTTCCAAAACCACGACACACTTTCCCATAGAAAGTAATGCAAAAGGGATTAATCCGTTCCAGACTTTTAAAAACAACCCCTAAAACAGAAATTTAACATGAATTTTACTACCTCTACAGTTGTTAGGGGACGTGGGTGGCGCTGTGGGTTAAACCACAGAGCCTAGAACTTGCCGATCAGAAGTTCGGCAGTTCGAATCCCTGCGACGGGATGAGCTCCTATTGCTCAGTCCCAGCTCCTGCCAACCTAGCAATTTGAAAGCACGCAGTGCGAGTAGATAAATAGGTACCGCTCTGGCGGGAAGGTAAATGGCATTTCCGTGCACTGCTGTGGTTCGCCAGAAGCGGCTTAGTCATGCTGGCCACATGCATGCCGGCTCCATCGGCCAGTGAAGCGAGATGAGCGCTGCAACCCCAGAGTCGTCCGCAACTGGACCTAACGGTCAGGGGTCCCTTTACCTTACAGTTGTTCTTAATGGTTTTCTTGCCTTTGCTGCTTTTATCCATTTAAGCAATCACACAATCAATCAATCAGTAGCTGAACTGGGTTCCACACAGTCACAAAAACAAGTCACAAGCCACAGTCACGAAAATGAAAAAGCCACACGAGCACAAATGCAAAAGAAGAAAAAAAGGGAAGACAAAAGCACCAAATATAAGCTACAAATATCACCTCCGTGTTTCGTGGGTGCTTGGGACTCAACAGCCGACAGAATGGAACCCTCAGAAAGGAAGAGGAAGTCTCCAATTAGCAGGGGGGGGGTTCAATTTACAAACTGAACACATTCAGAAAGGAAGCGGAACAGCGTAGGGACTCAAAACGGAGCATGTTTGGCTTCCCCAAAAAAAGTTTGAAAACCGGAACACCTATTTCCAGGTTTGCAGCGTTTGGGTTCCAAGTAGTTCAAGAACTAAGCTGTTTGAAAACTGAGGTACCACTATACTAATTTCCAAGTCCTATAGGCAGGGGTGCAGTGAACCTTCTGAGGACCACGTGCTATTGGTGGTATAAAGTGGGTGGATCAATGGATGCAACTCCTCAACGGAAATGCGAGGAACCATTGGGGAACCAGATGTCAATGAAATACAGCTCCCATCAGCCCCAGCAAGCATGGCCAGTGATCAGGGATTATGGGAGTTGTAGTTCAGCAACATCTGGATGGCCCAAGGTTTCCTGCAGCGGTGTGTGCAATTTGGGGAGGGTGCTGTGGCATAACACAAAACAACTGCCACATGCGAGAGCAGAAAAAGACGCAATCATGGTATTATTAAGAGCATTTGTGTCCCCCTGTTTAGCTAAAAAGGCTCCCAGAGTGGATCCCTCCATTAAGAGAGACTGTCCCTGTCCGCAGGCTTACAGTTAAAAAATAACAAACCCCCCACACACAAAATGCAAGGGGACAGGAAAGGAAGAGAGGGGGAAATTATACTCTTGCACCAATTCTTAAACAGTTTGTTCTTATAATAGCCATTTAACCCAGTTCAGGGACGCGGGTGGCGCTGTGGGTTCAACCACAGAGCCTAGGACTTGCCGAACAGAAGGTTGGCGGTTCGAATCCCCGCGACGATGTGAGCTCCCGTTGCTTGGTCACTCCTGCCAAGCTAGCAGTTCGAAAGCACATCAAAGTGCACGTAGATAAATAGGTACCGCTCCGGCGGGAAGGTAAACGGCATTTCCGTGCGCTGCTCTGGTTCGCCAGAAGCGGCTTCTTCATGCTGGCCACATGACCCGGAAGCTGTACACCGGCTCCCTCAGCCAATAAAGCGAGATGAGCACCGCAACCCCAGAGTCGGCCACGGCTGGACCTAATGGTCAGGGGTCCCTTTACCTTTACCTTAACCCAGTCCAAGGATAGGAGGTGCCTGATGGAACTGGGCTTTCAGTTGCTCGATGGTGTGGGCAAATTGTCCACCTCCAAATATCAGCTGTCCTATCAATGGGGAACTTACATCAGGTACCACCACAAATGTTTCCAAGGAGATGCTCTTTGCTTGTTCTCCCCTGTTCAAAACTTAACGGGAAGGTGGGCATCCGATCCTGGCACACGCTGAAATGCAGACATATTTAACATTGTGTGTCCAATGCAGGAGTGGGACAGAGTCAGTGTACACTGAGAAGGAAAAGCAAACCTTTCCTTGCCCACTGTGGAACTTTGAGGGATGTTCACCAAGACATTTTGTGGGTGCCACTGGCGTGCCGTGTGGGCAATCCCTGCAGATAAAAATATGCCTGAGAAAAAGGGTATTACTAAAGACCTCGTGGGAGGGCATTCCTGCAGTGTACTGTTCCGGTCTTGACAGCACTTCTAAAGGGTGTGGTGCAAATACTGTGCCACCTCTTTGCCAGGGCATTTAGACACTTAAGAGGGTAGGCATACATTATTTTTATTTACAAAGTTCTCTCATGCCGCCTCCAAAGAACGAGACATGTATGTGGCATTCTTCTCATACCACACACTAGACATTTTCAACCTTCGGTCTACAGCTCCCTTGACTGACTACATTCTTTCTGCAAACCATGGCTAGAAAAGCCACCTCTGTTGGTCTGTCACCCCCCCCCCCCCAACTTTATTATCTGGGTTATGAAGGCGCCCTAAAGACGTTAAAGCAAAGACTATGGGATAATACACACAGTGACTTGCGATCTCGATCACACGCAATCTGTAGTCCGCTGGCAGTAGGAGTACAATTTGGGCATGTCTTTTAAGTTAACACCTTACATTAAAAACCTGACAGTACCAAATTATCGAAGGTTATTCACTAAAGCCAAACTAAACCAATGTTGGATGGCAGGTTGAGAGGAGTTCCCTACCAGGACAGACTTTGCTTGTGTGCTCAAGGCATCAATTCTATAAAACATAATCTGCTGCACTGTGCGAAATATGAGCAAGTCAGGGCTGAACTGATATTACGCTTGTGGTACCTTTCCCGGGCAAATCAGAGGCTTACTATGTCAGGTTCCTATTGGAAGACTGGACAAACGCTAGAACATTAGCAGTGGCAAAGTTTTTATCAGCGGTTGCAAGAACCAATGATCCCTATCTTTTAAGTCTGAACAAAATGCTTGTTTAAGCTGGAGGTAGGTTGTCTGAATTGTGCATTGCTTTGTAACGATTTGTTGGGTCTCTGGACCGTAATAAAGATTGATTGATTGATTGATTGATTGATTGACATTCTTTCTGCAGCACCCCAGTGGGGCTCAGGAGCCCAGTTACACCTGCAGAACCAGCAGCCTCTCACCCTTTTTTGAACACCCTCCCTTGCAGAGTCTTTCCCCAGCCTCCTTTCCGCTCCCCTCTCCTCGGGAGTTCTCTGGACAACCGCTGCCGCCACCCCTGGTCTCTGAGCTGCCCCCACACACCCCAAAGAGAGGTGCCTCCTTACAGTGCACCAGAGGGGCCTGGGAAGCACACCCCTCATCAGCCCCAGACGCACCATTCGCCTGCAGAGCTTGTAACCAGGGCTGCTGCAACAAACAGCTGTGCAATCCTTTCAGATGCAGAGACACAAGAGGGCATCAGAGGAGGAAGAGAAGGAAAGGAACAGAGGCCAGTGTTGCCCGCGGCACCCCTGACCATCATTCAAGGCACCCCAGGGTGCCACGGCACACTGGTTGAAAACCACTCCCATATACACCTTTAATCCTCACAGCCACCTTGTGGAGGTCAGGCTAAGGGAGAAAGTGATTGACAGAAGTCTGCAACCATCTTATCCCTCCAGCGACCATGCATGGAAAGTTAAGAACGGAGTGACAGGCCTAAACAATATTCCATCCATTAAAAAAAAAAATCTTTGCAGCAGCCCTGTCCTGTGAAAAACAGGCCAGCCGGCCAGCTTCAAGTCCCCATATGTTGTTAGACTACAGCTTCCATCATCCCTGAGCACTGGTCCTGCTAGCTAGGGATGATGGGAGCTGTAGTCCAAAAACAGCTGGAGACCCAAGCTTGGGAAACACTGGGTTAGTGCAAGCCCTCCTGCCTTCCTTCATTGATTAAACAGGCATGGCCAAACTTTGCCCTCCAGCTGTTTTTTGGGACTACAACTCCCATCATCCCTAGATAGCAGGACCAATGGTCTGGGATGATGGGAATTGTAGTCCCAAAACAGCTAGCCGGCCAAGTTTGGCCATGCCTGGATTAAGAGATGACCTCCCTGCAAGCAATGCTGACCACATGATGCCATGCCTCAATTAAGGCTGCAGCCGTCAGAAGCACCTAAATTGGGAACAATGCAGGAATCCTAGCACAGGCTTCGAGTCAAACCCGTAGACTTCCGATACCGGGCTGCGCATGCGCGCAGGCAAGCCCTTTCCCTAGCTAAACAGCAAAACGAGCCACGAGGTGAGACGGAGCATGCGCAGACCGAGACCGGTGGAGAGGCGGGAAAGTGCAGAGAGACCAAGCGCACGTAATCGAAGGTGTGGGAAAGGTGAGAGCACGCATGCGCAAGGACAGAACGTCCAGAGTGCTAACAAGGTTCCTAAGCGCCGACGCATGCGCAGAACTAGGGCTCGTGCGAGGCAGAAGGGATCCCGCGGCCATTTTGAGCCGCGGCGGCTTGGGGCTTTTCTTCCGACGATGGGGCTGGGCTGGGCCCCTCCAGTAAGGCCGGCCCTTTTCCTGTTCGGCTTGGCGCTTTTGGCGAGGCCGGCCGGCGCCTATAAGCTGAACACGCCGAAGGTGCTGCTGCCCTTCAGCCGGGACAAGCGCGTCCCCTTCGTGCTGGGCGCTGAGGGCGGTTGCTACTCCTGGTGAGGGGCGGGACCCTGCGAGAGGGGCGGGGCTTAGGCGGAGAAAACGCGAGTGTAGCGGTGACGTCATGGTGGGCGTGGCCAGGGGAACAGGTTCAACATTTTCATTAATACCAGAAGTGCTTGTTGGCCGTTTGCAGTCTAATAGCCTGACCTCCTCGCAGTTGCTTTGAAGATAAAATGCTCCGTGTTGGGGTAGGCAGGGGAGAAGGGGAACCATGCTAAGCCGCTTCAAGATCCAGAAAAATAGGAATGTACTTGCAGTGTTTTATTTACCTCCTGCCTTTTTCCCCACAAGGAGTTCTATGAGGTTAATCTAGGTAAAAGGTAAAGGGGCCCCTGACCATTAGGTCCAGTCGTGGCCGACTCTGGGGTTGTGGCGCTCATCTCACTTTATTGGCTGAGGGAGCTGGCGTACAGCTTCCAGGTCATGTGGCCAGCATGACTAAGCCGCTTCTGGCGAACCAGAGCAGCGCACAGAAACGCCGTTTACCTTCCCACTGGAGCGGTACCTATTTATCTACTTGCACTTTGACGTGCTTTCGAACTGCTGGCTTGGCAGGAGCAGGGACCAAGCAACAGGAGCTCACCCCGTTGCGGGGATTCGAACTGCCGACCTTCTGATCGGCAAGTCCTAGGCTCTGTGGTTTAGACCACAGCGCCACCTGCGTCCCTTGAGGTTAATCTAAGCCTCGATTATTGCTCATTGAAAACTCTCCATTTTATCCTCCCAACAACCCTGCGAGGTAGGTTAAGCCGAAAGAGGTATCGACACCTAGTCAGCTTCATGGCTGAGTGGGGTGATTTGAACCCAGGTCTCTTAGCTCCTAGTTCAACACACTAACTACTGCACCACCAATGGCTCTCCTTCCCATGCACCTCATGCTGTAGCAAATGGCAGTGACATGAAAACATAGAACTGATGAGCAAATGATAAATAGTGAGATTGATATATTTGCCTTCCCTCAAAAGCACTCAAATCAATGTATCATTTAAAAAAACAAATGCTTACAAAAGACACCATCCAAAAAATGAGAGGAGGGAGAGGGAGCTGAGCAAATTTGGGTACTAGTTCTTACGTAACTGCTCAAAGGACCTGGTGGAATTACTGCTGATGGAAACGAAGGGGAGGAGCCAAGTGGCAGGTGATCCTTGCCACCAAGAAGATGGAGGGTTCCTTGCTGCCTCAGTTCCACATTTGCATCTCTCTGCTCTTCCTTGAGAGAGGGGCACAGGAGAGTGCAAGCCTTGTCTCATCTGCTCTGCAGGTACTCCACACGCCATGACACAGTCACCATTGATCCAATGTACGAGAATGGGACGGCTTGCTCTCAGAAAGCTTTGCTGACCACCTGCTCTACACAGGCCACAAAGCTGGCCAGCGTTATTTTAGCAGAGGAGACAGGTAGGTGAGCTAAAGAAGGGGAATTCTGAAACAGATTTGTTTCTATAGGGATAGGGGTCTAGGGTGCCATTCAAACCTGGGGAATGAAGAACCCCAAACGCTGAGCATGTGCAGAGTGTGCCTTCCCTTTATCACTGAATGAGCAATTTGGGGGCTCAGAAAAGTTTCCCAGACAAGCAGGGATTGTCCACATCCACCCTTATTCTTCCCCTGTTATGAGACACAGATACAGGATTACATGTGGTGGGTGGGCGACACCCACTTTTGTTCCTCCTCCCAGTGACAGGTCATCTGCTGCGTTGTGATGTCATTGTGGATCTGATAGACCATGTTGAGATCATCTCCCGAACTCGAGAGATCTATGTGGAAGACTCCCCACTCGAGCTGAGTGTGAGAGCTCTGGATGCTGAAGGTAATCTTACCGGGGGTAGCCTGTGACACTCGGAGCACCTGCTGGAAAGATATCTGTATGCTCTGCATTTGCAAACCTCTTAAAATATTGTAACCAAATTTTGGACACCGTTTTGAATCAAGACTGCAAACTGCACCTTTCAAAACTGCACTGATTTTTTGTTTCGTTTTTTAGAATTTACAAGCAATGCTGGGTATGAGGCAGCCAGTCACTTATAAGCCCAGTTCTTCATATCACTCTGTCTACATTATTGTTATTATTCTTAATTACTTTTCTCTCTGGGGTTGATACACCCTTTTGACCTGCTAGTGGGACTCTGTTTTCTCCCTTTTGACATGACAAGATAGGTCACAGTGCTCTGTTAACTATTTATGGTGTACGCCTAAAGTTAGCAAGGAGGTGGCCTATTTTATCCACAACAACATAATTTGCATTCTTCTCTGTATTTCAACTGATGCTTCTGCTCATCTTCACACTCACGTAGTTTTGGAACAAGACCTGTTAGCATCTTCCTCTCTGTTGCCAGCAAGGATCTCAAGGTGAGATAGCTTTGGAGCAAAAGCCAGATCAGGACTATAGCATGGTCAGAGGGTTCAAGCCCTCGCCCCTCATTCTGTGGTCCTGATCCTCCCTCCCCACCCCCGTGTGACTTAAAAACAAAAAACCAGTCATACAAAGCTAAGCTACATGACAGACATCATCACATCGCATCTCCTTTGGCCCTGAGCCTGGGCTCGTTTTTGGATCCTGCCTGCAGGGAACACGTTCAGCAGCTTGGAGGGGTTGGAATTTGAGTGGAGCATCGCCAAGGACGATGAGTTGGAAAACGTGGAGCTCTCGAGCAAAATTAGGTAAGATGAAACCCCAAGTGGCCAAGTGTGATTAATAAAATCCTAAACGACACGGGAGGTTACGTGTGTGCTCCACTGGGTAGACTGCTGAAGTTGATAGATTTCATTCTATTGCATCCTTGCTTTGAACTCATTACTTCCGTCTAAGGAGAGGTGCTCACTGTTGTTAAGTCCTCAGATGCATAAATGTGAGAGTCCCATATAGCTCATGTCCCCTTCCCTATCTCCTGTAAGAGGGGCATCTAACCTGTTGCTAGATTCCAGTGGCCGCCACCACCACCACTCGTCCACTGGCCATGCTGGCTGGGGCTGATGGGTTTGGGGGGTCTTAACAGCGGCTGCAGGTTTTTCACCCACCCTATACATTTCACCCTGCTTGTTTATTTACTCTTAAAGCAGTGACAGACCTTTGTTCTCTCAGTAAAAGCCCAGTTTGGTTTCTTTAGGATTTTAAAATACTCTGAGGCAGAATATTCTCCACCCGACTACGTAGTTGAGATGGAAAGAGAGGAGAAACAAGGAGATAGGATTCTGGTGTCAGGGATCAAAACGGGCGCAGCTGTCGTAAAGGTCCGAATACAGGAGCCTGTTTACAAGGTGAGTACTCACTCTGCCCTCCCAGAGGGATCCCAGCAGTGCAAGGCAAGGTCAGGGCCTACCAAAGCTATAGAGGTGACATCCACACCATACATTCAGAGTGCTCTTTGCCACTTTAACAGTCATGGCTTCCCCCAAAGAATCTGGGAAACTGTCATTTGTTAAATAGAGCTATTAGGAGATCATTCGCTGAGCTACGGTTCCCAGAGTGGTTTAACAATCTGGGAACTCTGGAAATAGCAGCTCTGTAAGAGGAGCAGAGGTCCTGCTAACAACTGCCATCATCCTTTGCAAACCAATTCCTGGGGGAATTGCAGTGGGGTTGGACTAGATGACCCTTCGAGTCCTTTCCAACTCATTCTGTGATTTTAAGAGTGCTTTAAATGTATGGAATGGAGGTGACAGGCGGCAGTTTTAAACGAGCAGAAAGTCATCTGGTGGAGCCATCGTCGCTCCTGCACCCTGTGGAGATTAAACCAAAGCAACTATCTTGAATGCCAACCAGGAGGGGGCATAGAATGCGATGGAATCACTCAGTCCTTTTTTAGTTTTGAAAGAGTCTTACAAGTAAAACGACTGCAAAGCATAATATATATTTCTTTATGTCTACATTTCTCTCTGCGTGCCTCTGGTGGTGCTTTCTCAATGTTCCAGAAAGTTGCTGCTGCCCTGGTGCGCCTGCTGGTTTTGGAGAACATATTCTTAATCCCTTCCTATGATGTCTACCTGCTGGTCGGAGCCTACATTAAGTACAAAGTTGGCAAAATAGTTCAGGGAAAGATCACAGGTACATTCCTAATCTTCTGGGTGACTCTATGCATAATTTAGTCTCCTGGCTGCGAAATCCTACACGTGCTTACCAGTGTCAGAAACTCTCACTATTCTAGGCACATTTTTGACAGGGAATTCATTAGCGCGAGCAGTTTCTGAGCTCTGAGTGCAGTACTGAGCCTAAGATTTCAGATTAAAAAGGCAGAGTGGAAGGAAAGGAGGACCTTTTTCTGCCTCCTCACTTCCAGCTACTCTCGGAAGACTGGAGAAGAATATTAGGGGGGTGAGCAGGGGCAGGACTAGACCATGTGAAAAATGAACATAATATTTTAGCTGCAGTTCATTCATTTTCAGCTTTGCATTCTTGTTATAAAAATAGCACGCCTAGGCATTCCGTTGTTGCACTAATAATAATAATAATAATAATAATAATAATAATAATTTATTATTTATACCCCGCCCATCTGGCTGAGTTTCCCCAACCACTCTGGGTGGCTCCCAATCAAGTGTTAAAAACAGTACAGCATTAAATATTAAAAACTTCCCTGAACAGGGCTGCCTTCAGGTGTCTTTTAAAGATAGGGAGGGTGTTCCACAGGGTGAGCGCCACTACCGAGAAGGCCCTCTGCCTGGTTCCCTGTAACTTCGCTTCTCGCAGCGAGGGAACCGCCAGAAGGCCCTCGGTGCTGGATCTCAGTGTTTGGGCTGAACGATAGGGGTGGAGACACTCCTTCAGGTATACTGGACCGAGGCCATTTAGAGCTTTGAAGGTCAGCACCAACACTTTGAATTGTGCTCGGAAACGTACTGGGAGCCAATGCAGATCTCTCAGGACCGGTGTTATATGGTCCCGGGCGGCCACTCCCAGTCACCAGTCTAGCTGCCGCATTCTGGATTAATTGCAGTTTCCGGGTCACCTTCAAAGGTAGCCCCACGTAGAGCGTATTGCAGTAGTCCAAGCGGGAGATAACTAGAGCATGCACCACTCTGGCGAGACATAACCTAGGTTTAAGGTGCCATTTAGCTCCTAGCTTTCACACCTCAGTTTCTAACACTGATGCTTACTCAGAAGTGAGCCCCACAGTGTTCGGTGAAGCTCAATCACTAGTAAGGGTGGTTTGGTTGAAGGATACGTACCAGTGGTGGCAGATCTGCCATCCTCCAGACTTTATTGGACTACAGCTCCTACATCTAACTATTAGTTTTGGCCTATAATGCTTTTCCCAGCTTCAGTGCTTTTATTGAGTTGGAAAATTGAATCATACTTACTATGAATAGCACTGAAGCCAAAGGCAATACTTGATCACTGCCCTGACATCCCTGCTGGGTTGGGGTGGGAGAGGGAGGCTGTGTAAAGAACACACCTGAGCGCAGCAGCTATGGCTGGGAATAACTGACTGAGCTTGGCCGGCCCTTTATCTCCACAGAGGTGCAATTGCCTCTTGAGCACTATGAGCTGGAGCTACAAGATGCAGTGAAGGCACCTAACGCTTCTGGCCTCCCCGTGGCCAAACTGGATGCAAAGACAGCTACCATCACCGCCATTCAGCTGGGACAGGTTAACCTGGTCTTAGTCCATAAAAGTATCCTTAAAGAACTTAGACCGGGCTGCAGCTAGCTGTTTCTTTTCTTTTAATTTATCATTTTCCAGTTTTGCAACAATCAAACAAATTATTTAACGAAACAAAAAATGCACATCAGATTCACTGCCCCTCCCCCCCATCTGTGGTTCCTTTCATTTTATCTTTACTACTGCATATCTAAATTAATTCCTTTATTGTTTATTCCTCTAAAAAAAAATCCTTTATTTGCCTTTACTTCTCGTTCTATATAACCCCGCTATTGTTTTAAGTTGCTTAGAATAATTTCTCAAATGTTCAACAAACTTTCCCCAGTCTTTGTTAAAGGTTCTTTCTTCCTGGTTCTTTATTCTTCTGTAAGTTTACCCATCTCAGACTGCTCCCATCAGTTTTATCTGCCAGTCCTCCTTGGTTGGATCTGCTTCTTCTTTCCATTTCTGTGCATAAATCATCTGGGCAGCCGTTGTTGCAAACACAAATATCCCCCCCCCCCCGCCCCAGTCTTTGGGTATCTCCTGACCTATTATTCCTAAGCAACTAGCTGTTTCGGTCTTCCCTGACGCATGACCCCTGAAATCCTGAGGCATCCCTGAATAGCTTCCAGGAGGCTAAGCACACCCACTTTTCATTGTTGCACAAGGGCTCATGCACTAGCAGGGTGTGTGTGTGTTAAATGTTGTGCAACAGAGGAATCCCAACACAACAGCTGCACCAGCAGAAACTCATCGTGCAAGAATTCTAGGAGCTATAGTTCGTTGAGTGTGCTAAGAGTTGTTAGGAGATCCCCCCCTCCCCTTATTCCTCCCACAGAGCTATAATTCTCCAAGTTCCCTGTGAAAGAGGGATTGAGTGTTAAACCACTTGGGGAATTGTAGCTCTGTGACGGGAATAGAGGCCTCCTAACAACTCTCAGCTGCCCTAATAAATGACAACTCCCAGAATTTTTGGGAGAAGCCGCCATGACTGTCAAAAGTAGTATCATGGGGCTTTAAATGCACGGTGTGAATGTGACCAGCGTTGTCGGCAACCTGCTAATACATTCTCTCGCGCAACAGTGTGGTGCAGTGGTTAAGAGCGGTGGACTCGTAATCTGGTGAACTGGGTTCGTGTCTCCGCTCCTCCACATGCAGCTGCTGGGTGACCTTGGGCCAGTCACACTTCTCTGAAGTCTCTCAGCCCCACTCACCTCACAGAGTGTTTGTTGTGGGGGAGGAAGGGAAAGGAGAATGTTAGCCGCTTTGAGACTCCTTCGGGTAGTGATAAAGCGGGATATCAAATCCAAACAATATTCTACTGGGGCAAAACATTTCACCAGCAGAACAAGCATACCGCTAAGTGGTTTCAGTGTAGTGCCATATCGGATCCAACCCCGTGTTTAATGTGAAACAACCTCTGCCCCTTTCATCCTTCTCCTCCTCTCAATTTACAATGAGACTGAATTCCTTACTGAAGAGATTAAGACATCCACATGCGAGCCTCCTCTGGACTTCCCAACTGCAGCATATACGTTGTGGAGCCTGGATATTTAGGTAAACGGTCCCTCCCACATCTCCATGCAGAGTTTTGACTATATATGCACTTGGGCTTTTTCCTAAGGAAGAGGGTGATGTAGGTGACAGTGGTGATGTGCATCTGGCCTCACCTCCAAAACTGAACAAACCATAATTCCCAGGATGTGCTTTAAAGGTATGGTTGCTGTGCAGCCTGTAACTCCCTTTGCAGCCATCCTGTTGGGGAATTTATCTCCTGTACCTTTTCTGGTCAGCATGGAGCTGGATTCTATCACTCTGGGGAGGGAGGGAACCTAGAAGAGGTCCTGCCTCAGTGGCAGTGAAGGCTGGTGCCCGTTGCCACTGGTAGGACTCGAGGCAGAGACCTATAATAGGTGGAGACAGAGCAAATGATAGGTGAAGCCAACTAGCCTCTTGTTTTGCTCCCATCATCCTCTTCCCTGCTGAAAAGGGAAGGGCAAATTGAGGCTAAGGGGGAAGAGGAAGTCAACCCCCTGGGCTAGTCGTAAGAAAGACGACTGAGTTGTCTAAGGTTGAGGTTCTCAGGAAGAGAAGGCCAACAAGGGAGCCAAGTATGGGCAATGTCCAGTGAACACGATGCCGGGTCCCCCAGCTGCTAAATGTGAAACTTAGGATCATGCAGTATGTGTTTCCTTTGCCTCATCTTACAGAAATGCTTTTCGTTTGGCTTCCGTTGTGCAACTGATTGCAGGTTTCACTGTCCAGCCCGGCAACAGGTGGATCCTAGAAGTTAAGCGAGAGTATACCATCACAGTCGAAGTGTATGACAAATCGAGCACCAAGATCTACCCGTCCGATGTGAGTAGGTGTCAGCTTGGGAAAGAAGCTCAAAGATCTCTCCCAAATGCCAGCATTAACTTGCAATGAGATCCTGTGCATGTTATGTCTGAAATCACACCTACCCCAAATTCCAGAGTAAATGTTCATAGGATTGCAGCCTTAAAGTGTCATCCAATATAGACATATTTGGGGTAAAGGTAAAGGGACCCCTGACCATTAGGTCCAGTCGTGGCCAACTCTGGGGTTGCGGCGCTCATCTTGCTTTATTGGCCGAGGGAGCCGGTGTACAGCTTCTGGGTCATGTGGCCAGCATGGCGAACCAGAGCAGCGCACGGAAACGCCGTTTACCTTCCCGCCGGAGCGGCACCTATTTATCTACTTGCACTTTGACATGCTTTCGAGCTGCTAGGTTGGCAGGAGCAGGGACTGAACAATGGGAGCTCACCCCGTCACGGGGATTCGAACCGCCGACCTTCTGATCGGCAAGTCCTAGGCTCTGTGGTTTAGACCACAGCGCCACCCACGTCCCATATATAAGCCCCACGAAATTCAGTGGGACTTAATTCTGAGGAACACACATAGGACTGAGGGGTTTCGTGGCACATAGTGAAACTATGGAACTCACTGAGTTTCTGTGCGTTTCTGAGCACAATTCAAAGTGTTGCTGCTGACCTTTGAAGCCCTAAACAGCCTCAGCCCAGTATACCTGAAGGAGCGTCTCCACCCCCATCGTTCAGCCCGGACACTGAGGTCCAGCGCCGAGGGCCTTCTGGCATTTCCCTCGCTGTGAGAAGTGAGGTTACAGGGAACCAAGCAGAGGGCCTTCTCGGTAGTGGCGCCTGCCCTGTGGAACACCCTCCCAGCAGATGTCAAGGCAATAAGCAACTATTTTACTTTTAAAAGTCAACTGAGGGCGGCCCTGTTTAGGGAAGTTTTTAATATTTGGTGCTGTATTGTTTTTAATATTTGGTTGGAAGCCGCCCAGAGTGGCTGGGGAAAGCCAGCCAGATGGGCGGGGTATAAATAATAATAATAATAATAATAATAATAATAATTATTATTATTATTATTTATTATGTCCACCGAGCTAGATGTCTTTAAAAGAGGATTAGAGAAATTCATGGAGGACAAGGCTGTCAATGGGTGCTTGGCCAGTGTGGTGTAGTGGTTAAGAGCGGTAATCTTGTAATCTGGGGAACCGGGTTCGATTCCCTGCTCCTCCACATGCAGCTGCTGGGTGACCTTGGGCCAGTCACACTTCTTTGAAGTCTCTCAGCCCCACTCACCTCCCAGAGTGTTTGTTGTGGGGGAGGAAGGGAAAGGAGAGTGTTAGCCGCTTTGAGACTCCTTCGGGTAGTGATAAAGCGGGATATCAAATTCAAACTCTTCTTCTTGGCATGATGGCTGTGCCGTGCCTCTGCAGTCAGGGGGATTAATGCTTCTGAATCCCAGTTGCTAAAAACTGCAAGAGCGAAGAGAATGCTTTTGTGGCCAGTCCTGCTTGTGGAGTTCACACTGAGGCATCTGGTTGGCCACTGTGAGAACAGGATGTTGGATTAGATGGGCCACTGGCCTGTCTGTTGGGTCTACAAAAAACAACAAGAGTCTTTAAAAATTGGATGCAGGCACTGAAGAATTTGAAAACACCTTCCAGCCTCGTAGGTTTCCTTGGAGTCAACTCCGAGGACACAATGATTCTGTCGATCTGTGACCTTTTCGCTGTGCTTCTGATAAAGTGTTTGATATCACACTGTCCCTCCTTCTGACAACATTTCCCCCCACCCCTTGATTTCCAGAATCTTCGAATAACTCACCAGTTCCCCCAAGAATACTTTCAAGAGTTTATATCTTCAGTGAACGGCTCCTACCATGTAGTTCGGGTTTTGAAGGATGGCGTCACCGTCATTGAAGCCGCGCTGGTGTCTGTTCTCCTCCAGGTAAAAGAAAAGCTCCTTTGTCGTAGTAGCATATGGATATTCTCTGGCCTGGATTTATGGGTTTGCAATAATATAATAATAGTAGGTCTCAACATTGGATGCTGGCTAGGAATTTGAGATATTTTGCTAGCCCTGCAGGCTTCAATATTTATTCCTTGTTATGTACATCTTTTTGGTTTTTTTTAAGACTGAAAATTCAGATCAATCATTCCTCCCTTTCCTTCAGAGTGGTTCAGAAGATTTATTAAAGCCGCCCATCAGCCACAAGCAGGAAGTGAAGATTTACCTTCCCATCACTCTGACGCCCTCCTTCTTGGCATTCCCACACCACCCACTGGACGTCTTGTACCGGTACAGAGTTCAGGTGAAGTTGACCAAGACCTGGAGAGATAAATCCCCTAGAATGCCCTTTATTCATTTCTCAGTGCAGTACAAATGTTTGCAACCATCTGCCACAGGAAATATGGCACCCATTCCCTCCACCATTTTGACCTACTTATGCCTTCGGAGCTTCCAGCGACAAAACCCTAAAGCGATGGGTTGTGTATGACAACAGAGCTTCCCTTTGCTCTCCTCCCGAGCATCTAGCACAACACAGAAGGGTTGTTAAGAGCTAAATGAAACATGATCATTTTGATCCCTCATATCAGCTGCGTAAACAGAAGTGAAGTCACTGTCAGATTTTCAGCCACTCACGCTTACTTATGGAGAAGCTGTGTCATGGATAGTTTGAAGCCTTGTTGATGCACTTAATGATTTGGTTATCTGACAGTCTCGCTGCTCAGTTTTCCTTCTTATCTGTGGCTGAGTACACTACAAGGTTTTTTTAAGACAGCCCTCTATCAAAATTGTATCTTAACCTTTATTTCACACAAAGGAGAGTGAACCTTCCCAGCTCTCACCTAGGAACTTCCCCCTCTTCCCCCAGTTTCCCACCCTGGGAGATCCCACCCACGGAGTTTTCCTTTCAATTTTTTCCCTAATGATCCATAGCATGGAATTTGCCTGTTTCAAGGCAGCTGGGTCGACGTCTTCATTGAGCTATCCATTACAACCCCAAGGTCTTGTTCCTGTTCGCTCACTTCCAGTTCAGACCCCATGAGCGTATATGTGAAATTCACAGTTGGGTACCTGCAGCAGAGATCATAGAAATTTTGCCTGAAAGCCATCTAGCTTTGGCAGGTCCCCTTGCTTTGAACTCATTACTTCCGTCTAAGGAAAGTTGCTCACTGTTGTTAAGTCCTCAGATGCATAAACTAAACATAAGCAAGAGTCCCATATAGCTCATGTCCTCTTCCCTATCTCCTGTAAGAGGGGCATCTAACCTGTTGCTAGATTCCAGTGGCTGCTGCCACCACCCGTGGCACCCGTGTATTGCTTTGTAACGATTTGTTGGGTCTCTGGACCATAATAAAGATTGTTGTATATGTGAAATTCACGTATTTTTGCCCCAACATGCATCACTTTACACTTGTTTACTTACATTGAATTGCATTTGCCACTTTACCACCCATTCACTTGGGTGGAGAGCTCCTTTTCATCAATGTCCTTTTATTATAAAATATTCTACCAAAAAATTAAAAATTGAACAGGCCACCCGGAAGCAACCCATGAGAATCTCTGCTAATACCAAATGGAATAAAAGTGTTAGCCTCTCTGTCTACAAGAGGAGGCTGGTGGAAAAACACCCTGCTGAAGAAGACCTACTGCAGAAAACATAGATGACCACCTGACCTCCCTAGCAGAAGGGACCTGAGGTTGGGTCTCCTCACTTGTTCAGGCCACTGCTACATTGAGATTTCTATTCCTGCAGTCCCCTTTCATTGGCCACGCGAGTCCATGCTTGCATTTTCACCAAGGGAGGCCACTGTTTCTGATCCAGTGACACATCCAACACCCAGGTGGAGAACATCATCATCTTACTCTGTTCTGGGGGTGCAGGCTTAACTGTGCATTTTGTATCCCCCCCCCCCCGCTTCTGCTCTCCCACAGGTGGAGGGAGGCAGCGGCAACTTCACATGGACCTCTTCCAATCAGACAGTGGCCACCGTCACGGTGAAAGGGGTGGTCACAGCGGGGCTGGTTGAGGGCCAGACCGCCGTGCAGGCCAGAGATGTGCAGAACCCTTTCCACTTTGGGGAAATACAGGCAAGTCTTTCTGCGGCATTGGCGCAAGTCGAATTGCTTGCTGGGTCAAACCCCCACCCTACAGGCTTCAAACTCAGTCTGAAGAGAGGCCTTGGGGCGTTCTGAATCCCTAGAGAGCTAATTCTTCCCTCCTAGGTGCTCTTCATTGTTGTTGTTTTTTAATAACTTTTTAATTCAAAATTAAAACAAAACATATTATCCAGAAACATATCGTCCTTATTTCCCCCTCCCCATTTTTCCTCCCTCCCTCCCCCCACCCTCCCACAGAACCCCACCCTCCGACTTCCCTCAGTTCCAGTCTTCGATTTCTCTAAAAATGCTGTTTTCTGCATGTTACACAGTTGTATAGATCCTCAAACTATTTAGCTGATTATTATCAATAAAAAGTTTGTGAGTGTTTATTCAAAGCCAGCCAAGGAGTCCAGTTCGCTTTGTTGCGTCTTCAACTACTTTGTAAAGGGTTCCCATTCATCTTTAAAGTCACAGTTATCCTTGTCCCGTAGCTTGTATGTCAGTTTTGCCAGTTCTGCGTAGTCCATCAATTTTTCTTGCCATGATTCTTTAGTTGGGGTTTCTTCAGTCTTCCATTCTTGTGCTATTAAAACTCTGGCGGCCGTTGTCGCATACATGTGCTCTTTGACTCTTTCCCCCCTGCCCTCACTCAGGTGTATGTGCTCAAGCTCTCAAAGATGGAGTTCTTGCCATTCCATGCAGACACTGAGATTGGGCAGACCTTGGAAGTCCCACTCAGGATGTACCACGTTGAGAAAGAGACGGGGGAGACCATCGCTTTCACGGACTGCTCGCTCTTACCCCTGGACGTTGGCATGGATAAGCAAGGAGTGTTCGCCCTGGATGAAGCGGGTAAGAGGGCAGCTCTCTTCACTTGCTCCCTAACATAAATGGGTAGCTGGTCCTCTCCTGGCCTCCTGTTTTAGGCCTCATCTTCACTAGGCGTTTAAAGCAGTACTGCGCCATGTTAAACAGTCATGGCTTCCCCCAAAGAATCCTGGGAGCCTGTGCCATCGTGTGGGTGGGGCCACAGGGGCAGTTGCCCTGGGCGCAAAATTCTTAAGGGTGCAAAATTTCTAAAGAAAAAGAAAGTAGTAATGAAATCCACTCTCGACTCCTAGTATATTTTACTGAAATATACTCGGAGTCGAGAGTGGATTTCATGCTCTTTCTTCAGCTCATAGTGGTGAGGAGGAAATGGAAGTTCCCCCAGCATGTCTGCTTTATATACATTATTTACACAATGGGCCCCACGTGATTGGCTAATTCCAAGATTCTCCTGTAGGCCAATCAGGTTGCGGATTCACTTCCACCTGGAGCTGGATTGGATGGCTCCTGTGGGCCAATCAGACTGCTGCATTTTGGGTCCTATTGTTCTAGGACCAATCAGACTGCTGCATTTTGGATCCTATTCAACTCAGTACATAACACCTAATAATAAATGAAAAATAGCACACCCTCCCCTTCACATATATCCCAATGTTTGAATGGGCAGACTGAGGAGCAGATTCAGGGGATGGCTGTTTGCTAGGGTGGCCTCCCCATAGGCTTTAGAAGGACACCCGCTCTTGACCAATGCCCCATTGTGCTCTCCACCGTACTCCACAATCACAGGGCACTGCAATTGCCACTTGGGTGAGTTGCCGAGCTCCTTCGTTGCAGTTCTGGAGTTGGTTGACAGATAATCGCTCTTCCTGTGCTTGTAGAAAGAGCAGTTGTGCTCTTGTTTGTTAGGTAAGCAGAAAGCTGGGCCACAGTTCTGCTCCACCATCCATCTAGCAGCCAAGTCTCTAGGCCATACACTGGTGACAGCCAGCGCCACCGTCTACGAGGAGTATTTTGACACGAGTGCCACCTTTGCTGCTTATGAACCGGTCAAGGTGAGGAGGCGCCAGCTCTATGGCAGTAGTGGGCGGAGGGTGGTGCTGCAGTTCATTTCTGTTCTCTCTCTTGAATTCCTTTTGCGTTGTTGAGGGAAGGGCCACAGCTCAGGGGTAGAGCATTTGCTTTGCTTGCAGAAGGTCCTAGATTACGATCCCCAGCAGCAGCATCTCCAGGTTGGGCAGGGTCTCTCCCCTGCCTGAAACCATGCAGAGCCACAGCCAGTCAGTGTGTAGACAATACTGAGCTAAATGGTTTCATTCGGTATAAAGACGTGGGGCTACGTGGGGCTACCTTTGAAGGTGACCCAGAAACTACAACTACAGTGGTGCCTCGCAAGACGAAAATAATCCGTTCTGCGAGTCTCTTCGTCTAGCGGTTTTTTTGTCTTGCGAAGCAACCCTATTAGCGGCTTAACGGATTAGCGCTATTAGCGGTTTAGCGGTTTAGCGGCTATTAAAGGCTTATCGGCTTAGCGGATTAGCTGCTAAAAGGCTATTAAAGGCTTAGCGGCTTAGATAAAGGGGGGGGGAGCGGAAAAAAAATCTCAAGACTCGCAAGACATTTTCGTCTTGCGAAGCAAGCCCATAGGGAAATTCATCCTGCGAAGCAACTCAAAAACGGAAAACCCTTTCGTCTAGCGGGTTTTCCGTCTTGCGAGGCATTCGTCTTGCGGGGCACCACTGTAATCCAGAATGCGGCAGCTAGACTGGTGACTGGGGGCGGCCGCCGAGACCACATAACACCGGTCTTGAAAGACCTACATTGGCTCCCAGTACGTTTCTGAGCACAATTCAAAGTGTTGGTGTTGACCTTTAAAGCCCTAAACGGCTTCGGCCCAGTAGACCTGAAGGAGCGTCTCCACCCCCATCGTTCTGCCCGGACACTCTGAAGTCCAGCTCTGAGGGCCTTCTGGCAGTTCCCTCATTGCGAGAAGTAAAGCTACAGGGAACCAGGCAGAGGGCCTTCTCGGTAGTGGCGCCCGCCCTGTGGAACGCCCTCCCATCAGATGTCAAAGAGATAAACAACTACCAGACATTCAGAAGATATCTTCCCTGTGTTCAGGGAAGTTTTTAATGTGTGACATTTTAGTGTATTTTTGATCTCTGTGGAAGCCGCCCAGAGTGGCTGGGGAAACAAATAATTATAATTATAATTATAAAACGGAGTCCTACATTTTGATATTCTTTGTCTGCAACCTTGATCTATCATCTTACTAGTTTCCCGGGAACTAGGGATGTGAATGGTGGTTAGAAAGCACAGACCTCCCTATTGGAAGAATTACAGGTGGGGAACCGGGGGTGGGCGGGTCCTTGGGTCAATTCTTTGCAGGCCAAGGCAGTGTTAACCCCTTTATATAATGACTAGGCTGTAAACCCCGTGGAGGTGGCTTTGGTGACCTGGCATTCCGTGAAGGAGATGGTGTTTGAGGGAGGGCCCAGCCCATGGGTATTGGAGCCATCCCGCTTCTTCTTGGAGCTCAGAGTGGAGCATAAGGACAAAGTCCACGTGGTGGAGGTTCGTTTGCCGGCCAAGAGGAAGCAAAACCAGTACATTTATCGGATCACATGCCTGGAGCTGGGGGAACAGGTAGGAGGAAGGTGTGTGCGTATTCTCCCCCGCCCAAGACGTTAACAGGCAGCTAGATTGGTGATTGGGTGCGGCCACCAAGACCACATAACACCGGTCTTGAAAGACCTACATTGGCTCCCAGTACATTTCCGAGCACAATTCAAAGTGTTGGTGCTGACCTTTAAATCCCTAAAGGGCCTCGGCCCAGTATACCTGAAGGAGCGTCTCCACCCCCATCATTCCGCCCGGACACTGAGGTCCAGCACCGAGGGCCTTCTGGCGGTTCCCTCACTGCGAGAAGCCAAGTTGCAGGGAACCAGGCAGAGGGCCTTCTCGGTAGTGGCACCCGCCCTATGGAATGCCCTCCCACCAGATGTCAAAGAGAACAACAACTACCAGACTTTTAGAAGACATCTGAAGGCAGCCCTGTTTAGGGAAGCTTTTAATGTTTGATGTATTACAGTATTTTAATATTTTTTTGGAAGCCGCCCAGAGTGGCTGGGGAAGCCCAGCCAGATGGGCGGGGTATAAATAAATAAATGATGATGATGATGATGATGATGACGATGATGATGATGAAATGTAATGGCCGATAAGGAAAGGCACAGCCTCCATAGCGCTGGCGCATCTTACAGAAAACGGCGCTATGATAGCTACATCTGTGCTTGGCTTATTCTCCCTTCTAGCTGTGTGCACCTTCCACAGTGATGCCCCCTTTCCAGATTCAGTAGTTAGGAGATTTCAGCGTTTGGCTTTCTTAGTCTAATGCTTTAAACTGACCCTGTCCAAAGGCTCTGGTTACATCTAAACTTTATGTTTGGCTACATTTGCAAAGCCTGCTGGCTGACAACCACTCTTCCTTTGCTGCTTCCCCAAAGGTGTTTACGTTCCAGGTGGGCAATCATCCAGGTGTGCTAAACCCCAGCCCCGCTGTGGAGATGGTGCAGGTGAGGTTCATTTGTGCCCACCCTGCCAGCATGGCCGTGACACCTGTGTATAAGCTGGCAGCTGGCACTCCGCCTTGCCCTTTGCCTCAGCACCACAAGCAGCTGGTAAGTGTTCTCGGAAAAGCTAGAAGTGCCTCAATGCGCTCCGTTTGTTTGGGAATCTTGGGGAGATGTTGGACGGTCTTTTTTTGGTTTTTAGCCAGAAATTGGGCTCATAAAGTTTGTATAACTGCAAGGAAAGTCCTTGTAGGGAAGATAGATAGATAGATAGATAGATAGATAGATAGATAGATAGATTTTAAATAGTGCTTTTTCTGGGAGCACTCAAGGGTACGCAGTACCAGCACCACTTTTCCTAGAAGAAAAGCACTGGATTTTAATATATATCTTTTAAATACAGTTGTACCTTGGATCTTGAACACCTTGCGACTCGAATGTTTTGGCTCCTGAATGCCGTAAACCCAGAAGTGAGTGTTCTGGTTTGCAAATGTTTCTTGGAAGCCAGACGTCTAACACGGCTTCCGCGGCTTCTGATTTGAGTGCAGGAAGCTTCTGCAGCCAATCAGAAGCCGCGCCTTGGTTTTTGAACGTTTTCGGAAGTCAAACGGAGTTTCGGAACGGTTTCCGTTTGAGAATCAAGGTACGACTGTATATTCATATTTTGTTGGGAGCCGCTCAGAGCGGCTGGGGCAACCCAGTCAGATGGCGACATAGAATTATTATTATTATTATTATTATTATTATTATTATTATATTTGTTGCCAGCCTTTGTTATCAGGGTTTTATCTTTCTTTAGTAGACCAAAGCTTTTAAAACAGAATCAGTCCAACGGACCGATCAGTTAAACATGGTATGTAATCTTCCAAGGTGTCACCATCGGTGCCTTTCAAGTTCTTCTGCCCTTGCTTTGCAGGGCTTCTGTGCTTTGGCACCGTAGATCACAAAGATGTGGTCCTTTCCCAGGTTCATCTCGCACGCTGTTAAATGCAGGCTGCCGCCGGTGTCTTTTGGGATGCCTTGCAGGTCCCCGTGTCCAGTTTGAGGAACACCGTTTTGGAGCTAGCTCTCTTCGACCAGCACCGGCGGAAGTTTGATAACTTCACCTCCCTAATCCTGGAGTGGATATCGGCCAATCAAAGCCTGGCTCACTTCGCTCTACCGAGGTCCATGCAGATGGTACCGAAGGATGATGGGACTGGACAGACCAGGCTCCACGGTACAACTCGGCGTTGCGCTTCAGCAGAGAAACCAGTGGCTACTAATCAGAATACCTATGTTCTTCCTGCGCTCCCGGAAGCAGTAATATGCCTCCGAAATAATACCTGTTGCTGGGAATTGCTCATGGGGAGGGTGGTGGTGTCCTTGAAGTCCTGCTTGCGGGTTTCTCATTGGGGTGTCTGGTTAGCGACTGTGAGAACTCATGCTGGATTAGAGGGGCCACTGCTTTGATCTAGTAGGCTCTTCTTATGTTCCCAGGCCCTTTAATGAGGAGACCATCCAAGCCCCTGTAGCTAGAACTGCCACAACCAGTGCTTTTTTATTATCTCAGTCCTGCTTCCGCCGCGCAATTTGGAAACCACAGGAAAGGAGAATTTCTGTTGTTCTCACACCTTGCTTGCGGGTTTCCCACCTGGACATCTGGTTGGCTGCTGTGAGAACAGGATGCCAGGTGTCAGGTTCTGGTGGTGGTTGCTCGTGAGTAACCAGGCAGGACTCCAACCTGTCTTTTACAGGTTTTATTGGTGCAAACTATTTATAGTGCAGAACCACAAAGTTCATGTCCGTCTTAGTCACTTGCAGATTCCGGGAGTGACCCCTTCCGGTTTCTCCCCCAACATAAGAACTTAGACACCCAAAATCTCTGCCTCCCCTCCTTACGTTTCACCTCTCTGCATAAGCTAGGTGACGGAAATGGTGTGTCTGTTTCCTGGCCAGCCGGGCTAGGTGAGGCACTTAGGCTCTCAGTAGCATCTTCAAGCCCTCCCCTTGCTTGGCTGCCCCCTTCCCCCTCTGCTCCACTGGAGGTGTGGCTTTCTCCACCGCTGGACAAGGAGTTGCTCCTCAGAAGCTCAGGAGGCTCTCTGTATCCCCCTGCCTCCCTCCCCTGTTCCGATGGCAGTCCCCTGACACCAGGCTAGATGAGCCACTGGCCTGAGCCAGGAGGGCTTTGCTTACACCTTAAAATGGGTTATTAATTATTTTGTTTATTGCACTTAGCGTCCCAAGCTTTTTCTCCAAGGAGCTCAAGGTGGCTTTGCATGGTTTCCCCCCATTGCTTTTCTTCTAGAAAAAAGGTGCTCACCGCGAAGTAGTAGTTATTCCCCAAAACAACAATCGTGTAGGGTAGGTTTGGCTGAGGGGCAGTGAGCTTCATGGCCCATTGGGGATTTGAACCCTGGACTCTCATGTCCCAAGCCAGCACTCTAACTTCTACAATACACAGTAGCACTATCTCAGCTGCAGAAGCATCTGTCCTGCTACAGCTTACTGGGATGAAGTGGGGAGGTTGGCATGGTGCAAACGCAGGTGTGCTGGATTGGCTCCATGGGTGTGTTTGCACCATGCTGGCCTCCCTGCCACTTCTCTCCTTTCCCTCACAGTAAGCAACAGCGTCCCAACTGCCAGGATGTTAGTGTTGTTATGAGCCAGCGTGGTGTAGTGGTTAAGAGCGGTGGACTCGTCATCTGGTGAACCGGGTTCGCTTCCCCGCTCCTCCACATGCAGCTGCTGGGTGACCTTGGGCCAGTCACACTTCTCTGAAGTCTCTCAGCCCCACTCACCTCACAGAGTGTTTGTTGTGGGGGAGGAAGGGAAAGGAGATTGTTAGCCGCTTTGAGACTCCTTTGGGTAGTGATAAAGCGGGATATCAAATCCAAACTCTTCTTCTTCTTCTTGTGGCTACGCCCCACCTGGCAAGACCCCTTTTGCTCATCCCTGTAATTTTTTCAAAAATAAAACTTACTGTATCTCACGTGCAAGAATGCAGTCTCCCTCACACCTCCCTTCCTATGTAAGAATGGCAATTTTAAAATACATTTGTTTCAATTTCTGTTTCCTTTTCTCTCCCTCCCTCCCTATGTCTGTATCTGTTTTGGTCCCAGGACACCAGCTCCTTGAGGTGCGGCAGATCAAAGGGACGGTGTTGATCTCCGTCAACTTTGTGAAATATTCCGAGAGAGGGAGCCCAAGAGTGAGCGGAGGGAAGGTTGCTCCATGGAGAGGGTGTTGTTGTCCTCGGGTCCTTGCTTGGAGGTTTTTAAGCAGAGGTTGGGTGACCATCTGCCCTGGATGCTTTAGCAGAGATTCCTGCACTGCAGGGAGGTTGAACTAGGAGACACTCAGGGTCCCTTCCAGCTCTACAATTCTATAAGCATGGTAGACGTATGTAAGAACTGCACTGGCTGCCTGTTTCCTACAAGGCCAAGTTCAGGGTGTTACTGATACAGTGGAACCTCAGCTTTTGAACGTAATCTGTTCCGGAAGACCGTTCGACTTCCGAAACGTTCGGAAACCGAAAACTGAAAGCGGAAGCTTCAATACAATAGGGAAACTCAGAACGGAAGCCGCCTATCACGTTCGGCTTCCAAAAATCGTTCTAAAACCAGAGCTACTTCTGGGTTTTCGGTGTTCGGGAGCAGAAATGTATGACAATGGAGGTGTTCACCAACCAAGGCTCCACTGTAGTATATAAAGCCCTTAACAATTTGCCTATCAGATCACCCTTCCCCATATATGCCCACTTAACTGCTCTAATTTGCAAACAGGCACTGTTACAGATGCCATGTATTATTATTATTATTATTATTATTATTATTATTATTATTATTCCCTGACAGGAACTCAAGGCAGCTTATAGAAAAAAATTGCCTGGTCTGGTCTTGAAAACAGCAAAAAGCCATGGAAGCAGGGGATCAGGGGCCATAGAGTGCCAACGCCCCAGTCAAGACCAGAAAAGAAACAATTGCCCTCTCCCACATCTCACAATATGATTGTCTCGTCAAAACCATCCCCCCTCAAAAAAAAACACCCCAGTTTCCCTGAGAAAGGAGAGAACACCTTACTGCCTAAGCTTCCCAAGACATTTTGCAATGGAAAAGGGAGAAAACTGCACCTGGGCTCTCTATCCTATCAGCTTTGGCGCCATGAGAAGGGATACCTAACGTGCCAGATTAGCTGCCCCATCTGAGTCCCCCTGGGTTGCAAGTATGTGTAGGGGAGGCAGGCGCCAGAAGTCATCCAGTATCACATGCAGTTAGTTACCTGCTGCTAGATTTCATAAATACTTGTAATACCTGTCCCACATTTGTAAGAAATTTATCTTTTAGTGCAGCAGCACTCAAACTTTGGAACTCCCTGCCTCTTGACATCAATCAGGCACCTTCACTGTGCTCTTCCCCAGCGGCTGCTCAAAACACTTTTGTTTAGGTAAGCCTACCCAGAACGTGGCGCTGTGGGTTAAACCACAGAGCCTAGGACTTGCCGATCAGAAGCTCGGCGGTTCGATCCCCGCAATGGGGTGAGCTCCCGTTGTTTGGTCCCAGCTCCTGCCAACCTAGCAGTTCAAAAGCACATCAAATGCAACTAGATAAATAGGTACTGCTCTGGCAGGAAGGTAAACGGCATTTCTGTGCGCTGCTCTGGTTCGCCAGAAGCGGCTTAGTCCTGCTGGCCACATGACCGGCTCCCTCGGCCCGTAAAGCGAGATGAGCACCGCAACCCCAGAGTCATCCGCGATTAGACCTAATGGTCAGGGGTCCCTTTACCTTTACCCAGAATGTTGACATGTGTTTTAATGAGGTTTTAAGCTTAAAGTTCATTTTTATTGTTTTTGAAGGTTTTAAATGGTTTTTAACACACCCACCCACCAATAATGTCGTCGTTCTATTCTTTTTTGTAAATCCCTCTTGAGCTTACCCTACCGTCGAGCGGCATAGGAATTTCATTAAATAAATAAATGCAAAATGGTGTCGAGAAAGTGGGCAGAGAGGTGTTTTTTCTCCTTCATTGTACCCGAAAACCTGGGATCATCCAACGAAGCTGACCGTCGGGATATTTAGGAGAGACAAAAAGGGACGCCGCGAGGCGGTCAGCTTAAAGCGGCTTTAGAAGGGGCTTAGACAGATCCACGGAGGATAAGACGTATCAGTGGCTCCTAATCAGTATGGCTGTATTACCTCTAGTATCAGAGGCCTGCGTCTTGCTCACGGGCTTCCCATCCACATCTGGCTGGGCCACGCGGAGAGCAGTGTCTTGGACTCAATAGGCCGTTGGGTCTGTCCCAGCAGGGCTTTTCCTTGGTTCTTCTTGGGTGTGCCCAGATCTGTTTCCTGCAGGAAAAGAAAAAGGGCACAGGTTTCCTTGGCGTTGGCCTGCCTTCTGCGGAAACACCCCGAGGCAGCATTTCTTGCCCTTTCTGCACACAGGAGGTCTCTAACTCCCCCGCCTCTGCCGCCGTGGAACTCATGCTGGTCGAGGACGTGACTGTGGTTCCGGATAACATCACCGTGTACAACCATCCCGATGTCAAGGTAGGGGCCAAGGAGCTGGGTGTGGGTCAGGTGGTGAGGAACCCTGCTCAGACCAGGGGCTCTTCGTGGAGAACTTTGGCAGAGGCAAAATGGGGCAACGGTGGCAACTCTGACCTTTGAGTAAAACAGAGCAGTCCCAGGTAAGCCAGTGCTCTGTGTGGCAACATTGAAAGAGTGGTTTTGTGGTCCTGGTGTGGATCTCCCCCCCCTTCTGCTTTGCCTAGGAAGTGTTTGCGCTGGTGGAAGGGTCCGGTTACTTCCTTGTCAACAGCAGTGCACAGGAGATGGTGAACATCACTTACCTGGAAACAGAGAGCGCCATACAGGTGAGTGTCAAAGTGTGTTGCTCTGTGAGCCTTTATGAGGAGAGAAAGCTAGGGCTTCAGGATCTCCTGCCAGCTATTCTTCCCCTTCTCTTAATTTGATAATATATAGGTTCATCTTCCATATTATTGCTATTGTTAATTATTTTTCTTCTTATTACTATTACGTTGTGAACTGCCCTGACATCTATGGATGAAGGGCAGTATACAGATTTAATAAACAAACCAAAAATAGTATATATTATTAGGCAAGCCTACCCAGGCATATGCTTTCATTGTGTATACTTGTATTTACATCTTACCCATCGTATCAGTTGTTGCTTTTGAACGATAAATATTTTACACTGTTTTGTGTAATCTACTTAGACAGCTTTCTTTCTTTCTTTCTTTCTTTCTTTCTTTCTTTCTTTCTTTCTTTCTTTCTTTCTTCCCTTCCCCTTCCCTTTTCCTTTTCCTTTTCCTTTTGGTTTAAGCGGTCTATATATTTTGTAAAGCAAAGTCTTAACCCTGTTCTCCAGCCGAAAAATAGCTCTCGGGGGACTTGCAAGCATCAGTGGTAAGACAGCCTCAGGCTTCTGGTTTAAGAGACAAGACACAAAAGGAAAAGGGACTCGGAGGGAGGAGGCAAAAAGAAAAAATCCAGCTCTGGCACAATTTCTTACTTTACAGAGTTCCTGTAGTAACCAAACCAAATTCAAAAGCCAAAGGATGGGGGCCCTGCCATCTCATACAGCCTGACAAGTGATGTCGCCTTTACCCTGCGAGCGACTGCGCCTGTCACTTTCCTTGCAGGTGGTTCCTGTCCTTCCTGGCTCTTTGACCTTGGAGATCTACGACCTGTGCCTGGCCTTCCTGGGACCTGCTACAGCTTACCTTCGCATCTCCAATATGTACGAGTTGGAAGTGGATCTTGTTGATAAGGTATGATGAGTATTTGTAAGCTGGCCGGAGGGGTGTCAGAGGGCATGAGCGGCCGCTGGCTGCGTAGCCTGGATTGGCAGAGATTTGTGAGAGTGGGTTTCCCTTTGCACAGGGCCGCTACAAAGGGAACACATACATCACCTGGCAGATAGATAAGATAAGATAAAACTTTACAGTGGTACCTCGGGTTACATACGTTTCAGGTTACATACGCTTCAGGTTACAGACTCCGCTAACCCAGAAATAGTATCTTGGGTTAAGAACTTTGCTGCAGGATGAGAACAGAAATCGTGCTTTGGCGGCGCGGCGGCAGCAGGAGGCCCCAGTAGCTAAAGTGGTGCCTCAGGTTAAGAACAGTTTCAGGTTAACAACGGACCTCTGGAACGAATTAAGTTCTTAACCCGAGGTACCACTGTATTTGCATGAGCCAATGGCCATAGCAACAGTAAAACATTACAGTATACGCAGAAAAGGAAATTTGATATAAGAGCACAATTTAAAGTCCTGAATCGGCAGTCAGTTAGTGGCCCTTATTCTGATTGCCCCAGCTACGAACCTAGCAACCTTTGCTGTTATCTGCTCATCACCTGGCAGTGGGACGGGTAGAAACCCTGTAGCCTTGGGGAGCGCGGTCCCTGTGCCACATGCACTGAATGTTACTTTGTCTGACTCCGCATCTCTGTCCTCTTGCTTTTCCGCTGGAGGGGGCTGGAGTCCCAACAAAATCTGGAGGGGTGCTGGGTTATGTGTGAGAAGAACCGCGGCTCAGTGGTTGAGCATTGGCTTTGCACGCAGAAGGCCCCTGGTCCCATCCCCAGTGGCAGCTCTGGGTAGGGCCAGGTGGCTGCTCTGCCTGAAACCCCTAGAGAGCTACTGCCAGTCAGTCTACTGAGCTAGATGGACCAGTGGTCTGACGTGGACTAAGGCAGCTTCCGATGTGCCTGCTGCATGAAGAAGATAAGAAGGGCCCTGCTGGATCAGACCGTCTTGGTCTCACAACGACCAACCAGATTCCTCTAGGAAGCCCCCAAGCAGAATTATTATTATTATTATTATTATTATTATTATTATTATTATTATTACCCTGCCCATTCCAACAAAGTATTATAATACAGTACAGTAGTCTGTTAAATATTAAAAGCTTCCCTAAAGAGGGCTGCCTTCAGATGTCTTCTAAACGTCTGGTGGTTGTTCTTCTTTTTGACATCTGGTGGGAGGGCGTTCCACAGGGCAGGTGCCGCTACCGAGAAGGCCCTCTGCCAAGCTCAAGAATCCAAGCGCTGTGGTTTCCAGCAGCTGGTATTCAGAAGCATTGCTGCCTCCAACCACTGGAGGCAGAGCGTCGCCATCATGGCTAGCAACCCTCGACAGCCTTCTCCCCCATGAATTTATCTAATCCTCTCTCGAAGCCATCCAAGTTGAGGACACCCTGGAACCCTCTGCCTTCTTCCCCAGATTGAGGTCGGAAAATCGGTGCTGGTCTCCGTGCGTGTCCTGGGACATCACCGGTACCCTTTCCGGAGTAAATACTTTGTCTACATGCGGCTCCAGCTGAAGGCAGCCTCCCCCATTGTCACACTGACGTAAGTGCCCTGCGTCTCCTGTGCTTTGACTTCTGCTTCTTAAGAGGTCATCTTTGGGATTGCAAGGCATTCTTCTTCCCTGCTCTCACACTCCACCCAAACAGTTGAAACCCACAAAACTGACCAAGTCCACAGTGTCAAAACTTGTGGTCAAAACTGCAAGGGCCGTAGCTCAGTCTGCCTTTTTTAAAAGTTAAATCCCCAATTGCATCTCCCGGCCGGGCTGGGAACGTCCCCTGCCTGAAACCTTAGAGAGTCCCTGCCAATCACTGTAGGCGATACAGTGGTACCTCGGGTTACAGATGCTTCAGGTTACAGACACTTCAGGTTACAGACTCCGCTAACCCAGAAATATTACCTCGGGTTAAGAACTTTGCTTCAGGATGAGAACAGAAATCGTTCTCCGGCGGCACGGCAGCAGCGGGAGGCGCCATTAACTAAAGTGGTGCTTCAGGTTAAGAACAGTTTCAGGTTAAGTATAGACCTCCAGAACGAATTAAGTTCTTAACCAGAGGTACCACTGTAGTAAGTGAGACAAACTGATTCCATATGTGGCATATTCCAATGTTCCTTTTTAATCCAGCTCTATATTCAGAACTGTGAGGGATCTTGATTTGTAGGAAGTCAGGCTAGGCATGTCTTCTGTCTGAAACTCCTGAGAACTGCTGCTGGCCTGTGTAGAAAACACTGCACTAGATGGAACAGGGGTCCTTTTAAAATCAGGTCATTATTCAAAGCCACGAGGTCTGGAACCCTGCCTTATTCTTTAAGAGAGGAGCATAGCTCAGATGCAGTGCAGAAGGTCCCAGGTTCAACCCCCGGTGTCTCTGGGATGGCTGTTGCACGTTTGACAGGCTCTTCCCATGGCAGCCACCCTGAAAATGGCAGAGCTGATCCCAGTCAGGGAAACTCTTGTTGTCACGCAGCTGATCTTTCTTCTTTGTGAGCTCCGTCATTCGGCTAGTGTCATGCCCAGGACAGTAGCTGTTCGGCATTGTGAAGATGGGTGCCAGAGACCAGCCTGAAAATCTGCTTGGCCTGTCCTGGTGCACTCCCTTGCCCAGGTTGGACAAAATGCAACCATTACCAAACCTCTCCTTGCAGGCTAATGGAGGAAGTGGGTGACTATTCCGAAGTCTACGTCCTCCGAGCCATGGCTGTGGGGCAGACAAGTTTAGTGGCCGTGGCCTGGGACAAAATGGGAATCAAATTCACCTCGGCGCCTCGGAAAGTGGAGGTAAGGAGTTGCAGCCACTGGGCTGTCAAAAAACCTAGGCACACGGGGAAAAACGGTTTGCAAAAAACGTCTCCTGTGGTTTTAGAACCAGAGGTGTTAAGAACTTCATGCGCAAGTTCTGTGAAATGTTCCTTTGGCCCTGGCTGCAGATTTGAATGAAAAGATAATGGACTCTCTGGCACAACCTTCTCCCAGCCTGGTGCATTATAGTTATTCTTGACTACAACTCCCAGTATCCCTGACCACTGGCCGTCCTGGCTGAGGCTGATGGCAATTAAAGTTCAGCAACGACAGATTGGGGAAGGCTGGTCCTGTGTGTGTGTGTTTAAAGACAGCCTCAATTCCCACGTGGCCAAATTTGACTGCTGTTGTGTTTTGCCAGGTCTTCCCACCATTCAAGCTCATCCCAGAGAAAATAACCCTCATTCCACACAACATGATGCAGGTAAGTTCAGAGTATCAGTTGGATGAAACCATCCTATTGGCTATCTCCCACCCTTCCTTCCTTCCTTCCTTCCTTCCTTCCTTCCTTCCTTCTTTCCATGGCATAGGTTACCCTGAGATGAGTCACTGCGCCTACAGGACCATGTCAGTCGATGTAATTCATGTTTCCACTGGAGGAGAGCAGATCTGGGCTCCATCTGTACTATATATTTAAAGAAGTATTATACTCCTTAAAACAGCTCCAAACAGCATTTTGGATACTGTGGTTTGTTAAGAGTGCTGAGAGTTGTTAGGCAACCCCCTGTTCTCCCTCACAGAGCTGCAACCCCCAAAGTTCCCTGAGTTAAGGGTTTGTTTGGTAAATCACTCTGGAAATTGTAGCTCTGGGAGGGGAAGAGGGGAATCTCCTAACAACTTTCAGCACCCTTAACAAATGACAGTTCCCAAGATTTTTTTTGAGTAAGCCATGGCTGTTTAAAGTACTGTGGTACTACTATAAATGTATAGTGTAGACTGGACTACATTTTCAGACCTGTCTTCTTCCCAGTACCAAAGGTTTTACCTCGGGGAGCTATCCAAGGTCCTGGAGAGCCTCCTCCTTGCCCCTAATCCTTGCTACTGGGTAATGAGCTTGATCCAGTGCCACCTCCCTTCCTTGGGAGCTCTCCCAGGTCCTGAAATGCCTCCTATACAGCACTGCTACCACGAACAGGGATGGGGAGAACAGTGATCCTCCAGATGCTGTTGGACTCCAACTCCTAACAGCCCCAGCCATTGGGGGCTGGAGTCCAACATCATTTATGGAGAGCCACATACTCCCTGTCCCTGCCTTACCTAGAACTTTCACTCCTTCTTTCTGCTTGTAAAGCAGAGTTTTTTCTGCCCTTTCATCACAGATTTAGATAACGACACAGGGAGGGCAGGTCAGCTTGTTCTATCAGTTAATTCAGTTACAAATTCATTAGCAAACTGCCTAGAATTGATTTTGCATGATTAATCAGTTTCTCTGTTTAAAAATTGACCACTTTTATCACCCCTTCCTAGCCTCCTGTCATATCTGCAGCAAATAGTAGGGATTCTAGTACACGACATACATTAAAAGCACATTACCTCCCACAAAGAAAGTTTGGGACAGTAGTTTGTTAAGGGTGCTGGAAATTGTATGACATGGAGGGCTAAACTACCATTTCCAGGACACTTTGGGGGAAGCCATGTTTCTTAAACATATGGTGTGGGGTGTGGGGTCTAATTGCCTCTTACACCTGGCTTTGATTGGCAGGTTGTGGGATCCTAAGTAAAGTAGACCCCTCAAATCTGAGGTTTCCCCACTCCTTTTTTTTAAAAATAACTTGTTTATTCAAAAACAAAACATATTATCCAGAAACATATCATCCTTATTTCCCCCCATTTTTCCTCCCTCCCCCCACCCTCCCACACAAAACCCACCCACCCCCCGACTTCCCTCAGTTCCAGTCTTTGATTTCTCTAAAAATGCTGTTTTCTACATGTTACACAGTTGTATAGATCCTCGAACCATTTAGCTGATTATTATCAAATAAAAGTTTGTGAATGTTTATTCAAAACCAGCCAAGGAGTCCAGTTCGCTTTGTTGTGTCTTCAAATATTTTGTAAAGGGTTCCCGTTCATCTTTAAAGTCACAGTTATCCTTGTCCTGTAGCTTGTATGTCAGTTTTGCCAGTTCTGCATAGTCCGTCAATTTTTCTTGCCATGATTCTTTAGTTGGGGTTTCTTCGGTCTTCCATCCTTGTGCTGTTAAAACTCTCGCGGCCATTGTCACATACATGAAGATGTTTTTCAGCTTTTTTGGCAGATCTTTCCCTACAATCCCCAACAAAAATGCCTCGGGTTTTTAAAAAAAATGTTAAATGGAACATTTTCTTCAATTCGTTGTATATCATTTCCCAAAATTTTTCAATTGCCTTACAATCCCACCACAGGTTTCCCCACTCCTGATGTAGGCCAGGATCCTCTCTGTGATAGACTGGAGGGGGAGGGGGGGCATTGTTCCCAGCTGGTGGCAGAGTGATATCAGGATACGCTTCTTCCTTGTTCTTCCAATCTGCTGCAGGTGATGTCAGAGGGCGGCCCACAGCCCCAGTCCCTCATTCACTTCTCCATCAGCAACCAGTCTGTGGCCACAGTTAACGGAGTGGGGCAGGTCCTGGCCAAGGCTGTGGGCACAGCCACAATCCTTGGGACCATTCGGGCTGTCAACGAAGACACAGGAAAAGTCATTGTCTTTTCACAGGTACTTCCTCCTCCTTGTCGACCTCAAATGCTCACTTGCTGCTCTGTAATCTGAAACCTTTGGCTGCTCTCACCATTTGTTTCCCCTCCCCTTGAAACCATGAGGGCTAGCACCTCCTCCAGTCTCCATAGGTCCCACCAGTGCCAAATTTAGGTTTGATGAGGCCCTAAGCTACTGAAGGTAATGGGGCCCTTTATATGCCCAGCTGTCCTTTGTCAAATTGTCGCTGTTTTTTGTGTTGGATATAGTGGGGCCCTGAGCTATAGCTTGTTTAGTTTATACGTAAATCCAGCACTGGGTCCCACCCTGGGTCCTGTTCCTTGACCACACTAGAGCATGACGCTGAGAATCGGGCTGGACTGAGTCTGGCTGCCTTGATTGTTGGGAATGAGCAGTCAGTGCCTTAAGGAATTGTGAACATTTCATGACTGTGGGTGGTCTCCTGAGTGAGCTGTTCATTTGCCGAATGGTGTGGGGTCTGACGTTATTGCTGTGCTGAGGTGAGTGTGTGAGAAACAGCAGCTTGGAGCTTGAATTATTATTATTATTATTTATTAAATGTATTAGCTGCTTCTTTTGCCTTAGCAACCCAAGCGACTTACAATATTTTAAGCAAAAAAACAAAACGTGTACATAAAACCAGCATTAAAAAATCCAAAAGGCAGTTCTCTTTTTTTTCCCCATTTACTTCATTAAAACATCTCACAAAAAGAAAGGGACGTGAAACCTTTTCTTTATTGGTAACTTCCTGGGGACTGTATTTCAGTAGGAGGTGGGGCCAGAAGCAAAAGAGGGAAGAACAACGAACGCAAATTACAGTGGTACCTCACGTTACAAACTTAATTCGTTCCGGAGGTCTGTTCTTAACCCGAAATCGTTCTTAACCTGAGGCGGCACACGATTTCCGTTCTCATCCCGGGGTAAAGTTCTCAACCCGAGGTACTACTTCCGGGTTAGCGGAGTTTGTAACCCAAAGTGCTTGTAACCCAAAGCGTTTGTAACCCGAGGTACCACTGTACATCTTTCTGTACAGTAGGCTAGCTTTTACACACACATACACCCCCCTTCCTATTGGTTGCTCCATCCAGTGTTGCTTCTGGCTCTGTCCACCGCTGCCACAAGGTCCCCAGAAGGAGCATCTCATTTGACCAGACGCTCCATAACGTTTTTTGTTTGCTGCTCCTGGAACTTCACAGGTCCCAAGTGTGGGGCGCACATGGCCCCCCCAGCAGCTGCCAGTCCACTTGGCAGCCTGCTGCAGAGGAGCCCCCCCCCCCCCAAGCTGGGTAATCTTGTGCAAACTGTGCCTTTTCTTCTGGTCTCTCTCCTGCGTTTCCCCCACAGGACCAAGTCGACCTGGAAGTTGTTCAGCTGCGAGCGATAAGAATCCACGCTCCTGCCACCAGGCTCATTACGGGGACCAAGGTAGGCCTGCCCTATAATCACCAATGGACATCTTCTCTGTGGATATATAAGGTTGTAGCCAACTAGGTTCGACTCAGAATCACGTCTCTTAATGTCAGTGGCCCTCCCCGGCGTAGGACTCGCATTGCATGCAACCGAGAGAGAGGCGGGGCTGACTTCTCCCTCCTGAACTGAGCCCATGTTAAGGATCCCACCCCAATTTGTTTTGTTTCACTTCAACAAATTGCATATTGCAAATTGTAGTCTCTAAGCAGTGTACCCAATACGTTTTTTAAAAAGAGTTTAAATTGTAAAATCAGAATCCAGTTAAAAAGCTTGCTGGAATTAAGTTATACAAGGGGGCGCAGAAAGGCTGATCTCCTGGAACGAGAGCTCACTGCTTCCAGAGTTATCCTGTTCCACGTCATACGTCTCTTGTGTGTTAGGACAGTCTTTCAAATGTTTAGTTCATTTATTTCAACTACCTGCCACTTAATTGCAACCATCTTTAGGTGTCGTACAGGTAAAACAACAATACAATAACTTAAAAAAAAAAAGAAGTTTCATTAAAATGCCTGCTGTTTGTTAAAAAGAGAAAAAAAAGATTTTGGTGGCTCCTGGAAGCTCAACAGAGGAGGAGGCCTGTCTGAGAGGGAATTCCAGAGAATTGGGTTCCACAATACTGGATGCAAGGCTGCTGGTGGATATGCGCTTGTGCATCTGACCCATGCGGGGACCATAACAGTGACTCCGCCCAAAGAGCTCTGTGATTGGGCAGGGATATAAGGGACCAGGCATCCCTTGAGGCTCATACATGTGTTGGTCTCCGTGTTAGGTTACATCTCTTGCTCTGAGAGGACCAAAAGCTGGGAAGTAACGAGTGACGCTTTCCTTTGTAGATGCCTGTTTATGTTGTTGGCCTGACCAGCACTTTGACTCCATTCTCCTTTGGGAATGCCGACCCAGCGCTGACGTTCCACTGGGCCATGAGCAAGCGGGATGTCCTGGACCTCCTTCCTAGACACTCGGAGGTATGGACCTGTCCCTCAGGGCGCACTTCAACTCTCAGCCACTGTGGGCTGCATCCAACGTTGGTCCTACTGAACCTCAGCCAGTGCCTACAGCGAATAGAGGGGGCGGGTGCTCTCCCTGGCAGCTTCCTCCTCCTCCTCCTTAGTCTCATTGTTGCCCTTGTAGAATTCAGCAGAGAGGAGGGTGGAGGACAAAACTAGAAGGAGTTGGTGCTGCCTCTCATTGCCTCCAGCGCCACCTACTGGTCAGCTCCTTGCCTTCCACCCCATCATTCTCAATAGACACTGGGCACTGCTGGATCCACCCATCCCTTCTCTCCAGGAAGCTTGCAGCTCCTTCCCTTCTCTCCCAGGTTTCCCTCCAGCTTATTCCGGAAAGTAACTTTGCCATGGTCCTGCACACGAAGGCCGCTGGGCGGACGAGCATCCAAGTCACGGTTCAGGCTTCGGACCCGGACGCTGGGCAGTTTGAAGGACACCTCTCCGAGCTCTCGGATGAAGTGCAGATACTAGTAAGCGCCCCCTTCAGGCAGCCTCTTTCACTGCTGCCAGTCCTCTGCTGCGTCTGGCCATGCCAGCCGTTAACATTAAGAGCAGGGGCACGTCCCAGCCCTTCCTTCTGCCTGCAGGATCCTTGCTCTGTCCCTTACAGGTCTTTGATAAACTGCAGCTCTTCTCCCCGGAGTGCTCTGCAGAGCAGATTCTGATGTCCATGAACTCGCAGCTCAAGTTACTCACAAACAGGTAGGGCAGGGAAAGGGGGGAAGTGGCGGGTGGGTGGTAGCGATGATGATGGGGAGCAAAGACAAAGACTCCACTATTAACGTGAAGAAGTAGAAGCACCACAGAGATGCTAATTTGCAGCAAATCTTCTGCTTTCAAAATGTCTGCAGTCTGGGGGGTCGCTCAGTTGATACTCCATCATTTTTTTGCTTGCCTTAAGGCAGGGGGTGCGGGACACCTCCCTCCTCCACCTGCAGGCGAGATATAGCCGCAGCGTGATGTTATCCACCCCTCTCAGCGATCCTGGCACACGCTGTCTCTCTCTCTGCTGGGTAAATAATCCCACCTTCCAGCTAGGATTGAGTAAGATGATTTCAGTTGGTTGGTTGCCTTCCACATGTATATGTGAAGGTGGTGTGCAAAACACAATAAGCACAGCCGAAAAACTGGACAGCAGCAGATAGATTTAAAAGCAGTACAAAGTAGACACCCCATGCCAATCCAGTTGGCAAAGCTTGTCAGAACAAAATGTCTCCCAGTCGCTTCTGGAAAGTGTAGATACAGTGGTACCTCGCAAGACGAATGCCTCGCAAGACGGAAAACTCGCAAAACGAAAGGGTTTTTGGTTTTTTGAGCTGCTTTGCAAAACGATTTTCCCTATGGGCTTGCTTCGCAAGACGGAAACGTCTTGCAAGTTTGTTTCCTTTTTCTTAAAACCGTTAATACAGTTGCGACTTGACTTCGAGGAGCAACTCATAGCACGTGGTGTGGTAGCCGGTTTTGAGGTTTTTGAAGACTTTGGTGATTTTTGAAGCTTTTCCAAAACTTTTCCGACACCGTGCTTCGCAAGACGAAAAAAACCGCAAGACGAAAAAACTCGCGGAACGAATTAATTTCGTCTTGCGAGGCACCACTGTAATGGGATGCCTGCCGAAATTGCGTCGTCCACCCTAAATTTGGCAGCCCCTCCATCCTTTGTGGCAGTTGCCTTCTCGCCTGTGCACCCACCTTGGGCTATAAAACATAACTGGTCCAACCCCCTCCACCTGCCAGCCCAAACAGAAGGGATGGTGACTCTTCTTTTCTCTCTTAGGGACGGGGCGGCCTTTGTGAACGCTCAGATCCTGCAGTGCTTCCCCAACTCCTCTGTCATTGAGGAGAACAGGCATGGCCTCCTCAAGGCAGGAGCTGTCACAGGCACTGCGGTGCTGGAGGTGACAGCCCTGGAGCTCTTCGGCGTCAACCAGACTGTCATCACGGGAGTGCGGGTAAGGGAGGCTCTGGGAAGAGGTGGTAGTGGCTGCTGTGGATTCCGCGAATGCTCCAAGGTAGGAGGTCCCTGAATGCCATGGGCAGGGGCTGAAAGACTGAAGGGGAGAATGCAGTGCTGGATAAGGACGGTTGCTAAGTTGTGGACTGCCAACCACAATGGCTATGCTATGCTCTACCTCCACATTTGGAGGTGAAATTTCTGAATGACAGTTGTTGAAAAATGCAGGAAGAGAGAGTTGCTTGTGTGTTCGGGTTCTGCTTTAAGGGCTGGACTATAGATGGGCCATTGGCACAATCCGGCAGGCGCTCATCTTATATTATAAAGTTGCCAGGGAGTGAAGCAGATGGCAAGACAAGGTACACGTCTTGCGAAAAGTTCAGAATGTCGCACTAAAGCGCTGGAGCATCTGTCAGCTTGCTTAAAGAGGACCGCTTACATCTGGGACAGGGAGCTTGCAACCTCCAGATGTTGGTAGGTAGGACAATAGATGGAATAGTAAAGAGTGCTGTTTGTCTCCAGTTCAATCCTCAGTGATATGGAGAAGATCTTTTCTCTGGTTCAGATCGGTCTGCAGTGCTTAATATAGCTAAATTCGCAGTGAAGGCTGCTCAGCTTAGACAAGGCAGTCTGGCCTCCCTTGAGATCTAAGATTCTGCTTTTTCATTGTATTGGTCAAACTTCTGTTTTTATGAGCAGTTCTTATGTATATTTTTATGTCCACATCTATCGGTTCGGCTACACCTGGCATTTGCTTTCCTTACAAGTGTATTTGAGATGAATCAGTTTGAAGTCTCCAGGTGTGGTGACTGAAAAGGAAAAAACCGATACATCCTTTCCTTCCTCCCCTCCCAGGTGGCCCCGGTGTCCTACCTGCGCTTGAGCAGCGCCCCCAAACTCTACACGGCCAGCCGGGTGCCCCTGCGTGCATTTCCCCTGGGCATGTCCCTCACCCTCGCCGTTGAGTTCTACGACAGTACCGGGGAGAAGTTCCACGCCCAGAGCACCCAGCTTTACCTGGCCTTGAACAGGTGCGGCTCAGGAAGGCATGCTTGGGAAAGGGCCGCGTGCCACATCGTGAACATGGCTTGCTTGGGAAATTGCCACTCTCCATCTTGTGGAAAGTCCTTTTGGGAACTTGAACATTGGCCACTTCTGTGGTCCAGGGTGTGTTCATGCAACAAAGTACGCAGGCGCAGTCATCGCAATGGTCTGGATAAATGTCGAGATGACATCTTAAGTCATATCCAGCCTATATGACCAGGGCTTCATCTGCTCAGTACATTTAAAGGAAACTGTCTTGACTTCCCCCAAAGAATCCTGGGAGATGTAGTTTGTTTAGGATGCTGAGAGATGTTAGGAGACCCTGCATACACACACACATTTCCCTCCCAGAGTGGTTTAACAGTCGGTCCCTCTGATCAGGGAACTTTGCGAACTGTAGCTCTGTGAGGGGAATAGGGGTCTCCTAGCAGCATCAGTGCCCTACAGTTCCCAAACAATAATTTAATAATTTAATAATTTAATAATTTAATAATTTAATAATTTAATAATTTAATAATTTAATAATTTAATAATTTAATAATTTAATAATTTATACCACGCCCATCTGGCTGGGCTTCCCCAGCCACTCTGGGCAGCTTCCAACAAAATATTAAAATACTGTAATGCATCTAACATTAAAAGCTTCCCTAAACAGGGATGCCTTCAGATGTCTCAAAATCCTTTGGGAGAAGCCATGACTGTTTAAAGTGGCACCATAGTGCTTTAAATGTATGGCATGAATGTGGCCCAACTGAGGTGACTTTTAAGTACAGGATACAACCACTTTTAAGTTGAGCCGTCCTGCTGTGCGGTCATTTAATAAACCGCGTTCTTACTGGATCTCTTGGGCTTGTTATTTCTCTTGGTTCCGTGTTTTATTTCAAACACGTTCCCTCACCTGGGTAAACGAACAAGCGGTGTAGAAGTAAATTCTTGCCGCAATAATGACCACGCTCACACCATACATTTAAAGCGCAATGATGCAACTTTAAACACCCACAGCTTTCCCCCCAAAAATCCTGGGGACTGTAGCTAAGGGTGCTGAGAAGTGTTAGGAGAACCCCCTATTTGCCCCGCAGAGCTCCAGTTCCCACGGTGGTTTAAAAGTCAGTCCCTCTTCCCAGGGAACTGTACTCTGTAGGCAGCCCTATAGAAAGTAAATTTTAGTGTTCCAACTGAACAACTTGTGGCTAGACAACCCAGGAACATCTGCAGCTTGTGAACTAGCCGGAGGTGTGATAAAGTCCTTTGCGCCACTGAGCCCACCTGTTCCTACTGGGAATGATAAATCCTTGTCAGAATACTTCATATCTCTTGGATATACACGAGTAGGCCCTGATCTGTCCCCACCCTGCTTTAGAACATACTCATTTAAAAAAAAAATAATGTACCACTCTAGTGTATTCATTCAAAGTCCCAGGCCACACAGGCTCCATCAAATTCCTAGCTGATCTCTTGGTGGTCCACAGAGCAGAAGGCACCACTGACCGTGTTGGCCAAGTTTGGGGAACCCTACCCTGCAGTATCCCTGCTTGGCACACTCCTCCCGGGGTCAATTTTTTTGCTTTGTTCCCCCAGAGATGACCTGCTGCTCATCCGACCCAGCAACAAGAATTACACCTACGTCGCCCAGGCTGTGAACAGGGGGGTGACCCTGGTGGGCGTTTGGGACGAGAAGCACCCGGGCATGGCGGATTATATCCCTGTCCCGGTGGAGCACGCCATCGAGCCGAACCTTTCCGAGCCGCTTGCCATGGGAGACGTGGTGTGTTTCAGCACGCCTCTCGTCAACCAAGAAGGTCAGTGGGCTGGTCTCCAGCCACCGTGGCTGCCTCCTGGAAGTTAAAGAGAAGTTGAGGGCAGATAAAAAGAAAGCCCTTCTTCACGCAGGCGCATGACTGAACAAGGGAAGGTGCTCCCCGCAGGGTGCAGCGATGGCCACCAACATGGGTTGCTTCAAAAGAGGATTACACAAATATATTTACAGTGGTACCTCGGGTTAAGTACTTAATTCGTTCCGGAGGTCTGTTCTTAACCTGAAACTGTTCTTAACCTGAAGCACCACTTTAGCTAATGGGGCCTCCTGCTGCCGCCACGCCGCTGGAACATGATTTCTGTTCTCATCCTGAAGCAAAGTTCTTAACCTGAAGCACTATTTCTGAGTTAGCGGAGTATGTAACCTGAAGCATATGTAACCTGAAGCATATGTAACCCGAGGTACCACTGTATTATTATTATTATTTACAGCCGTACCTTGGGTTACAGACGCTTCAGGTTGTGCATTTTCGGGTTGCGCACCACGCCGAAGCAGGAAGTACCGGAAGGGGTTACTTCTGGGTTTCAGCCCTTGCTCATGCGTAGAAGCGCTAAATTGCGCTTTGCGCAGAAGCGCCGAATCGCAGCCCACACGTTCACAGACGCAGCGCTGCGGATTGCAAACGTGCCTCCTGCATGGATCACGTTTTCAACCTGAGCGTCCACTATATTTAATTTCTATACCGCCCTATACCCGAAGGTCTCAGGGCGGTTCACATAAAATATCAAATACATAAAATCAAAACAAAACCAGCAACCCAATAAAAAAAAACCCCAAACAGCCAGCATTTTTTAGAAAGGTTATAGGATGTAGATCAAGTCAGACCTGGTTGAAAAGAAACATTTTTGCCTGGCGCCTGAAGGTGTACAATGAAGGCGCCAGGCGAACTTCCCTGGGGAGAGCATTCCACAGATGGGGAGCCACTGCAGAGAACGCCCTGTTCTTGTGTTGCCACCTGCCTGACCTCTTGCGGAGGAGGCACACGAAGAAGGGCCTCAGAAGATGATGTAGGGACGATGAGGATACCTTCTGCCTCGATGGTCAGTAATGCTTTTAACTAGCAGTTACTGGAAACCCCAGGAATGGATCGTTGCTCTTGTGTTCAGGTCCTGCTTGTGGGGTTCCTTTTGGATCATCCGATTGGCCACTGAGAGAACGGGATGCTGGACTAGATTAAGGTTACCAGACGTCCCCGTTTCCCGGGGACAGTCCCCGGATTTACACATCAGTCCCCATACAAAATCCATTGAAGTTGAAAAGTGTCCCCAGATTCATTGAAAAAAAAATCTGGTAACCTTAGACTAGAAGGGCCACTGGCCTGATCCAGAAGGGCTCTTCTTGCATTCTTAAGAAAAAGGAACTGAAATTCAGCAGGAATTTGATTAATTTGTTAACCATATAATATGCCTTTTGCCAAAATGGTGAAGTTTTAGCTCATTTTTAGTTGCTTTTCATAGGTTTTTATAGATCGTTTCATTGATGGTTTGTTAATTATTTTACAGGATTCATGCAGTCTTTGTGGTGTTAGGTGGTTATAGTTATTTCTTGTTTGTAAGCCACATTGAGATTCATCTGAATGAAAAGCGGCTTAGAAATAACAACCCATCACTCAGTCAAACGGACCAGCCTTCTCCCAACTGCCAGAGCTCCGCTTAGCTGAAAGGTCTGCCCTTTGACCTGGAACTGCTTCTGACCCCATCCCCATGCGTGGACCTTCATTGTAATCACACCCACAGAATGCTTCTCTCACTTGAACGGTCCTGGAGAATCCGGGACACTGTAGTTTCTTCAGGGTGCAGGGATTGTAGCTCTGCCTTAACAAACCACAGCTTGTCCACTAGCCTTTCTGAAACAACGCAGGGACCCAAAAAGAAAGCAGCCGTCCTTCAGGCTTTTCCAAACCTTGCAGTGTGGTTCTCCAGCCCAGTGAGGTGTCCAAAAAATGCAAATAGTAGCGTGAAGCATGTGCATATTAGTGAAAATAACAAAAGGAGCATCTCCACGCCCATCGTTCTGCCCGGACACTGAGGTCCAGCGCCGAGGGCCTTCTGGCAGTTCCCTCACTGTGAGGAGCCAAGTTACAGGGAACCAGGCAGAGGGCCTTCTCAGCAGTGGCGCCCGCCCTGTGGAATGCCCTCCCAGCAGATGTCAAAGCAATAAGCAACTATTTTACTTTTAAAAGACAACTGCAGGTGGCCCTGTTTAGGGAAGTTTTTAATGTCTGATGCTGTATTGTTTTTAATATTCGGTTGGAAGCCGCCCAGAGTGGCTGGGGAAATCCAGCCAGGTGGGCAGGGTATAAATAAATTATTATTATTATTATTATTATTATTATTATTATTATTATTAAATTGCATTGTTTCAGGGAAAGTTGCTTTGCAAAAGAAACGAGTACCTTAAGCAAAACTGCATACAAAATGCGTATCAGTAGGAGAAATTAGCACTAAAATGATAGTGGATTTGCATGAGGACTTTTTTCCCCAATTGTGGGGAACTGAACTTCAAGACTGGAAAGATAAAGAGGAACTGAAATGGATGGATTAGCCCACCCCTGCCTGGAACCTAGCAGGGGTTCCCTTGGCTGCGTCTCAAAAGAAGCCTCATCTCATCACCCCCAGTCCTGCTCCCCCATTGCTGATTCCCACCACAGTCCTTTACTGCTTTCCCATCTATGCTTCGCAATGGGGCCAGGGCAGCCAGGCTGGGGGCGGGGGGGTGTTCCTTTTCTTACTGCTGCTCTTAAAAGGCCTTAATGCATAATGGAGGCAGCCTCTGGTTCATCGGCTGCTGTTTTATGGCCGCCGTGCCTTCAGCAAAGCACCGCAAATTAAGCCTCGGTCACGTCTTCAGGACAAAAGAGTAACCCAGAGAGCATCTGCTGGAATGCCAAGCTTCCCTTGTCCCCCTCCTATAAAAACACACACCCAGCCTGGACACTCTCTCTCTCTCTCTCTCTCTCTCTCTCTCTCTCTCTCCTCGGTGACCCTCAAAACGGCCCCGTGCGAACTTCGGAAGGGGCTGCTCTCAGTGAAGAAACACAAGCTGCATTCTTTGCGACATTGTGCGTAAAATGGCTTAAATATAAAGCACCCTTCAGTCCCGTGGGTTTGTCCTCAATCTGAAGAAGGAGAAATCTGCCTGCACCCATCTCAGTCAACCCATGTGTGAGGGGATCCGACATGAGGAAGCCAAGAGAATAATTGTGATGCCTGGGACTGGTCTATCAGGGCTCCTTGTCAGAAGCAAGTGATCCAGGGATCCTAGCTTCCGGCACAGAGTAACTTGTCAGTTTGCATCTTCCTTTTAGCACTGTGTTTGGTGGTGGTGAGAAACATTGCCCTATAAATTAACGCATGGTGGTTTCATCCATCTTTCCTATAATAGAACACATTTTTTTACATCCCATGGCTTGGGAAATTAAAGCTATTGTAGCTCATTTGATGGCAGCTGTCTTCGCTTTTATCCGCTGTGTAAAATATTAAGGTCCATTAGGTCCAGTCGTGACCGACTCTGGGGTTGCGGCGCTCATCTCGCTTTATTGGCCGAGGAAGCTGGCGTACAGCTTCCGGGTCATGTGGTCAGCATGACTAAGCCGTTTCTGGTAAACCAGAGCAGCGCACGGAAACACCGTTTACCTTCCTGCCATTAACTTCCTACCTATTTATCTACTTGCGCTGGTGTGCTTTTGAACTGCTAGGTTGGCAGGTGCAGGGACTGAGCAACGGGAGCTCACCCCATCTTGGGGATTCAAACCGCCCACCTTCTGATTGGCAAGCCCTAGGCTCTGTGGTTTAACCCACAGCGCCACCCGCGTCCCATATTTAAAATATTAGAGGACTGCTTACTTGCATTTTAGTTGGTAAAGCATGAGACTCTTAATCTCAGGGTCACGGGTTCAAGCCCCATGTTGAGAGAAAGATTCCTGCATTGCAGGGTTTGGACTAGACGCTTGTGGTCCCTTCCAACTCCAGGCCATTAACACCATTTGCTTTTGAAACAAAATGAAGACTTGACCATCCCAGAGTAAATTAAATACAGTGCTCAGCGCAGAACTGCTCCCTAAGAAACAGTGTCCGAGTTTCTTTTCCTCTTCCCTCCCAGTCCTTTTTTCCTTTGGTGTCATGGCTTTTAGTTTGTATGCCCCAGGCATGCAAAGAAGTGTTTTCCTTGAGAGAGTAAAAGTTATTTAATTTGACCTTTCTCGTGTCCATCTTCCACTGCCTCCGCTCGCTGCTTCATATTCTGCCTCATGTTTTTATTTCTTTCTGGGATGGATGAATAAAAAAATAAAGCAGGTTTGTAGGTTTGGAAGAAGTTTTGTGAGGTGAATAATTTGAATTATTGCAAAATTGGATAAAGAGGAGGATTGTTAGTTAAGATAATTAAAGGCAATATGAATTTAAGAAATGCAGAAGAAGTGATAAATAATAATAATAATAATAAATTTTATTTATATCCCGCCCTCCCCAGCCAAAGCCAGGCTCAGGGCGGCTAACAACAATCAAATAATCCAACAATCAAATAATCCAACATTCTAAAACATTTCATTATAAAAATTAATTAAAATCAAATTAATGGCAACCGTTAAGCAAAGTTCTGTGCAGGTTGCCAGAGGAGGGAGTCAGGCTGGGCCCTGGCCAAAGGCCTGGTGGAACAACTCTGTCTTGCAGGCCTTGTGGAAAGATGTCAGGTCCCGCAGGGCCCTAGTCTCTTGTGACAGAGCGTTCCACCAGATTGGAGCCGCAGCCGAGAAAGCCCTGGCTCTAGTTGAGGCCAGCCTAACCTCTCTGAGGCCTGGGACCTTCAGGATGTTTTTATTTGCAGACCGTAGGTTCCTCTGTGGGGCATACCAGAGAGGCGGTCCCGTAGGTACGAGGGTCCTAGGCCGTATAGGGCTTTAAAGGTTAAAACCAGCACCTTAAACCTGATCCTGTACTCCACCGGGAGCCAGTGCAGCTGGTATAGCACCGGGTGAATGTGATCTCGCAGCGAAGACCCCGTAAGGAGTCTCGCCGCGGCATTCTGCACCCGCTGGAGTTTCTGGGTCAGTCTCAAGGGCAGCCCCACGTAGACCCATGGTGGATCATCAGAGGTGCTGATGGAAGTCCAAAAAAATTGTGGTATCTATGATAATTAATATGTTCAAAAATTAATATAAAAATATTTTAAAAAATAAAAATAAAGCATTAGCTTGGAGCCCTGACCAACTGGGCCAACATGCCTTATTCTTCTCACAGAATCTTTGAACACATATGCAACAGCATTTTTTCCCTTTCTTTAGGGGAACCCGGGACATGGCAAATCACTCCAAGCGACCTCCTTGAGATGGACACGCTGAGCGGAGCGGCCTTCGCAAAGCACGCTGGGAAGGCCACCGTCTTCCACGATATCCCAGGGATAGTGAAAACTTACCGAGAGGTAAGGACCAGAAAAACAAGGCAGCGCCAGCATGCAGGCATCACGGAAGGCGTTTCTAGCCAGGAGAGTAAGCGTGGGAAGGGGAAATGGAGTCATTTCAGGGAATAAAAGACCTTCTCGGAGCACGGACTTAAAAACTGAGAAACCATTGATTTGCCACTCGAGTTGATTGACAACATGCAGTGCCCAACTGCTGCTTTTTAAAAATCAAAGTTAGGCCCAAGCCACCCCATCCTGCTTGGGCAGTGAATTCTCGCTAGCAAACAGCCGCTTCCTAAACCCTTCTGCAGTCACCATTTTGCTCTTTCCAGGTTGTCATCAGCGGCTCCTCCAGACTCAGCCTTCACCTCGGTCCCAAACAGTACCTGACCAACACTCCAAACTCCTCCGAGTTCCGGGTTTTCATCAGCACAAGCGGCACTAAAACAACCCTCCGAGGTAGGGTGGAAGGCGCAGCCGCTTCGCCCCCACCCAGTGTTAATGGGGCGCACGCTGGGAAGGGCAAATGCCCAGTCTAAGTAGAAAAATAAATCTGTCCACCCTGGCTGGATTAGAGGTGGCGTTGTGAGGAGAAGCCGCGTGTCCCCTCAGCCACCACTCATTCTCGCTTTTGAAAGTGCCGGTTTCTTCCCTCTTTAAGGGGTGGTTTGCTGGGTGCCCAGAGGAATGTCCTGTTACAGGATAAGCAAATTCCTCCGACAGCGGAGGGGGAACACGACCATCGCGGCCAGCAGAGGTTGGCACCATTAACCTCCATGGCGTTGTCTCATCCTGTGTTGAAGCTGTCCAGCCGTTTCTCCTTGTGGAAGCAACTCCCATAGTTTTAACTGCGCGCTGTGTGGAAAGGATCTTGCTTTTGTCTTTCCTGATCTTCCAGCATTCAGCTTCATTGGATGGCCCCCGAATTCTAGTATGATGAGGGAGAAAAGCTTTTCTAGCTAGTTACAATTTTGTACGCCTCTTCCTCTCTTGGGGGTCCCCCTCCCGCGTCAGAAAGTAGCAAAGGCATGGCTTGTCCTCCTTTTCCAGTACTGCTTAGGCAATAAAAGGAAGAACAGATCTCCCCTTTCCAATTTTTAGGTTTTTGCTTCCTTCAGTTGGGCTCATCCTCATCAAGTCTGGTTTCATGCCAAATTCTGCATGGTTCTGGCTTCTATTTCCTGACCACCAGCAGCCTGAGGACAATTTACAGGGCATCATGCCCCTTTATTCCATCATCACACCCTTGTCTCCTTTTACCCCTTCAGGTCCTTGCAGTTCCGCCCAGCTTCGTGCCATCACAGACCTGCTTTCCCCAGAATCTCACCTGACCTGTCAGGTGGAGTTCAGCATGATTTTCCCGGACATCCCAGCGCAGAGGATCTTTCATGCCCAGTCTGCGTTCTACACTGATAAAGGTAGCGGAGGAGGCGTCAGAGGCATGGCATATCCTCTGGCAGTAAGCCGGCCAACGTTTTTATCTCGCCATTTAAAACCTTTTCAGCTTTAACAGCCTTGCACACATCCATCCCTGTCCCATAAGCTCTAACAGTGAGGTGAGGAAGCTGCGGCCCTCGAGATGCTCCATCACCCCCAGCAGGCATGGCCAGTGATCAGGGGTTATGATGATGGCAGCTGGAGTCCTGCAGCATCTAGTGGACCAAAGATTTCCTAGGTGAAGGGACCCCTGACCATTAGGTCCAGTCGTGGCCGACTCTGGGGTTGCGGCGCTCATCTCGCTTTATTGGCCGAGGGAGCCGGCGTACAGCTTCCGGCTCCTGTGGTCAGCATGACTAAGCCACTTCTGGAGAACCAGAGCAGCACACGGAAACGCCGTTTACCTTCCCACCAGAGCGGTACCTATTTATCTACTTGCACTTTGACGTGCTTTCAAACTGCTAGGTTGGCAGGAGCAGGAGTAGTAGACTAGTGGGGGTGGGGACCTGTAGTGCTCCAAATGTTGCTGAACTACGACTCCCATCACCCCTGGCCACTGAGCCAATCTTGCAGGGGCTGATGGGAATCGTAGTTCAGACCAAGGTTCCCCATGCCTGGGGTAGACAATGCGGAGCGAGGTGGACCAGCATCCTGAGTCAATACAGGGCAGCTCCCTATCTGGTTTCCCTCTTCCCAAACTCAAGGTCTCTACGCCTGCATCATCACCGTGAAAGACCAGCCGGAAGCCGACCTGCTGGCGCTGAGCACCGCTGGGGGCTCGGTGCACGTGACGGCCTCCCTCCTCAGCGATCAGAGCCCAGAGGGGACACAGAGGCTCTCGGTGCCCTTTCTGCCTGCCTTTTACATGAACCAGTCCGAAGTGGTCTTCAGCAGCACAGAGCTGAGCAGGGAAATCGTGGTGCTGGGGGCAAGGCGAGTGACTGAAGAAACAGAGGCAAGTCAAAGGCTCAGGATGCGGCAGCCACATAAAAGCCCTGCTCCAGATGATGGCAGCACTGGCTTCTGAGATCTCTAGGACGTGCTGAAGAGGCTCTCCCATAGACTGCAGCCATCTGCTGGGTGTACAAGGGATGCTTATAGCATTGGTCCACATTATAACCAGCCTTTGAATACGGGGTTCATTTCGGGATGATAAGGTCTACACGTATGGTTATGAAGAGCAAGGAGTTACATGCATCATTTCAATCATCTCAGGCCCTACGAGCCAGCAGGAAACTGCCCAGTTAACCCTGACCCATTACAGGGCCTTATTACTGGTGGCTCTCCCTGGTGAGGCATGTCAATCTACCTCACTTTTTAAGGTTCAGGAGGAAGTTAAAAACACTCCTGTTTACCTAGGCACCTGGTGGATGAAATATACTGTTCCCGGCAACCTTGAAATCAATAGTTGGGAGTTTATGTGACCCTTTCAAAACATTTCTAGATGTTCTTAATTCTGTTTAAAGGGTGTTTTATATTTAATTCTGTTTGCCACCATGCGCTCCTTGGGGAGGAAGTGGCAGAAGAGAAATTGGGAAGATGGATTCAACTTGTAGCAGTGATATATGGGCTGGTATCCAGCTAAGTTCTACCCGGAGCAAGCATATTTAAATGAATGGGCTTAAGTTAGTCACACTGATGAGTTTCTATGGCTGTGAATAGGACTGACACTGGATACAAGCCATTGGTTTGGGAGCATGTACACCTTATTTGAAACAACAGGAGGCTGGTCATTTCTGAACTATTAAGGAAACAAACCTGTTGCTCAATTGTGTAGAGCTTGCAATTAAAGACTTAAGGCTCAGGGCACCTTAGAGACAAGCAGATCCATCCCAGCTTTGATTTTTATCAGTAGACAAGCAGTATTATAATAACCTCCTCCATTGAGGGAGAATGCAAGATATGCAGAGACACCTTGCCAAGTGAGAACAAGGGTCCTTGCGGCTGCTTAAGGCAGATCTAGTCCACAAAAGCTAATCCTGCATAGATCCCGGTCTGTCTCTTAAGGTGCCACAAGCCACTGTTGTTGCTGCGACAGAGCAACAGACCCCTTTGGATTGCAGCTGTTATTTTCCTAACGACTCAACTTTCCCTCCGTCCTTCCTGCCAAGGCCCAGCCCAGTTCTCCAGTGATCCAAGTGGGACGCCCCTTCCATCTGGTGGACATGCCCGGGCTTGTCGTCTTCCCAGTCAGCGTGGTCAACCTCACATCCCTCCAGCAGATGGCAGCACCCGTCTTCGTCAACCTCTCCTGCACCCTTACAGGCCAGAGGGCTGCCGTGTTAATGCGGGCACTGCCAGACAGGCATCTGTTTGGTAAGGACCATAGCAGTCAAGCCATGAACGGAGGCCTGTGCCTTCATCCGGATGGTCACAGGGGGTAATATCCTGCACCAGCCCAGAGCAGACAGGTCTTGTCTCTCCTCCTAGATCAGTGTGCTGAAGCAGGCCTTGTCAAGCAGCTTGTGGGCTCCTACCAGGTCCTCCTCTTCACCATCTTCGCTGTTTTAGCATCCACCATGGTCATCTTTCTCAGTAAGTGGATTTGCAAAGGCAGGCACAATATACCCTGGAGGAACCAGGCCTTTCTGAAAGAGCAAGTGGGGAACCAGCAAGCCCACATGGTGCCCAACCCTTCTCTCCCCCCCCCCCCACTTGCAGAAATACTGGCCTGCCTCACAGCTTGATGGGAAGGATTACATAGATACACAAGGGAAAGCAAAGACATGCTAAGGTGGTTGTGGGCTCTTCTTTGGAGGTTTTTAAGCAGAGGCTGGATGGCCATCGTTCACAGATACTTTAGTTGAGTTTCCTGCATGGGGTTGGACTGGATGACCCTTGGAGTGCCTTGCAACACTATTATTGGACTCTGTGCTAGTGACCACCTTTGTATGCATTTCTTCACTTGAACTCCCATGCTTCAAGTGGAATAGCCCACAAACCATAAGCGGAGTCAGCTAAATTATGTGAAGGGTGTTGCTGCCAGTGGTTCAGAAAAGGGCATGGGTGGAACTAACCTTGATGTGATGCTTCGACCCCCACAGCCTACAATGCCTTCCTGAGCAGAGTACAGGCAGTCCCCGTAGTGTACGTTCCCACATCAGGCATGGTACAGACAGGTGAGTTGAAAGGAGGTTTCCCCCAATACTTCCTGCATTCATATCAAATGTTGCTTATTCGAAAGTATGTTTAGGGTGTGGTGGGGTGACCTTTGGAATTATCTTCGGGTGGTTAGGTCACCAGAATGTGGACTCTGGACAAAACATTTCCAGAGCCCGCCCTTGCATTGCCTGGCTTATCAGACCTCTGATTTGTCATCTTTGGGTTTCTTAGTCCCGCTGTGCAGCCACCCAGAGGGTTCACTTGCAGCAATCAACATGGCATTTCACAACATGGTATTCAAACAGCCACACACAGCAGCTGGGTAGTCTTTCAACTGGCAAACCATTTCTGAGCATCTCTATAGGTAGCTTCAAACAGCTCTTTCTCTTCCCACCCACCCCATTTTATTTCCAGGGTACCTCTCCTCTCCACCCAGCATGCAAAATCACTATTCCAGTGTCAGGAACAGGACTCAGGCCTGGCTTTGGAGCGTTCGAAGATGACCATCGCTGGACGCAGAGGCACCTATAAGCCATGTGTTAAAAAGTAAACTGGTGGAAACTTGTGGCAGCTGTCTTCATTAAATAGGAAGGGCAGACATAGTTGGAAGAACTTGGAAAATAACATGGCAATCTGTTCTAAAGACCCTTTGGCCTTTTTACTTGGGACAGAAGCCCCTTTCAGGCAGCGGAATGCACAGAAGTTGCTTTGTTGCATATCTGCTATGTGCTGCTCATTTCCGCATTTTACAACAAGGTAAAGCTATTAATCTGTAGAGTCTGTTCTATTTTAACCTGTAGCTAGATCCAGAGAATCTCAGGCAGCCACACTGGCAACCAACTCCCAGCCCCCAACACACGCACACACTACAGAAAACACGATTCTGTCTTTATATCCAAAATTTATTGAGTCAGATGGGTGAGGCTACAAGGACAGTGCGAAAGCCATCTTTTGCTCTCCTTATTCCAGAGGCAGCAGCAACAGCTGAAATCCTCAAGAGCCACACAGCTGCAGCTCACATCTCACTTGTGTCGGGACTCCCACCGTCCATGCTCTTGAGATCCTCCGCACCGGAGCCGACGACTGTGCACATAGCCCCACCCATCCTGGACAAACATCTGCTTAATTTAGTGCTGCTTTCGCCTGAAGGAGCATCCTGCAAACAGGGTGGGGTGGAAGGCCACACAGTGAACAAAAAGAAAAGAAAACACAACAGCTCTTATTTACACATGACTTCTCGACCTCCTGAGCACAGCATCCGGGAGAGTTGAAATTCATCATGGCTCATTTAAAGAAAGTCTTGCAGAAGGCTACTCCGATTATGTCACATGATTAAAAGCAAAAAACAGAGCCACCCTTCACTCCCCCAAGACTCTATGCATAATACCCAAAATCTTAATTACTGGAGGCATGTCCCCGCACCCAAAGTGGTTGCTGCAAAAAGTGATAGCTCCAGACCCTCCCTTTTGTTATCTGAACCCCAGTGTGTTTTGTTACAAAGCCTGACATAATAGTTACCTAACTTGTGAATTTTAAAAGCAAAAGAAAACCGGCAGACTGCCTTAGGGCAGGTTAAAAAACCAACCACTCACTTCCAGATTCCACCTGCTCTAAGCAGCTTTAACCATCCACCTCTACAGAAGGTTACATAATAACAGGGAAGGGGTGCAATTAAACACACACTGCTTACATGCCGCAATAGAAAATGGCAAAGGAACAGAGGAGATAAGGCAGAAGTGATTTGCTCCAAGAGCAGGTCTTTAAAAACAGCCAATTAAGCTGCCTGCTTACCTTCTGTCAACCTTGCCTTTCCCCCAGTGGGCTGGCACAGCACAGTTGAACAGCCGACACACAGAACCACTGTTTGAGCGTGACTGAACACAGTGGTGATTTTGTAGCAACCTGAGAGAGGGAAAAGAAAAAACATCACTTTGGATCCACTTCAAAGAAATGCAAGAGGACCCTCTCCAAAATGTATAATGCCTAGAAAATCGGGAAATTTAACCAGAAAAAGTGCTAAACGGGATAATTGCTAGAATAGCATTTCAACCTTGGAGACAAACCTACACCACCCAGTCTCCTTTCAATCACCTGTATTGCCTCAAATCCTTTATGTGGGCTAAAACTGCAAGATGCAGGTAAACCTGTGATTTGTTTGCTTCATATCTCATTTTTTCTATTTGTACATAGCCAAAACACCTTAGCTTAAGTAAGGTCTTTACCAACTATTTGGGAATGCCGTAGCTCAGTGGACAGAGCATCTGCTTCATGTGCAGCATGTACCAGGTTCAATTCCTGGCATCTCCAGGAAAGGCTGGGAATGTCCCCTGCCTGCAACCCTGGAGAGCCGCTGCCAGTCAGTGTTGACAACACCAAACTAGATGGACCAATAATCTGACTCGATGTAAGGCAGATGTTCCTGAAGATGGAAAGGGGAAAGCCCAATCTCAGTGCCACCAGCATGAAGGCAATGACCTTCTTTACTTGCCTGCCGAGTTACACATGTGGGTATAGCCTTTCCAAGGCCAGGTATTTTACCATAGGAGCAATGATTTCCAAGGTAACCGTAGTGCTCTGACATTTCTTCTTCTGTAACCCCAACACAAGAGGCCTCATTTCCTACTGCCAGTTCACATGCCTGAGCAAATAGCAAAGGTTTTCCCCCTCCCTGTATGAGCTCCCAGCAATGCAAAGCAGCGAACTACAATGGAGTGTGAGAAAAAACGTAGAACTATGTGATACGTGATCCAGCCCCTTGCCCAAAACAAGTACAGTGGTACCTCGGTTTTCGAACACCTCTGCAGTTGAATGTTTTGGAACTCAAACACCCAAAACCTGGAAACGCGCCTCAGAAGTCAAACAGGAAAATGCAGCTTCAGTTTTGAGATTTCTGTATTGAGGCTTCCGTTTTGAGGCTTCCGCTTTCAGCTTTCAAACACTTCAGAACTCGAATGGACTTCCGGAATCGATTGTGTTCGAAAACAGAGGTACCACTGTATATACAAGTTGCAGGACATAAAAACACGACCAGCCTTGTTTTAACACACTCCTCCTCCCTACCTGGACATTTCACATCCATGAAGTAAGAGTTGGGACTCTGGACCAGGCGCTTCTTCTTATGTTTCCTCTTCTCCTCCTCAGGGGAGGGATGCAAGAGATCCTTTGCGAGCTGCAGGGAATGCCCATAAACCAAGGACTTTAGAATGAAGAACAAACCTCTCAATCCCCACAACACATTTAACTCCCAAACCCCTAACAAAGTACTTGTGTACATATTCATGTTAAGTAGCTAGCAATTTGGTTAGGAAAACCTGGTTGAGGGGGTCCATGCCTACCAGACCTTAAAAAAAGTAGCACTGCCCCCTTAACCCCCTTCCTCAAACCCCCCTTTTCCATGAAGCACAGTCTTTTATTATTGGTGAATTTATTCATTTTATACCCCACCCTTCCAAAGTAGTTCAGGGCTGCACACAAGTGAGAAAAACATCTTTAAGAACAATTCTAGTACAGATGCAGACTGGGGAAGATCTCCGTTTAAAAGGTCTACTGAAAGAGGAAAGTCTTCTCATAAGTCTATTAAAGGGGAAAGAACTCCAAAGGCCCAAATCCTATATTTTAAGATCCTCTGGTAGTTTTCAAGTGCCATGAACGCTTAGCTAGCATACAAACAACAACTACGTTTATTATGTGGGTGAGGAACCAGTGACCCTCCATCTGGAACTCCCATAACCCCAAACCATGAGCAGTGCTTTGCTGGCATGGAGAACAACCACCTCTAGAGGGCCAGTTTAGCAGCAGTTGTTCCTCAAACACTCAATTCAAATATTATCAAGTGGCCTCAGACAACCCCTGAAACTGAGGGCACTGGCCAACGTTGCCCCCTGCCTGCCTATTAACCAACCAGGACGGTTGCAAGATTTCACGGAAATACAGTCGCCACAAACTTGCTTTGTTTTTGAAATCTCCAAAGCCATAAATACGTATCTAAGTATACATGGATTAAGAGAAAACTTTGCAAGGTAGAGAGCTACTGTGGTGTATGGTCAGTGTCAGGCTAGGACCTGGGAGAGACCAGAGTTCAAATCCCTGAATCGTGAAGCTCACACACTGCCTCTCAGCCTAACCTACCTCGTAGGGTTGTTGTGGGGCATTAAAAAAAATTTTTTTGGGGGGGGGGGGGAAGAATCATGTACGCCACCTTGAGCTCCTTGGAGAATAAGGCAGGATACAAATGCTACATACGTAAACACACACACACACACACACACACACACACACATATATATATATACACACACACATACACGTGTACACACACCCACACCGACTCAAATAGGCTCACTTTTAAACAAAATAACGCAGCGAGACCAGATGACCCTGAGCTGGGAAAAGTGGTTTCGCTGGCACCCGCCTCCCAGGCTGCTCTGCTCCTCCTTTCCCTTCAAAACCAAGTTACTATTCATATAAATCTCTTATTAACGGAGCACATTTTTAAAAAGCGGGGAGAGGGGAGGAGTCAGAGAAGTAAATATCTCCCCTCCCTCCCCAGGCCGCCATTTTGAGCCTCCCATCCCCGACCAGGGAGGTGTGAGGGAAGGGAAGGCGATGGGGCGCCTGGAGCGGGGTGGAAGCCCAAGGCGACGACCACGAGCGACCCCCTTTCCCCAACCTATCGGGGCCCGAAAGACCGAGCCGGGGAGGGACGGGGCACCAAGGCCTCGCCGCTCCGCTGGCGCCCAGACCCAGCAAAGGACTCACAGGCATGTTCGCGTGGAGGCAGCTACGGCCGAAAAGGAGCCAGACCGGAAAGAGAGGGCGCTATATCCGCTCCGGGGTTTCCCCGCACGGGCGGAAGCCGAGCCAAAGGGGGCGTGGCCACCTCGACCTTTCACCCAGCCTGCGCGCTCTTCCTTCGACGAAGCCACGCTCTGGAGGAGGAGGGGGGCGTTCGCCTCTCAGCCGCCATTTTGGAAAGGGGATGGGGCGGGGCGGGAACGGAAGTGCCCCTGGTTGGAAGCGGATTGCGGGAGGGAGGGCCGCCATGATGGGAAGGTCGCGGTGAGGCGAAGAGAGGGACTGGCGAGGCGGCCTTCTTGAGAAGGGCAGCCGTGTCGCCAGGCCGCCATTTTGAGAGGGTTTCATGAAAACAAGATAAATGAGCCAAGTAATAGAGGGATATAAAGGTTTTTTTCTCTATTCCCGGCATATTATAATTAATTAATTAATTAATTAATTATAATGACCTGCCGTTCACCTTCAGGTCTCAGGGCGGGTTACAACATGAAAACACACATTGAAAATATTTGAAAAACAACTTTGAATCAGTTTTAAGCAACTTACAATTTACAGCTTAAAACCATTCACAATGGCATTTAATCATGCCTCGCTTTTCCTCCTAAGGTGCTCAGGGTAGTGTAGACACGCCTTGATTTAGCTTCACAACAACCCTGTGAGGTAAGCTAAAAAAGGTAAAGGGACCCCTGACCATTAGGTCCATTCGTGGCCGACTCTGGGGTTGCGGCGCTCATCTCGCTTTACTGGCCAAGGGAGCCGGCGTACAGCTTCCGGGTCATGTGGCCAGCATGACTAAGCCGCTTCTGGCGAACCAGAGCAGCGCACGGAAACGCCGTTTACCTTCCTGCCGGAGTGGTACCTATTTATCTACTTGCACTTTGACGTGCTTTTGAACTGCTAGGTTGGCAGGAGCAGGGACCAAGCAACGGGAGCTCACCCTGTCGCAGGGATTCAAACTGCCGACCTTCTGATCGGCAAGTCCTAGGCTCTGTGGTTTAACCCTATGAGGTAAGCTAGGCTGTCTCAAGTTCACCCAGGAAGCTTCATGGCTGGGTGGGGATTTGAACCCAGGTCTAAACTCACCCCGCACCTTCAAATACACCAGAGTGGCTCTTCACATTAGACGTCGCATCCCGCCAGCCCCATCTGTGGTGTGGTTAAGGAGTTTATTTGTTATTTGTTTTTCTCTAAAGAGCTCAAGGTGACATGCATGGTTCTCTCCTCATCTCCTCCGCACAACAATTCTGTGAGATCGGTTTGGCTAAGGGGCAGTGACAGGCCCAAGGTCACCCAGTGAGCATCATGGCTGAGACAGCATTTGAACCCGGGTCTCCCAGATCCTAGTCTGACATGGCAGCCCCACCACTGGCTCTTGGACTAGGAGAAGGGAACCCAGGGTTCAAATCCTCAGTATACTTGAAGGAGCATCTCCACGCCCATCGTTCAGCCCAGACACTGAAGTCCAGCGCCAAGGGCCTTCTGGCAGTTCCCTCCCTGCGAGAAGTGAAGTTACAGGGAACCAGGCAGAGGGCCTTCTCGGTGGTGGCGCCTGCCCTGTGGAACGCCCTCCCATCAGATGTCAAAGAGATAAACAAGTTTAGAAAACATCTGAAGGCAGCCCTGTTTAGGGAAGTTTTTAATGTTTGAAGCTTTATTCTGTTTTCAGTCCTCTGTTGAGAGCTGCCCAGAGTAGCTGGGGAAACCCAGCCATATGGGCTGGGTATAAATAATAAAAATACTATTATTATTATTATTATTATTATTAGGCCTTTGTCAGCCTGATCTACCTTACAGGGTTGTTAGAAGTATAAAATGGGAAGAGAACCACAGAGACTGCTCTGAGTTCCTTGAAGTAAGATTTGACTAGTACAGTGGTACCTCAGCTTAAGTACTTAATTCGTTCCGGAGGTCCTTTCTTAACCTGAAACTGTTCTTAACCTGAAGCACCACTTTAGCTAATGGGGCCTCCTGCTGCCGCTGCGCCGCCGGAGCACGATTTCTGTTCTCATCCTGAAGCAAAGTTCTTAACTATTTCTGGCTTAGCGGAGTCTGTAACCTGAAGCATATGTAACCTGAGGTACCACTGTAGTAGTAGTAGCAGCAGCTGTAGTATTTGTAATAAAACAGTAAATTATGCTGCTTTGGGCTGAAGTTTCACTCCCATGAAGCATTCAGACATCGCTGTTGGTTTTCCTGAACCCACCTCTATACATGGAGATGTTGAGATGGCCACAAAGGGCATTAATCACCTTAGGCTGCTTTACCAGCTCCAGCCTTGTCTAGAAAAAAGAGGCCTCTCCTCAAATTGCACACATGTTGGTCATGTCTGGGTTGCACTACTGTAATGCTTTCTACACAGGGCTCCCCTTGGAGACTGTTGCCAAAACCCGACCTACATATTTTGCCTCTTGCTTCACTGACTCAGGTTATCTCCTGATTTCTGGGCTCCCATTCAAGTAAAACCAAAATGGTTTGGGTCCCAGCTATTTGAAGGACCAACTGCACATCTAGGAACATGTCTGGGTTCCCATAAAGGTAAAGGGACCCCTGACCATTAGGTCCAGTCGTGACCGACTCTGGGGTTGCGACACTCATCTCGCTTTATTGGCCGAGGGAGCCGGCGTACAGCTTCCGGGTCATGTGGCCAGCATGACTAAGCCACTTCTGGCAAACCAGAAGCAGCGCACGGAAATGCCATTTACCTTCCCGCCGGAGCGGTACCTATTTATCTACTTGCAGTTTGACATGCTTTCGAACTGCTAGGTTGGCAGGAGCAGGGCCCGAGCAACGGGGGCTCACCCCATCACGGGGATTCGAACCACGACTTTCTGATCAGCAAGTCCTAGGCTCTGTGGTTTAATCCACAGCGCCACCCGCGTCCCAGTGGGTTCCCATATCCACCTCAAAAGCTGGTGAGTACCAGGGACAGAATATTTTTTTTAGTGATGGCCCATCCTCTCTGGAACTGCCCTCCTGTTTCTTGTGGTTTTCAAACCACCACCACCAAGCATTTCATTGATCTTATTGTCAACTTGTCTAATTTTGATAGGACTCCGTTAGGGTTTTTAAAAAAATAAATATTGTCATGTTTTAAGCCTGGTTCCTGTTTTGTAAACTGCTTTGTGATCCCTAAAAGGCAGGGATCAAAATCTCTTGATAAATGAATGAATGAAAAACCCCACGTGGGGAATGGAGTGACATCATCCTGGTATGACATCCTGGTGTGAACCAGCTCTTCCATAGAATGGAGGCAGATGGTGTCATGGCAAGGGTGATGATGCCAGTGCCATAACTCTCTCTGATGTTACATAGCCCATTACAAAATGGGCTCCTGCCTTAAATCTGTGTCCCACTGCAAATTTCAGGCCTTAGAACCACCAGAGTGAGAGATCTGGCCTTCTCCTGGTGCCAAGTGGTTGTCTGGGTGCAAGACTTACTTCTTTATTTCCGCTTTATTCATTGTCTATATTTCTGCCGTGGCTCGTTAGCCAAGATGAGAATGAGAAATGATGGATCAAGCCATCCTATAGATACTTACTCAAAATGATGTCCCGTGAGCACAACGGGGTTTGCTCCCACATGAAGTGAGTACAGTGGTACCTCAGGTTAAGTACTTAATTTGTTCCGGAGGTCCGTACTTAACCTGAAACTGTTCTTAACCTGAAGCACCACTTTAGCTAATGGGGCCTCCCGCTGCTGCTGCTGCGCCACCAGAGCCCGATTTCTGTTCTTATCCTGAAGCAAAGTTCTTAACCTGAAGCACTGTTTCTAGGTTAGCGGAGTGTGTAACCTGAAGCGTATGTAACCTGAAGCGTATGTAACCCAAGGTACCACTGTATAGTATTCCAACTTTATTTTTATTTTATTTTTAAAAACATCCAGCGGAAGCTAATAATTGCTACTGCCTATAAGTCTTGCTTTTAAATCAGCTGAGAACTCCAGTCCATTGCAAGAGGCAAATATTGCTTATTAACAGTGCAGACCACCCAGCGGTAGAGGCTCCCACCTTGTGGGAGAGCATTTGATTTGCATACAAGAAGGCCGCAGGTTCAGTTCCTCCCAGCATTTCCAGGTTGGGCTGGGAAAGAGACCTCCCCACAAAGCCTTGGACAACTGCTGCCAGTCGGTGTAGACAATACTGAGGGTTCTGTTTAGTTATAATAGGTACTTCCACCCCAGGAACATAAGAAGCTGCCATATATTGGGCTGGAATCCTTGGTCCATCTTGGCTCAGTACTGCCCACACTGACCGGCAGCAGCAGTCCAGGGGTCTGCACAGAGGTCTCTCTCCCAGCCCAAACTGAAGATGCCATTGAGGATTGAAGCTGGGACCTCCTTGCAAGGCAGATGAAGCTCTACCCATTGAGCTAGGACTCTTCCTCTAGCCTAGATCTATCCCCTTCCTCCCTGCATGTATCTCATCCAACTAGTAATCATCATCATCATCACCATCAAGAAAACAGAATCTGCAACAAAATATTGCAGCATGGAAAGCTGCTGCTCTGGCTGTCATCCATCCATGCTGTTTTCCAGGATATTTCATTCCAGTCTGACTGCATCCCATCCCAGATTGCCATTCCCTCACCTGAACAACCAGAATTTTCTGCATCGTTGGCATATTCAGTCCTCATTGTGCTGTAACAGTGGTGCTGGAGGAGACTCTTGAGAGTCCCATGGACTGCAAGATCAGACCTATCCATTCTGAAGGAAATCAGCCCTGAGTGCTCACTGGAAGGACAGATCCTGAAGCTGAGGCTCCAATACTTTGGCCACCTCATGAGAAGAGAAGACTCCCTGGAAAGACCCTGATGTTGGGAAAGATGGAGGGCACAAGGAGAAGGGGAGGACAGAGGACGAGATGGTTGGATAGTGTTCTTGAAGCTACCAGCATGAGTCTGACCAAACTGTGGGAGGCAGTGGAAGACAGGAGTGCCTGGCGTGCTCTGGTCCAGGGGGTCACGAAGAGTCGGACACTACTAAGCAACAACAACAAGATGTTGTTGTCTTCTAAACAGCCATCCTAATGGATTTCCCCCAAACACACACACTTTTGCAAACCTTGGAATTCCTCTCTTCATATTTATTTCTTCTTTATTTTACACATTTATAAACCGCTTCAAAGCCTGAAGCCATCAAAGTTGTGTATGACAATGTAATATATGATAAAATACAAAAAAGAGACTACAATTTCCAAAAGCAATAACTGTAAAACCATTCCCACAGGCTATAAAAATCAGTGAAACCGTTGCTATAGATGAATTCTTCATCACTGGTGCAGTTTCTCAGAGAACTGAACCGCTATCAGTACATTATAGGGTTCTTTTTATTTAGGAAATGTCTAATATTTCCTTACAATAATCCCTGAGCAGTAAACAGATAAATTCTATATAAAACATGAAATACACAGACCAATTAAAAACAATTATGCATAAAAGCATCACTAAAAACAATTTAAAAGAATTAAACACATTTAGAACAAATAACTAAATGATGTGTCTGGACAGGGTTGCTGAAACAATAATGTTTTCAGCAGGCATCTAGAATGGTATCGTGATACAGCACAATGAGCATTGTTAATGGCACCCTAAAGAATCATATGGGTAAAAAATAGATCCCTGCCCTCCAGGAGTTTACAGTCTTAATAAAAAACATTAAAAAGGAAAACACAAAAATCACATCTAACAGTGTAGGTGCTGACCTTGAAAGCCCTAAACAGCCTTGGCCCAGTACACCTGAAGGAGCATCTCCACTCCCATCGTCCAGCCCAGACACTGAGGTCCAGCGCCAAGGGCCTTCTGGCGGTTCCCTCACTGCGAGAAGTGAGGTTACAGGGAACCAGGCAGAGGGCCTTCATGATAGTGGTGCCCACCAGATGTCAAGGAAATAAACAACCATCTGACTTTTAGAAGACATCTGAAGGCAGCCCTGTTCAGGGAACTTTTTAATGTTTGATGTTTTATCACATGATGTTGTTGATGATGATGATGATGGGAGCTGCCCAGAGTGGCTGGGGAAACCCAGCTAGATGGGTGGGGTATACATTCATTCTTCTTCTTCTTCTTCTTCTTCTTCTTCTTCTTCTTCTTCTTCTTCTTCTCCTCCTCCTCCTCCTCCTCCTCCTCCTCCTCAGTGTTATGCCTTGCGGTGCAACGAAATAAAACACCGTATTACTAAATTGATCCTACAGACCTTCACCATATGTATGATCAATTCCTGTTTCTGACATTCCACGTTCTCTCATTCTGTGATCCAAGTATGTCTTACAAGCCAGGATCCAAATATGTATTTGGGGAGCCATTTATTAACTTTTTACCATGTATTTTCATGGTGGTAGTGCTTCTATTGCCACCCTCCTTGGATCAGGCTCTCACCCACTGAGGGCTCCCAACCTACCAGTTGAAGTCCGTCCAATATTTACTGGACGTAGCCAGAATACTGCAGTCGGAAGCAGTGCTGGCGGTGTCGTTTTGGGTGATTTCCCTTCAAAAATTGTTCAATGACTTTTGTGTCTGGATTTTCACTTTTTTGAAATATGGCAACTAAAGGTTTATTTATTCTTTATTATTCTGATTTCTTCTACAACTCCCTGATCAACCCCAGGAGTTTTATACAGTCTAAAAATATCTAAGCCAATTGACCGTTTGCCGGAATCCCCTGCTGTTAACTCTACGTGGTGCGATTGAAGTCAGTGGATGGGAGTAATGGATACAGACAGGCCATTGTTTCTCAAATCGATATGCAGGATCACACCCTCTTTTCCTGGTGTGCTTAGCAGACCAAAATCCTGCGCCTTTCCTCCACTAGAAAACAAGAAAAGAAATGGAGGCTTTTCCTGGCATAAAGAAGAAATGGAGGGGAGCGTTTCACGTGTTGAACCTCTGCCTGTTTCTCCAGCAACTCTCTGTCCATTACAGATAATAAAAGATGGAAACCTTTGGGTTGTTGTTTTTTTATATAGTAGGTTAATGTTATGAACCTGTTTGGGAACTGTAGTTTGTTAAGGGTGCTGGGAACTGTAGTTCCGTGAGAAGCAAACTTCAGTTCCTAGGATTCCTTGGAGTGCAAGCATGTACGGTACTTTAAAGTATGGGGCATACGCCAGCTTAACACGCCAGCTTAAACAATTTATTATTTATTGCGGGTGGCGTTGTGGGTTAAACCACAGAGCCTAGGACAGGGGTCTGCAACCTTTAAGACAAAAAGAGCCACTTGGACCCGTTTCCGAAGGAAAAAAAACTGGGAGCCGCAAAACTCGTCATTATAAAAATAACTTTTTTGTCACTTTTTTTTTATTATTTCTTTGTTTGACCCCTCAGAATTACTCCTTCTCATAGAAATAAATGTTAAATTAACAAGTTACCTTTTTGTGTGTGTGGGTTCTTCACTCCCCTTCAAAACAGTGACCAGCATACATGCCCCCTTTCAATGCAGTGACCAGCGTACATGCCCCTTACAATGTAGCGGGCGGGCGGGAAGGTGACGCCGGGACGGTGCGTGACTAACGCACGCACCACCCCCATGCGACGTCACAGCCAGTACAGCGCTCGCCACAGTGGGGAGTGTCGGGGCGCACAATGCGCCTCCTCCCCTCGCTAGTATCCGGCCCGGAGCCGCGGCAAAGGTGTAAAAGAGCCACATGCGGCTCCGGAGCCGCGGGTTGCAGACCCCTGGCCTAGGACTTGCCGATCAGAAGGTCGGCAGCTCGAATCCCCGCGACGGGGTGAGCTCCCGTTGCTCGGTCCCTGCTCCTGCCAACCTAGCAGTTCGAAAGCACGTCAAAGTGCAAGTAGATCAATAGGTACCACTCCGGCAGGAAGGTAAACGGCGTTTCTGTGCGCTGCTCTGGTTCGCCAGAAGCGTCTTAGTCATGCTGGCCACATGACCCAGAAGCTGTACGCTGGCTCCCTCGGCTAATAAAGCGAGATGAGCGCCGCAACCCAAGAGTCGGTCACGACTGAACCTAATGGTCAGGGGTCCCTTTACCTTTACCTTAACCTGCCCATCTGGCTGGGCTTCCCCAGCCACTCTGGGCGGCTTCCAACAAAATATTAAAATACAGTAATGCATCAAACATTAAAAGCTTCCCTAAACAGGGCTGCCTTCAGATGTCTGGTAGTTGTTGTTCTCTTTGACATCTGGCGGGAGGGCGTGCCACAGGGCGGGCGCCACCACCGAGAAGGCCCTTTGGTACTTTGCACATGCTCAAGGACACTCTCAGCGGTCAAGCGCCTTGCGAATGGCTCTTACTTAGTTCTGTATCCTGTTTCTTTTTAGTGTTGAAAAAAGGTGGGATGCCTGGCTCTCTCCCATCCCCCTTACAGCAACCCTGCAAGGTAGGAGAGACGGGCCACTGGCTCAAGAACACACCAGCAAGCTCCACGCTGGCCTGAGCAGGACATTACAAACCCTGCCCTCTCCCCGGTCCCGGTGCTCTAACCACTGCGCCACACTTCCCCGGGCACCAGGTCTCCCTTTGGGGGCAGGAATGAGCAGCAGCGCCAAGTTCATTCATGCCGCCCAAGGCGCGCGGGGGCGGGGGAAGAAGAGCCCATTGAAGAAATCCGCTCCTCCCGGGGCTGAGTCAGCTCAGACTTTTCAGCCCTGCTGGCTTAACCCCTCCCTGCCCGCGGGAGGGGGGGGCAAGCGGCTTTTCTCTCTGGCCTTCCAGCGAGGAGGAATGGGGGAGTGGTCTGAGCCTCCCGCTGGCTGGGAAGAAGGAGGAAGAGGAGGAAAAAAAAGGTTGCTGGGCGAGAGGAGGAGTTTGGGTTCCACCTCGCAACTTCTCATCCCTCCCCCCCCTTTAAACTTTTCTGATTTTTCTTTCTTTCTCTTTCCCCCTTCTATTTCTTTCTTTTCTTTCTTCCCAGGAAAGAGGGGGAAAAACCCAAGTTTGCAACTCTCCGGGGGCCATGGCCAAATCTTACGATCACCTCTTCAAGCTGCTCCTGATCGGAGACAGTGGAGTGGGGAAGACGTGCCTGATCATCCGCTTTGCAGAAGACAACTTCAGCGGGACCTATATCAGTACCATCGGTGAGAGGGGTTGGGGGGCGGTGAGGGGGGTTCCAGGGGAATGGGGTGGGCGGTGAGGGGGAGATCTGGGGAAAGGGAGGGGCTCTGTCACCCCCTTGCACCTCGATCTTCAAGGCTTCGCATCCTCCTTCTCCCAGTCCGAATCCCCCAAGACGTTTGTTTGTTTATCCGTCAAACGCATCAATATCCCACCTTTTGACGCAAGGGCACGATTCTCTCCCTCCACATTTAAACGCCACAACAACTCTGAGAGGTAGGTTAGGCGGAGAGGCCAAGTGAGATTTGGGCTGAGTGGGGATTGGAATAAGGTTACCAGATTTTTTTCAATGAATCCGGGGACAATTTCCTACTAAATAGATGGGGACTGATTTGTAAATCAGGGGACTGTCCCCGGGAAACAGGGACATCTGGCAACCTTAGATTGGAACCCTGGTCTCTCCCAGATCGGAGTTTGACACCCTGACCCATGGGTAGGCAAACTAAGGCCCGGAGGCCGGATCCGGCCCAATCGCCTTCTGAATCCGGCCCACGGACAGTCCAGGAATCAGCGTGTTTTTACATGAGTAGAATATGCCCTTTTATTTAAAATGCATCTCTGGGTTATTTGTGGGGCATAGGAATTTGTTTTGGTTTTTTTCCCCAAAATATAGTCTGGCCCCCCACAAGGTCTGAGGGACAGTGGACCGGCCCCCTGCTGAAAAAGTTTGCTGACCCCTGCATTACACTGCCAGGAGGAATGGGCACCCCCACCCCCCGCTAGTGTTAGAGCTGCACTGTGCATTTAAAGTGCATTTGATGCACATTTGTTATTATTTATGAAATTTATAGGCCACCCTTCGTCAAAAGACGGCTTGTCGGTTTGCAACGCAGAATGCATAACATTGTATCGAGGCAGGTTAAAAATCAAACACAGTTATATTTTATTTATTCCATAAAATTTATACGCCGTCTAATTATAAAAAAACCCCTAAACAAAACGCAAAGAGGTTTACAGAAAGAATTAAACATCATATCGAGGCAGGTTAAAAATCAAAACAACAGTATATAAACAGAGTTATATTTTATTTATTCCATAAAATTTGGACGTAATCTGATGATACAAAGCCAAACGCAACTCAAAGCGGTTTACAGGATAAAACTGCAAAATCATCGGTGAAAAAGTTAAGAGCAACTGTTTTAAAACATTCCAAGAAATAATTGAAAGCTTAAAACTAGATTTTAAGAATTGTTTGAGGTGTTTGGATGGGCTTGCCTAAACAAAGAAGTTTTTGGCAGGTGCTGAAAAGCGTGTGGCGAAGGCACCTGCCTGATATCAATGGGCAGGGAGTTCCAAAGTGCATGTGCTTCCATGCGAAAATATTTTGAGTTCTGACAAATGCGGAAGAGGTACCTGTAATGGTGCCAGTTCCGTTGATTGAAGCGGTTAATGGGGCATGCATGGGGCAAGGTGATCTTGCTGGTAAACTAAGAAGATAAAGCGGTTAAGGGCCTCATGTACTAATAGTAACAGTTTGAACTAGTCCTGTAGAAGAAACACATAATAAAGTACATATTAGAAATACAAGTATACCTGGAGCGTCTCCACACCTGACATTCAGCCCGGACACTGAGGTCCAGTGCCGGGGCCGTCTGGCGGTTCCCTCACTGTGAGAAGCCAAGTTACAGGGAACCAGACAGAGGGCCTTCTCGGTAGTGGCACCTGCCCTGTGGAATGGCCTCCCAGCAGATGACAAGGAAATAAACAACTATCCGACGTTTAGAAGACATCTGAAGGCAGCCGTGTTTAGGGAAGCTTTTTAAGGCTTAATGTTTCACTATGTTTTTATATATGCTGAAAGCCACTCAGAGTAGCAACCCAGTCAGATGGGTTTTTTTAAGATAAATAAATTATTATTATTATTATTATTCTGCATAATAACAACAGCATAAAACATACAGAGGGATAAAATGAGCAGCATTGTATCTAAAAGCACAGCCCACCCAAGGGCACACATACAAAACCTTTCTCTCTGTCCAAACGTCAGGCATAATCTTGGCCACCACAGAAAATGGCAGACCCTCCCAGCCCTCACCCGGGAGCTTCCCTTTCCTCTGCCTGTCTCCCACCCTAAGAGATCTTCACCTCCCTGCTTCTCACCCAGCTCCTTCCACCACCCACCCACCACTTGAAAGCACATGACTTCCTTCAAAGTATCTTGGGAACTGTAGTTTGTGGAGGGCGCTGGGGATCGTAGCTCCTTGAGGTGGGAACTCCAGTTCTCGGGCTGCTTGTTATGAGATGGGTGTTCCTTGGGTGTGCAGATCTTTGGCAGAATCCATGCGACAGGGCGCTCAATTGCCGAGGTATGGGCTTCTCTTAAAAATAGTTTTAAGATTCCAGTCCTCATGGAACTGAATAAACTGGAACTTGGGAAGTAGTCTTTAGTCTTCTTTCTTCTTCTTCTTTGGCCATCACTCGTAGCTGAGTAAGATTGTCTTCCATAAACACGGTTTTAACAATGAGTCCGTATGTCACTGTGGAGGCCAATTCTGGATCCCCACGTCCTTCCACGGTGGGGACATTGGTTCCCAGGCAGGAGTTGATCACGGTGTGGATTTGCCAAGCGTGCCTTCCTCTTAGCATGTTTCTCCCTTGTGTCCTGAGTTCGAGTGTCTTCAAAGCCCATGACACCTTTGGTAAAGGCTGTTCTCCAACTGGAGCGCTCGCAGGCCAGTGTTTCCCAGTTGTCAGTGTTTATACTATCTAGTACAGTACTGTCCGCACTGACTGGCAGCAGCTCTGCAAGGTTTCAGGGAGAGGTCTCTCCAGGTAGGGCTGGGCTGTGTCCTGTGTTCCTAAGAGATGGATGGCCACCTGTCATGGATGCTTTAGCTGAGATTCCGGCATTGCAGGGGGTTGGACTAGATGACCCTCGGGGTCCCTTACAATTCTATGATTCTGTTAGAGTGTGAGCCCATATATGTGTGCGTGAGTAGCTTGACTCCATCTTCCCCCTATCTAGGGATCGACTTCAAAATCCGGACAGTGGACATTGAAGGGAAGAGGATCAAGCTGCAGGTTTGGTATGTGCTTGCGCAAACCTTTCATGAGTCTCTGCCCCCAAGGCGCTTGCAAATATACATTTTGACAGCAGAGCAGGAGACAGGCAGGAGTCTCCAAATGAGCAGAGGCAGGGAACTCTGTGCTTTTGGTTTATTTCAGTCGGGAGATAAAAGGACTGGGGAGTTTGGGCTTCGGGGGGAAAGTCGAGTTTCAGACAGAGGCATTTGAAGAAAGAAGGTCTGAAAAAGCACCCTTTGGGTTGAGAAAGGAAGAAGGTCATGTGGTCATGTGGCCAGCATGACTAAGCCGTTTCTGGCGAACCAGAGCAGCACACGGAAACGCCGTTTACCTTCCCGCTGGAGTGGTACCTCTTTATCTACTTGCACTTTGACGTGCTATCAAACTGCTAGGTTGGCAGGAGCAGGGACTGAGCAATGGGAGCTCACCCCGTCGCGGGGATTCGAACCACCGACCTTCTGATTGACAAGTCCTAGGCTCTGTGGTTTAACCCACAGTGCCACCCGCATCCCACATGTATTACTTAATTTGAAAAGGGATCAAGACAAATTCGTGGAGGAGGAGAAGTCTTTAAAAGGCTATCAGCTAAACGAGTTAAATGGAACCTCCTGGTTCAGAGGCAGTCTGCCTCTGAATATGAATTGCTCTGGGGGGGAGGGGATAAACAGTAGGGAAGATCTGCTTCTGTGCTTCCCAGAGGCATCAGATATGTTGCTGCGATGGACAATGCTGGACTCGAGGAGCCTTTGGGTTTAATTCAGCAGCAAGGCTCTTCCTTCGTGCGTACAAGGCTTCGGAACGGGTGCCGATGGGAGGAGGTTTCAGATAACGGTCCCCGCCTCTTGCGATTTTCGACTTCTTTCTCTTGTAGGGACACGGCCGGCCAGGAACGGTTCAAGACCATCACCACAGCGTATTACCGGGGAGCCATGGTATGGAATTCCAATACCCAGCATCCCCTAGCTTCTTGGCCAGGCTGCAATGTCATTATGCGATTGGTGTCAGAAGTGGGATCTTTGTAGCCTGGGGGGGGGCCCTAACATATGGTCAAAAGGGCCAAGATGCAACAAGGCCACCAAGGAAGGATTTTGCCATTGGGGAGAAGCTTACGGCCAGTAAATGTGTGTGTGTGTGTGTGTGTGTGTGTGTGTGTGTGTGTGTGTTTTAATTGGAATTCTGGGATAAATATACAAACAGCAGGTTTCTTTATTTTTTTGAATTTGCCTTTTATTTATTTGTTAACATTCGTATATTACATTGGTAAACGTTGTCATTTTACATTACAGGACTTACTATAATTTCCAACATGTATACAAAAATTATATACAAATTTTATATACCTAGAAATAAAATGAAAGAAACCAAAAAAGAACAAAGAGAAAAAACGAAAACAAATCCCCCCCCAAAAAATCATATACATGCCAACACACTAGACTTCCTGTCTTTCCCATTGTATATTCCTTTTTTACAAATGAATGTACTCTTATTATTGTATATTTCTTTACATATTATCTAATACATTCCTATATTAATATGTGCTCTTAGTCTTATTTCTCAACTCGGTCTCACTCCAACGTCAGTCAAATGCTAGCAGGTTTCTGCAACTTGACCTTGATGTCAGATGGGTAGATTTTTTAATTTGTTTGTTTGCTGCGTTGCCGTTCGTTCTGTAAAAACGCAAGCCAGTATTAACACCCGGTTCCTTCCCAGGGGATTATCCTTGTGTACGACATCACAGATGAGAAATCCTTTGAGAACATCCAAAACTGGATGAAGAGCATTAAGGAAGTGAGTGAGCATGAGGAAAAGTGGGGGGTGGGGGTGGGATGGAGAGGATCTGTGGCTGGCATGCGCCCACCCTGTTTTCTCGTCCGCCCTCTTGCCTACCGCCCTTCTTCCCCGGTATGGATCCGACATCGCCTTGCGGTAGACGGGGGGGAAGGCAGGAGGGCAATGGCACTGTGGGCACGATGACTCTGTTCTCCCTCTATGGCTGCAGGCAATGAGGTTGCTGGGAATTGCAAGGAGGGGGAGAGTGTTGGGATGTGTCCTGGGAGACGGGGGCAATTGGCAAGCCCCCAGCTGGCTCCAGCCCACTAGCCGGCAGCCGGGCAAACTCCGGTTCTCAGAACAGCATCGAAACTGCGACTCGAGCCTCAGAAGCCTTAGAGACTGAGCACGCAAGCCAGCAGAGATAAGAACTCTTTGCAACGGAAGGGTGGACAGAGCCATAGGTAAAGGTAAAGGGACCCCTGACCAGTAGGTCCAATCGTGACCGACGCTGGGGCTGCGGTGCTCATCTCGCTTTATTGGCCGAGGGAGACGGCATACAGCTTGACTAGGCTGCTTCTGGTGAACCGAGCAGTGCATGGAAATGCTGTTTACTTTCCCGCCGGAGCGGTACCTATTTATCCACTTGCACTTTGACGTGCTTTCGAACTGCTAGGTTGGCAGGAGCTGGGACCAAAGAACGGGATTCGAACCGCCAACCTTCTGATCAGCAAGCCCTAGGCTCTGTAGTTTAACCCACAGCGCCACCTGCGTCCCTATGTAAGCATATTTAGAAGCATTTTATTAAGCATCAGGACAAAGGAAAAAAACGTCTGCTCCTCTTCGTGTCCAAGCAAAAGCATAAGTGAAAGCTATACACAACGGAAGTTCCCAGCAGGCTGTGCTGGAAGTAAACAGATATGTGACATACAACAATCCACACATCTGTTTTAAGGTGGAACGGAACATCATAATCCTAACAGAGAGTAGGTCTTGCGCCCGGATCCTGCTGGTGGACTTCCCAATGGGGCATCCCCGTTGACCACTGGGAGAACAGGATTCTGGACTAGATGGGCCACTGGTCTGATCCCGCAAGGTTTTCATGAGGATCAGGGTGGGAAAACCTGAAACCTGCCTGGTCAGTGTCTGGATCTCTCTGCCCCCCCCCTTTTCTTCTGCAGAACGCTTCGGCCGGCGTAGAGCGCCTCCTGCTGGGGAACAAGTGCGACATGGAAGGCAAACGCAAAGTGCCCCGGGACCGAGCAGAGAAGGTATCTGATGTAGCCAGAGTGACAAACTCAGGCGGGGCAGAGAGACAGGGTGTGGCGGGGAGGAAATGGCGCAAGGGGTCGGGCGCTTGAAGGTTTGAGTGCTGAGCTGAGCGGTTTTCTGGAGCGCCTCACCCCCTCAGTGAAACCTTCCTGCACTCGGATTTAATGGTGAGGTTGGGGAGTTATTCATAGAGTGATTTGCTCTATGAAGCACTTAAACAGTTTGCCTGGGCTGCCTGCCATCCTGTGTTGGTGCTGCCACCTCTTGGTGGTCACATAAACTGCAGTGTGATGACAGCCTTAATTTTTTATGTATATAGGTGTATATCTCCACACCCACACCTATATACATAAAAAAGTAAGGTCATCACGCTGCTCTCTCTATCTGTGAGTGTGTGTGTGTGTGTGTGTGTGTGTGTGTGTGTGTGTATCTATCTATCTATCTATCTGGGTGGGTGTAGGTTTTTCAAAGATGAAGCAATAACCAAAGTAACCATTAAGAGGGTCATATGTAAAGAAGTATCAGGAAGCCCAAGTTATGATGTCATCATCCAGGAGGGAATATTAAAAGTCACATTCATTCACCCAAGATAATCTTTCCATCAGTTCCTCTGATTCCTTCCTGCTCTTGCACTTGAGCAGCTGTTCAGGTTTTGTAACAAACTATGTGTGACGGGGGAAGGCTTACGTGTACCCTTTCCTTGCTGTCAGTCAACCAAGCAAGTCTGATGCCTGCCCACCCCTATTCTATGGGGTCAGGAGAAGACTGAGAAGCGTTGTGGGGTGGGTGCAGCAAGCGTTGCCAAAGAGTTGGCGTTAAGACAGGTTCCCCGCCATTCCAAGGATCCCATTTCTTTCCCAACAGCTATCCAAGGAGCACGGGATCAGGTTTTTTGAGACGAGTGCGAAATCCAGCTTGAACGTAGAAGAGGTGAGTGGCGGGAAACTCTCATTTATTTCAGCATTTTGCTGCTGCGTTTCAGGGCTACATCACTGCAGCTTCTGCATAAAAGAAGTGTGTGTGGTGTCTATAGAGTCGGTAGCAGGAAATGGGGACCCTGAGGTCCTCTAGGTGTGGTTGGACTCCAGCTCCCATCATTCCTGACCATTGGGCCATGCTGGCTGGGGATGATGGGAGCTGTAGTCTTAACAACACGTTTTATGCATCCCTGCTTTGTTATCTCCATAAGTGCATTTGGTGCGTGATCCCTGATTGGTTGGGATGTGATTGGACCCAGGGCACAAAGGAAGGAACCTAGATCCCTGCAGCTGTTTCTAGCGGATCACAACTCCCATAATCTTTGACCATTGACTGTGCTGGCTGATGGGAGTCCACCGACAATTGGAGAGCTGCCTAGGGGGCCACCCCACACTCCCAGAAACACAACATAAACATCGATATGTGCTTCATTCATAAGGCACCTGGTTCTTCAGGGGCACAGTTGCCCCATTCAGGACCAGGGAGTCCTCCGTACCTGCCTGCCCCGTCCCCAAAATCAGTACTTCTGTCTTGTCAGGATTCAACCTCAATCTGTTAGCCGCCATCCATCCTCCAACCGCCTCCAGACACTCACACAGGACCTTCACCGCCTTCACTGGTTCTGATTTAAAGAGAGGTAGAGCTGGGTATCATCCGCATATTGATTGACACCCAGCCCAACCCCCCTGATGATCTCTCCCAGAGGCTGCATGTAGATGTTGAAAAGCATGGGGGAGAGGACGCAACCCTGAGGCACCCCACAAGTGAGAGCCCAGGGGTCTGAACACTCATCCCCCCAACACCACTTTCTGAACACGGCCCAGGAGGAAGGAGCGGAACCACTGTATAACAGTGCCCCCAGCTCCCAGCCCCTCTAGACGGTCCAGAAGGATGTTATAGTCAATGGAGGGCTGCCCTCCTCCCAAAGAGTGACGGGCTTTATAAATGGGAGCAAAGGAAGGCCTACCTCACAGGGGTGTTGTGAAGGCATTTTTTGCATGTTAAAATAATAAATGAATGTGACAGAGGTCAGATGGAGACTCATCTCTGTTGTTTCCCCCCTCCAGGCTTTCAGCACGTTGGCCCGGGACATACTTCTGAAATCAAGCAAAAAATCGGTGAGGAATCTGTGAGAAAGAGGCTGGGGGGCTTTTTGGGGGGGGGGGACTTCCCTGAGCAGGGGTGTGATGGTTCAGGGTTTGGACAGCTAGCCTGACGAAGGAGGGGAAGAGGTGGATGAGAAATCTGAAGTCACTGGGTGGCTGGGGCCTATCAGAGCCAGTGGTGGACTTGGGTAATAGATTAGGGTTACTAGATGTCCCCGGATTTGCAAATCTGTCCCTGGACAAATTCCATCCCCAGAATGTCCCCAGATTTGCAAATCCGTCCCCGGGAAACGTGGCAGCGGCAGCCTCAGCAGCCCGGAGTCAGCCTGGTAGTGCAGTTGGCTCTGGCTGGCTCCAGGAGCTGCTCGCTGCCCTCTGCTGTAGCACCCGCCATTTTTCCTTGCCGAAACTTCTGGCGAGGCAAAATGGCGGGCGGCACGGCAGCGAGCAGCTCCTGAAGCCAGCCAGAGCCAACTGCGCTACCAGGCTGGGTCCGGGCTGCTGAGGCTGCTGCTGCCACTGCCGAAGGGGAACCGGGGACGTCTGGCGGTACAGATCTCCTACCCCCTTCCCCCTTTGTTTTGACTTATCGGGGGAGGCTCAGGAGTTGCGGGCGGGTGGCCGTTGCCCACTTTTTAAAAAACTCTGTGCATTTTATGTTTCACAAGGTGCGAAAGAAGGGGTTTGCACCTTGCCTGGCAGAGAAACCCCGCGCCTTGCGCCCCTCCTGGGCGACAGCTGCCCACCCGCGACTCCCCCGATCTGTCAAAACAAAGGGGGAAGGAGATTGGGGAAAGCTTGGGAGTCACGGGCAGGTGGCGCTCCATTGCCCAGTTTTTTAAAAACTCTGTGCATTTTATGTTTCACAGGGTGCAATAGAAGGGCTTTGCACCTTTATACAATATGCATGCGTGCTTGGGCCCAGGGTCTTTTGCCTCACCATCTCCACTACAGTGGTACCTCGGGTTAAGTACTTAATTTGTTCCAGAGGTCCGTACTTAACCTGAAACTGTTCGTAACCTGAAGCACCACTTTAGCTAATGGGGCCTCCTGCTGCCGCCATGCCGCCGGAGCACGATTTCTGTTCTCATCCTGAAGCAAAGTTCTTAACCTGAAGCACTATTTCTGGGTTAGCAGAGTCTGTAACCTGAAGCGTATGTAACCCGAGGTACCACTGTACTGACTCCCTGTTGCTACTCAGCTTCAAAAAAAAAAGTGTCCACGGATTCAATGAAAAAATCTAGTAACCATATAGATGCCAAAATTTGACGCCCCACCTTGTGCGACCTTCCCAAAGCCAGCTAAGAGAGGCACCAGACTTTGGGAAAGAGGAACGAGGGTCTGGCGGGGTCCTAGAGCCAACCCTCTTCCCAAAGCTGGGAAAATGCTAACTAGGCTTTGAGAAGGAGCAAACAGACAGTATGACCCTGTCAGAGCCTCAAGCCTCCTTTCCAAAAACCATGGAGGGCAGAGCACAGCCATTGTGGCTAGCAGCTGCTGATAGCTTTTCCCTCCTCCTCCTCCTGTGGATTTGTCCATTGCCATCCAAGCTGGTGGCTGTCCTCACCTCCAGTGGCAGCGAGTTCCACAGTTCAACGACGTGCTCTGTGTAATAGTACTTCCTACCCTATTGTCCGTCTCTCCTCTCCTCCAGGCTCAGCACGTCAAAGGCCCTTTGGAGCTGAAAGCATCACAGAAAAGCAGCAGTAAATGTTTGGTGGTGTAGCGGCGACTGTCCCGTCCCGTCACTCCTCTGCCTTGTCGTAGGACGTACCCCTTTTGCCATTTACGCTCCAAATGCCTCCGCTTTCTTCCACGAAGCTCAGAAACCCTTCCGGGCGGGACCCCGGGAGTGGGGGCTGACGGCAGGTGGGGCTCGCAGGCCGAGACCTCCCTCTCTTCCCCCTTTTGCGTCCCCACATTCCTTAGCCGTAGGGAATATATACTATTTGGAAGGGATCTCGCCCGAGGGATGTGGGTCTAGGGTTGCCAGAACTCCTCTGGCGGTGACCCCAATTCTCCAGGGTCGCCTGGGCCCCTTCCAGGCAGCTGAGAAGGCCTTAGATGGGTGATAGTGCCTTAAAAAAAATAATAGCTATTTTTTAATTCAGAAAACTACGTGTGCAGCTTCCAAGTTTCAGGTTGGCAGGAGCTATCTGCAGATAACTGCATATTGCTCCCAATTAACTTCCGTCTCCAGGGCTCAGTGGTGGAAGTGCAGAGGAAGAACCCCCAGGGCCCATCCCTAGGTCTCAGGTTTAGACCCTGAAATATTAGGGTCTGGGATGCTCCCGACCTGGCAAACCTATGGGGGAACCACTACCAAGATAATGGAGGGAATTACATTTTGGGGGTGAAGCTGGGGGCTTGGCTGCAGTGGAGCCAGAATGCACTGGGGCCGCCATGAACCACAGAATTTGGAAGCGACTCAAAGGGTCATCTAAGTCCAACCCCTGGACTTTTTTGAGTTGGGGGGGGCACTACAGGATGCCAACACTTTCCCCATAACCAGCCTATTCCCGGGAGAATGTGTTCGCCCTGTAATGCAACTTCTTGCTCATAAGGGCTCTTATTGCCCCAGCCCAACATCCCGTGAGGAAGAGGGGTTGCCTTACCCTCTGCCCCCACAGCCCCCCCCCACATCACGCAGCAGCCTGGAAATGTGCCCCCAGAAACTCCCCCTCCAGAAAAGACCCACACAACATTCCACATGTGCCTCTTAGTTATTATTATTAATTTTGTTCGGGAACCCTTTGAACAGTATTAAAATGTTTGCCGTGATTTCTGAATGTCTCCTGTACTAAATGTGGCAGGCCTTGCGAGAGTCGGCCTGGCCGGTGGGGAGGGGCGGGGAGTGCCTTCTTTCGCATGGCATACAGAACCCGAGAGATTAAAAAGTGGGGGTTCTTGTGGGGGGACGGGAGCTCTTGCCGTGCCCCTAAAGAGAGGTGCCACGTACCGCACGATCTGCACTTGGAAGACTTCAAATCTTGCAGCACTTACATTTTGGATTTCCCTGCCTCTTGTCAGGCGCCTTCACTCTGCTGTTTTGGGCGCCAGCTGAAAACATTTTTTGTTTAGACTCACGGCGGTTCTCAACCTGTGGGTCCCCAGATGTTGTTGGACTACAACTCCCATCATCCCTGAGCTCTGGCCTTACTAGCTAGGGGTGATGGGAGTTGTAGTCCAACATCTGGGGACCCACAGGTTGAGAAAGGCTGATTTAGAGCATCGTACCCAGATATGTAGAACACTGGTGCGTGTTTCAATCTTTTTAGTTTATTGCCGGTTTTAATTTTTTGAAGAATGTTTCAAACACTGTGCTGTAGTTGTTTTTAGCTTGTGAACCTCTTTGAGGTTTATTTTACGATCAAGCAAGTGTATAATTTTTTATGAAAGGAGGAAATAATAAAACAAAAATGCATCTTTAGTCATAGCCACGCTATATATTCAAAGCTATTGCAGCGCACATGGAATGCACATGACTTCTACAAAAACATAACAAAAATTGTGGGAATTATAGTTCACCCCCACAGAACTACAATTCCCAGCACCTTTTAACGAACTACAGCTCCTGGAATTCTTTGGGGGAAAGCCGTGTGTTGAATGCACTTTAAATGTATGGTTTGGGCATGATGCCCATTCTCTATCCTGTTGCAGTGACTTTTCCTAGGCCTTTCCCACAGGTATCCCATTTTTAATTCTCCATGTTTTTAATTCTCCATGTCCCTGAGAAGGACAGATGTTCTTGGGCTCCAATTCCCATCTGCCCCAGCAAACATGGCCAGTGATCAGGGGGTCATAGACATGCTCTCACCCACTGAGCTATGGAGGGATGGTGTGAGTTGTGGTTTGGCAACACCAGGAGGTCCACAGATTCCTCATACCTGTCCTCAGCCAAACGGGGATGGTGCATTAATGCATTTGCGCAGGTGTAAGACAGGGACGCGGGTGGCGCTGTGGGTTAAACCACAGAGCCTAGGGCTTGCCGATCAGAAGGTCGGCGGTTCGAATCCCTGCGACGGGGTGAGCTCCCGTTGCTCGGTCCCTGCTCCTGCCAACCTAGCAGTTCAAAAGCACGTCAAAGTGCAAGTAGGTAAATAGGTACCGCTCCAGCGGGAAGGTAAACGGCGTTTCTGTGCGCTGCTCTGGTTCGCCAGAAGCGGCTTAGTTATGCTGGCCACATGACCCGGAAGCTGTATGCCGGCTCCCTCGGCCAATAAAGCGAGATGAGCGCCGCAACCCCAGAGTCGTCCGCCACTGGACCTAATGGTCAGGGGTCCCTTTACCTTTACGACAGGGATGGGGAGCCTGTGGCCTTCTAGATGTGGTTGGAGTCTGGCTCCCATCTTCCCTTTTCTGCAGTGGCTCCCGTGAGCGAAACGCTGTCCCTGGAAAGGCTTGCCTGGCGCCATCATTGCATGTCTTTAGAAGCCAGGCGAAAACAAGGAAGGAGGGAATGGAGTACCTTGGGAAGGTCACAGCTGGCTGGCTGGCACCCCGAAAGGAGCAGGCCACATACTGCAAATTTCTTGCACGCCCCGCATCCATTCCACAAAAGGAATGGCGGCATTACTGAGTCAGACCATTGGCTTACCTAGCTCAGTACTGTCTACACAGACAGGCAGCAGCTCTCCAGCGTTTCAGGAAGGGGATCTTCCCAGCCCTACCCGGAGATGCCGTTGGGGATCAAACCCAGAACTTTCTGCATGCAAAGCAGATGCCCTACCACTCAGCTCCAGCCCTGCCCTCAAATATAATAGTATGATTCTAGTCCACATGGTTCTGAGTGAATAAAGGGCTGATTTAAAGAGGGGCGTAGCAATTGCCCCATTGGTCCATCTTCCTTGGTCTCGTCTACACTGACTAGCAGCATCTCTTTGATGCTTCAGACGGCGGGCAGGACAATCAATCATTCTTTATTATGGTCAAAGACCAGACAGCAAAGTTAACAACAGCAGGGTGTCCTTTCCCAGCCTGACCTGATGCTACAGGAAGCTTTGTCCTGCAGATCTTAATATCCAGGCAGCTTCTGCACGAGACAACTTAGAGAGAGAATTTCGCCAAGCAGAGAATGCTTGTACAGTGGTACCTCGGGTTAAGAACTTAATTCGTTCCAGAGGTCCGTTCTTAACCTGAAACTGTTCTTAACCTGAAGCACCACTTTAGCTAATGGGGCCTCCTGCTGCTGCCACACGATTTCTGTTCTCATCCTGAAGCAAAGTTCTTAACCTGAGGTAATATTTCTGGGTTAGCGGAGTCTGTAACCTGAAGCGTCTGTAACCCGAGGTGCCGCTGTATATTCATTCCCAATGCCCAATCGCTGTTGTTTAAGGCAGCTATTTTGCCTGTTGCGTTTTGAAAAGTGTTGGCCCAAACTAGTTTATCGGTGCAGCGTTTAAAAACTAGCCATAGTCAACAAGGATCCACCAACAGCATACAAATCAATGTGCTTTACTTGACCCAACAATCCATCCAGAGCCAGTGTGGTGTAATGGTTCAGAGTGGTAGACTCCTAATCTGGGGAACGGGGTTCGCGTCTCCGCTCCTCCACATGCAGCTGTTGGGTGACCTTGGGCTAGTCACACTTCTTTGGAGTCTCTCAGCCCCACTCACCTCACAGAGTGTTTGTTGTGGGGGAGGAAGGGAAAGGAGATTGTTAGCCGCTTTGAGACTCCTTCGGGTAGTGATAAAGCGGGATATCAGATCCAAACTCCTCTTCTTCTTCTTCCTCCCCCCAACTCCAAACATGCAAGCAAATCTTACTGCAGTTAACCAAAGGCAATCAATCACACCCTGCTGCCCTCCCACTCTATTATGTCAAATAAACAAACTAGCCCTAGTCAATCTGAGCTGGGACAGCCATCTTGGGGAAGCGTCTCCTGCTAATGTATACAGAAACGACAAGATATAAAGGGATGCAATATGAAGAGTGAAAAAGAATACACATTTCCTGACTTCTATCCTTAACTACGGATTGCTATGATGACTCATTTTAAAATAATAGTAATACAAACGATCGAAGTGGTTATAATCGAATACGTAAGCAATTGTGAAAGTAAATGTGCTCAAATTACAATAAAAAATAGAACATGTGTTTCAATACATCGGTATGCTGTATGAAATTCATGAAACACTTTCAGAGGCACTTCGTTCTTCTGTCCGACGCTGTCTGGCCCAAGCGTATTTCTCTGTAGATCTGATCTTGTTCAACAGCTGCTTATTGCTTAAGAGATAAGCGTGAAATTCCTTGCAAGTAATGTGCTTGTAATTATATTGCAGTAGCACCATGCTTCGCAGCGAGTCCAAGGATAAGTTGCCTCTCTCTTTGCTCAGAGAGAAAGATAACCCCGCGTTTGCAGGATGCGACGCGAGGGCAAAAAAACCCTGGGCCATCTTCAAAAGTTCCGAGTGGCACATAACGTTTTTGGAAGTCTCAAAGTACTTGGTCCATTTCTGGTGTGCCTGGAGCTTAATGAACTCGTCGTCGCCTTTAAACTGATCCACAAACTTCTCGAGGTTGCAGAATTGATCGAAGCACTTCCCCTCATCTATGGACACATCCCTGTCCAGGAGAAACTTTATGGAAGGTCCTACTTTGTCCCACTCTAGCGACTCACTAAGAGACATCCACATGAAGCATGAAAACTCCTTCATGGGCTCCATCCATTTTTCCAGATACTCTATGCAGCTGTCATAGAAGCTATTGACCTCTGCGCAGAATTTGTCACACTCCACGCCGAGACCCGCCTCACGCTTCTCTTTCAGAAGGCTCTTGACCTTGAGGGACATGAAGCTGTTGCTCCTGCGCTCAGCGAGCATGTTCTGGACACAAAGCAGAACTTGCAGAATCTCCACAACCGAATTATTCTCCCTTTCGAGTTCTAAAACGTAGGAGTGAAACATACTCATAAGAGACTGCAGGTGCAATAAGTAAGCTTCGCTAAGCTCATGCTCAAAAAACTCCTGCAAAACTGTTGGCGGTTTATTCTGCGAGAGGAAAAAGGCCTTGACGGCTGGAAACACCTGAATGAGTCTAGTGATGCCTTGAAAGGACGACAACCAGCGTGTTTTGCTGTGGGACAGCAGCTTTTTGTATTCAGTGTCCACGAATTCACAGTACTCCTTTAACTGCTCCGTTTGGACTCTATAGATATGAAAATACTGGTATATCTTGAAAATGATGCTCTCAACGTCGACGTCCAACGTGTCTGCTGCCTGATGGACACAGTTATTCAAAATGTGCGCTGGACATCCCACACCAATTGAAGTTTTGTTATCCAGCTCACTCTTCGACTTTGCAAACACACTCCTCCCTTCTGAATCCTGCTGTGTCCCTCCAAACATTGTGTTGCAGTTGTCACCTGTGAACGCTATGCATTTCTTTAGCAGTCCTTTACTCTCAAGAGTTTCCTTCACGTACGAAAAGATTGTATCTGCACTCTCGTTGGGTTGGCTTTTCATTTCAATTATTTTGGACTGCAAACCGCCACTTTTCCAGTCAAAATACTGAATAACTATTGCAACCACCTTGACCGGACCGTGGTTATTCGCGTCAGTAGAAACGCCACAATAACCTATTTCGTTTTCTTCAAGGCTTTTCAGAATGTTTTCCAAACAATCGGGAGCCAGTACAGAATTTACAATTGCCTCTGTCTTGGTTTTTGCACTTGAAAACTTCCTTGCAATATCGGAATCTGGGAACATCGTCTTCAAGAGGCCTGATGTGCACGTCATCACATTATAACTGTGGTGGTGTTTGACGGTGTGAAAAGCGAAAGTCCCTTCTGCTGCGGTCACTTCATCTTCCCATTTGCTGTTACAGGGTTTTACCAAAACGTTTGCAAATTTCGCTGAAGAAGCTTCTCCTCGAATTGCTATTTTGTGTTTCTCGGAGTCCATGTGCGATTGCAGGTCGCGTCCTCCTTTATGTGCCACAGAGACGAACGTACCCGGTCTACATACCAGGCATTCCCCTTCGAAGTCATCCCTACCTCTTCTGAAACAGGTATACTTCCTCTGTAGCTCGACAGAAAATCTACATTTTCTTTTCGGCATTTTGTCACGTAAGAAGCACAGCACGTAGAAAAAACCGTTAAGGAAGGTGGCGAAAGACTAAACGGAACTTGGAACTGGAAGTTAACACCGTTCAGCATTGCCTCCTATAACAGAGCGAAGAGCCCTACAAAAGAATACAAGACAGAAAATTACTGACTGAGCAATTCATGTATCCTTCAGGAAAAAGACTAGAACCCTCGGAATTCCGACGTGTAGTATTATTTTTCACTTTTATATCCCACCCTTTCACCAAAGCATTCACTGTGATGTGGATGGGTAAGGGAGCAAACCTGTGAGGAAGGCTGGTGCATGGTCCTGTGTAGAGCTTTGAAGGGTACAAATTCGCTTCTTCCCAGCACATCTAGAGATCCAAGGTTGAGGACGCCTGGCCTAAAGAAACCAAATACATAATTCAAAAAGGGGGAAAAACACACCTGAAAACCTATAAAACAGCAATAGAAAGGCACATACAATCAAATAAAAGAGAAATCCAGAGGATTCACACATGTAAAACAGAGTCCAATCTTATGGGTCTGGGACAGCCAGGCCAAAAAGAAGCTTTCGCAAAACACGTGAACAAAATGACGGCTGCTTCATCGTGTATGGCAAAGGGAAGGGCATTCCACAATCTAGTGACAACACCGTAAAAAACAGGACCTGTCATTCAGCTAAAGGGCCTGTACCACAGCTTTCCAAACTTTTCATGTTGGTGACACACTTTTTAGACGTGTTTCATTTTGTGGCACAGTGAATCAGTTTTACTAGCAAACGGGGGGTTAAACAAACCCCTTTTGCAGGGAGCATTCACGCAACACCCCTACACACTGCAGCTGACACACTAAAGTGTCGCGACACAGTTTGGAAAGCTCTGGCGTACACACATGCCGATCAAAACAAACTTGGTTCTAGACAGAGACATCTTCAAATACACCACCACTTCACGCAGAATACTGTGGACCTAAACTTGCCTTGCTACACACTTATCTTGGGCAACAACGAGGCAACGTATCATCATTATCCTTAGAATTTATTATTTATACCCCGCCCATCTGATTGGGTTTCCCCAGACACTCTGGGCGGCTTCCAACAGAACACTAAAATACAAAACCTATTAAAAACATTAAAAGCTTCCCTAAACAGGGCTGCCTTCAGATGTCTTCTAAAAGTCTGATAGTTGTTCTTCTCTTTGGGAAGAGCAGTTGGTCTCTGCTGGGAGGGCATTCCACAGGACGGGTGCCACCACCAAGAAGGCCCTCTGCCTGGTTCCCTGAAACTTGGCTTTTCGCAGCAAGGGAACCGCCAGAAGGCCCTTGGCTTCTGGGCAGAATGATGTGGGTGGAGACGCTCCTTCAGGTATACTGGGCCGAGGCCATTTAGGGCTGTCTGCCACTGGGTGGCATAGCATAGGCATACATCCGCCAACTCCTCCCCAGCTACTGATAAACCCCCTTAAGGAGAGCCAGTATGGTGTAGTAGTTAAGAGCGGTAGTCTCGTAATCTGGGGAACCGGGTTCGCATCTCCGCTCCCCCGCATGCAGCTGCTGGGTGACCTTGGGCCAGTCACACTTCTCTGAAGTCTCTCAGCCCCACTCACCTCACAGAGTGTTTGTTGTGGGGGAGGAAGGGAAAGGAGAATGTTAGCCACTCTGAGACTCCTTCGGGTAGTGATAAAGCGGGATATCAAATCCAAACTCTTCTTAAAAGTTATAGCTGTCCTCTATGTAATGCCACACATAGGGGCAAGCCCCATTCTACTGCCAACCCCTCCCCTGCTATCAATGCCCCCCCAAGAACAAGCTACTGAACACCACCTGCCTTGGCCAGGCGGGTCTTAGCACCCTAGACCATCACCCTACCAATTCCCAAGTGGAGAGGCACTGGGGGAGGGCAGGGCAAAGAAGCCCACCTCCCACTCTACAGTTGCCACCTGTCCTGTATAATACAGGATTGTCCCATATTTCAATGTAAAACTCTGTGTCCTGTAGGGATAGTTTTGTCCTGTATTTCAGCTCTCTTTTCTCCGCCAAGTTATGGATCCCTTCAAATTCAGTGTCTGAAAGGGTGTGTGAAAGGTCATGTATTTAAGCTCTGGGTAGCCAAGCGCAGGTAGATTGACAAATCCGCGTCTATGCGCTGTGACAAATTCCAGAGGGGCCATCCTGTTAGGCTGCAGTGGATTGTAATGGGTTGCTCTGAAATCACTTCAGCACCAGATTTTTTTGGGGGGCCGGATTTAGGTTTGATGAGGCCCTAAGCTACTGAAGGTAATGGGGCCCTTTATACCGTATTTTTCACCCTATAGGACGCACCGTCCCATAAGGCGCACCTAGTTTTTTGGGGGGGAAATAAAGGGGAAAAAATTATTCCCCCCCCCCAGGTGCGGGGCTGGGGCGGGGGAAGCCTGAGCTTCCCCCGACCCCAGCCCCCAGAACAGGCAACTCTCCGCAAGCCGCGGGAACCCAGCGCCGGGCTCCTGCGCCTTGCGGAGAGCTGTGCGAAGCCTGGGCGCGCTGAGCTCAGTGCGTCCAGCCTTCGGCATGCAGGCAACTCTCTGCAAGGCGCGGGAGCCCGGCTACTGGAAGGATTTTTTTTATTTTATTAAAATGATGCTTTATTCATAACAAACTTAATAATGCAAACACATTGGCATTTGGTAATCACAAAAGTTCCTTTAGAAACACGATTTACAAAGACTCATAATTTTTGGGGGGGGCAGCACAAGAGCACAGCCGTCAACTTTTCCCTTTTCTTGCGGGGAATCCTATTCAGAATAAGGGAATTTCCCTTAAAAAAAGGGAAATGTTGACAGCTATGCTCAAGAGAGTGGGGCTTGTTTAGATTATACGGGACTGGAATGCCCCCCTCCCGCACCTCCCTGTCCTGTATTTTTCTAGGACACCAGTGGCGACCCTACCCTCCTCCTCCTCGGAACCCCACCACCGCCCTCCACCTCTTCATCGCCCCTGCCACGCATGATCGTAGCCAGGATTACTTCTGGGGGGGCAGAACCTCTGTCTGCTATGCATTTTTATTGATCTTTATTGATTTGGGGGGAGGGGCAGCTGCCTCTTCCCCCTCCCGCCTCCCCAGCTAACCCGCGGCTCCAGCCAGCCCTTCTTCACCACCAGCCCCAGGCCCGACCCACCCACCTGCCCACCTCCGCCACCCGCCGTTAGAGGCGCCATCGTCACCCCTCCGCCGCCGCCGCCACGTGCAAGAACAGGACCCCGCGCCCTCGCAGCGCCGCCTCTCGGACACGTCATTTCAGCGCGACTCCAGAGGCGCAGCGTCCGCTTCGACGTCGGAAGTGGGGAAAGGAAAGCGGCGTGGAATAAGTCGCGGGCGGAGTGAGAAAAGTCCCCGGCGGAAGAATGGGAAAATGGCCGCTTCAGAGGGGGCTGATGATGCACAGCTTGCAGAACATGATGGGCCCAAGGGAAACAACACCTGACCGTGGTTTGCTTTCCTTACCTCTGTATGCAATCCACTTTTCTTGTTGTTTAGTCGTTTAGTCATGTCCGACTCTTCGTGATCACGGAGCCCAAGACAGTAAAACCTCTCACTGCCTCCATTTCTTAGAATCATAGAATCCTAGAGTTGGAAGAGACCACAAGGGCCATCGAGTCCAACCCCCTGCCAAGCAGGAAACACCATCAGAGCACTCCTGACATATGGTTGTCAAGCCTCTGCTTAAAGACCTCCAAAGAAGGAGACTCCACCACACTCCTTGGCAGCAAATTCCACTGTCAAACAGCTCTTACTGTCAGGAAGTTCTTCCTAATGTTTAGGTGGAATCTTCTTTCTTGTAGTTTGGATCCATTGCTCCGTGTCCGCTTCTCTGGAGCAGCAGAAAACAACCTTTCTCCCTCCTCTATGTGACACCCTTTTATATATTTGAACATGGCTATCATATCACCCCTTAACCTCCTCTTCTCCAGGCTAAACATGCCCAGCTCCCTTAGCCGTTCCTCATAAGGCATCGTTTCCAGGCCTTTGACCATTTTGGTTGCCCTCCTCTGGACACGTTCCAGTTTGTCAGTGTCCTTCTTGAACTGTGGTGCCCAGAACAGTACTCCAGGTGAGGTCTGACCAGAGCAGAATACAGTGGCACTATTACTTCCCTTGATCTAGATGCTATACTCCTATTGATGCAGCCCAGAATTGCATTGGCTTTTTTAGCTGCCGCGTCACACTGTTGGCTCATGTCAAGTTTGTGGTCAACCACAAACTTGGTTTGTGGTCTTCCCCTTCTATTTGTCTGGAGGTGATGGGACCAGTGGCCATGATCTTCGTTTTTTTGTTGTTGAGCTTCAAACCATATTTTGCGCTCTCCTCTTTCACCCTCATTAAAAGATTCTTTAATTCCTCCTCACTTTCTGCCATCAATGTTGTGTCATCTGCATATCTGAGGTGGTTGATATTTCTTCCAGCAATCTTAATTCCACTTTAGCATTATCTAAAAGGGTGGATTTACAACAGGCATAGGCAAACTCAGCCCTCCAGATGGTTTGGGACTACAACTCCCATGATCCCTAGCTAACAAGACTAGTGGTCAGGTATGATGGGAATTGTAGTCCCAAAACATCTGGAGGGCTGAGGTTGCCTATGCCTGATTTACAACCTCCAGCTTCTAGGCTTCACAAGTATATCATGCCTCTACACACAAGACGTAGCCTGGCAAGTTAAACCAGTTTCACTGTATGTTTGGAAGGGTTTCCATCCCCCCATCTTTTCCCTTTTCCCTGTCCGTCTGTCTCCCTCGTGGGAGGCGTTTCAAGAAGGTCAGATCTGCAGGCAGATTCGGGTCTCGCAGGAGTTTGTTTGTTTAATTCAGAAATCCCCAAACTAGGCCCTTCAGATGTTTTTTGGGACTACAATTCCCATCATCCCTGACCACTGGTCCCGTTAGCTAGGGATGATGGGAGTTGTAGTCCCAAAACATCTAGAGGGCCGAGTTTGGGGATGCCTGGTTTAATTCCTTTATTGCAAAACAATTTACATAAAACATAAACCAAAAAGCAACACAAACAAACCATAGACACTAACGGTAACAACATATCGTTTGACATTACACACACTTCTGATTCACCTCATTGTACTTTTTACGCATTGTTGGTCTATACGCACTTCTTGTTGTTTTTTCCTGTTACATACCAAGAGAAATTTTTGCTTTTATAATTTCCTTGTAATTCAAGATTCATTCTAAATCTGTCAGGAGATTTGCATTGTCACAGCGCTTTCTAAGATATTCTTTAAATATTGTCCAATCTTTAATCACTTTCTGGTTTGAGCTTCCTCTTATTCTCCCATTTATTTTCGCAAGTTCTAAATATTCTAACATCTTCCTTTGCCAGTCAATTTTTGTGGGGATTGAGTCACCTTTCCAGTTTTTTGCTATTAAAATTCTAGCCTCTGTGGTTGCATACATTAAAAAAAGGTTCTAAAGTTTTTACGCTCCCTAGGCACAAGGTTAGAGGACCTGATTATTTGAAACCCCCACAGCAAAAGAAAGTGTCTCGTCCTCGTCACTCATCATTTCACTTCCCAACCCTTTCCTACAAACTCCTAACAACCACTCTTTGCCCCGCACATGGCGGCTCCTCCCAGCTGCGGCAGAGCACCGGAAATCACTGTAGAGGCATCATAGAGACTGTGGGCTGAAACCTCTTTGGGGCAGAACTCCTCCCCTCCCCGGAATCGGCCCGCGCGCGCGCAGTGCGTGCGTAAGGAGACAAAACAGCAACCTTCTTCCCAGAATGCCCCGCGTGAGCGTTATGAGTGAGGCGGAAGTAGATGCCAGGAAGCCCCGCCTCATAACAATGATGGGGCCAAGATGGCGCCTGGCTATAGCTGCGCTTGTGGGCTTCGTCGTTGCTGCCCCCGGGTAAGTTGTGAGGGGCTAAGGGTGGGTGGAGGGCCTCGGGCATTTTTGGGGAAGCGGAAAGTGGGGCTTCCAAGTAAATGGTGGTCACCTGAGCGCCGCAAGGGTGAGTCCACACTGTACCTTTAAATCGCTTTTATACCCATTGGAACAGTCATGGCTTCCCCGCAAAGAAGTCTGGGAGATGTAGTTTGCTAAGGGAGTTGAGAGCCCTTAGGTGATTCGCCTATCCCCCCACCCCCACCCCAAGCTACAATTCCTGGTGTGCTTTAACAAGCACTCTCTCTTCTTTGGGAGCTCTGGAAATTGTAATTCTGGGAGAGGAATTTGATAAACAAATAATAATAGAATTATAGAGTTGGAAGGGTCCCTGAGGATCATCTAGTCCAATCCCTGGAAATGCAGGACTGGACATTCCTTTGAAATGTTATAAATACCACCGCCCTGACCCTTGGGCGGGGTTGCAGTTTTGCAAAAAGATTCGACTGTAACCTATTGCTTTGCAATAAACAACAGTGGACTCCTAACTCCTCTTGACTCTGAATTTTATTGGCGTAACTCAGAAGATAAGCCACTTTTGGCTTACAACATTAAGATTAAGAGTCCAATGCTCTGCTGCAAGTTATGTCTAAGAAACAAAACAAGAGAGGAAAATGACTCCATCTGCACCTGACAAGAGAGATTTTATCTTAGGTACATCACTGAGGGCAGCAACCAACACTAAAGATTTTTCTAAATCTATTTGCCTGGAACCATGTTTGCACCATACATTGAAAACAGTGTGATATCACTTTAAAAAGTAATGGCTCCCCCCCACTTCCCCCCCTTTTTTTCTAAGCTACAAAGTCTCAAGCCTTGTGCTTCTGCGGAAGCTGTTTGAGTCTTCTTCACCAAGATTTGTTCTTCTTTGTATCTTGCAACATGTTCTTTAATTATTTTTTCCACCAATTTAACTGGAGCCGACGCTAAGTTAATCAGATGATGGGGACAAGCTTGTGGGAGAGCTGTGGCTTTTATGCCCTACCTCTGGACTTTATTGGAGCAACAGATTGGTCACTGTGAGAAACGGCACTAGATGGGCTTTTGGTTTTATCCACCAGGACTGCCCACAATTGTCTTTAAAGTGACAGATTAGCCTGTTGCCCCCAATACCTCTCATTTTAATCTCTCTGCAATGTTCTCTCTCTCTCTTCCTTTTTCTGTCCGGTTTCCAGGTTGGCTGAAGTGGCTTTGGAAAGTGATGGGAAAAACCCAGGTGAGAGAGGATAATTGTATCTGTTTTGGCTATGTGAGTTTGTGTTGTAGTTTGATTTCTAGCTTTTTTTGTCTGGAAGAACCGAGATGGAGTGGAGGGCAGGGAGAGGTATGATAAAATTGTGCTGCAGAAGATCTGAATGCGTGTCATTTCCCTGGCTGTGTGGCCCTTAATTTTCTCAAAACACCCTTGAGTATGATGCTTAGCAGAATGTAAGGAGAGCCCTATGGCTGGATCAGGCCAGTGGCCCATCTAGTCCATCATTCTATTCTTACGGTAGCCAACCAGATGTCTGGGAAGCCTGACATCAATAGTTCTCTGCCCACCTTCAAAATTCCTAGCATCTAGTGCTCCAAAGTATTGCCGCTTCTGACAGTGGAAGCAGAACGTTGCCATTGTGACTAGTAGCCATTGATAGCCTTTGTTGTTGTTGTTGTTTAGTCATTTAGTCGTGTCCGGCTCTTTGTGACCCCATGCACCAGAGCATGCCAAACACCCCTGCCTTCCACTGCCTCCTGCAGTTTGGTCAAACTCATGTTCGTAGCTTCGAGAACACTGTCCAACCATCTCGTTCTCTGTCATCCCCTTCTCCTTGTGCCCTCCATCTTTCCCAACATCAGGGTCTTTTCCAGGGAGTCTTCTCTTCTCATAAGGTGGCCAAAGTATTGGAGCCTCAGCTTCAGGATCTGTCCTTCCAGTGAGCACTCAGGGCTGATTTCCTTCAGAATGGATAGGTTTGATCTTCTTGCGGTCCAGGGGACTCTCAAGAGTCTCCTCCAGCACCATAATTCAAAAGCATCAATTCTTCAGCGATCAGCCTTCTTGATGGTCCAGCTCTGTGAATGTGTCTAACCCTCTTTTGAGGCCATCCAAATTGATGGCTATCTCTGCTTCCTGCAGGAACAAGTTCCACAGGTTAACTGTGCTCTGCGGATCGGTCCTGAATCTTCCAATGTTCAGTTTTATTGAATGCCTATGAGTTCTAAAGGGACGTGGGTGGCGCTGTGGGTTAAATCACAGAGCCTAGGACTTGCTGATCAGAAGGTTGGCGGTTCGAATCCCCGCAACGGGGTGAGCTCCCGTTGCTCGGTCCCTGCTCCTGCCAACCTAGCAGTTCGAAAGCACCTCAAAGTGCAAGTAGATAAATAGGTACTGCTCTGGCTGGAAGGTAAATGGCATTTCTGTGTTCTGCTCTGGTTCGCCAGAAGTGGCTTAGTCATGCTGGCCACATGACCCGGAAGCTGTACGCCGGCTCCCTCAGCCAGTAAAGCGAGATGAGCGCCGGAACCCCAGAGTCAGCCACTACTGGACCTAATGGTCAGGGGTCCCTTTACCTTTACCTATGAGTTCAAATGTTATGATAGAGGGAGAAAACTAAGAGCAGTTTTGCCAGGTCAGCCCAATGGCCTATCTAGCCAGTAAAACCACTGATAGCATTTTCCTTCATGGATTTGCCTAAGCCTCTTTCAAAGCCATCCAAGTTAGTGCCCGCTGCTGCTGCTTTCGAGCGTGAGTTGTGTAGCTTAACTCTGCGCTGCATAAAGAGCTGTGTGTGTTGTTTTGTTGAAGCTGACTCCTGATCTCCTCTTTGGCTTCCTGCAGCCAGTTTGCCTGGGGCCACGCCGTGTTGGCAAAGCGAGGATTTCGTGGTGACCCAGCAGTGTGCTCCCTGCCAGAGTTTTCAGGCGGTAAGTGAACCTCCCAACAGGAACAAAAAGTTGGGCAAGGGTAAAAATGAAACGCCTTAACTGCTTGCTAAAATATGTGCAAAAGAGATTGACGTTCCCACTTTCAAACATATCTTATCCACTGTAGCGTTTAATGCCGCAAAATAAGTTAACGGACATAGAAGCTTCAATACAATGATAACACAGAAGGTAGAATGATGTCCTATACTGAGTCAAGGCCAGTACTGAGCTCAGTATGGTTTACACCAGGGGTAGGCAACCTAAGGCCTGGGGGCCAGATCTGACCCAATTGCCTTCTCAATCTGGCCCGCGGATGGTCTGGGAATGAGCGTGTTTTTACATGAATAGAATGTGTCCTTTTATTTAAAATGCATCTCTGGGTTATTTGTGGGGCATAGGAATTCGTTCATATTTTTTTTCCAAAACATAGTCTGGGCCACCACATGATCTGAGGGGCGGTGCACCGGCCCCCTGCTGAAAAAGGTTGTTGACCCCTGATTTACACTGACAGGTCACGGTTCTCCAGGGTATCAGATGGAGAACCCTACAGGCAGATCTCAGGGGTTGAACCTGGGACGTTATGCATACAAACTGGATGCTCTTATCACTGATCTATATTCCTTCCTTTAAAAATAAAGATGCTATTCCTCAAGATTCTGAATAAAAGGCTAACTTAAATAGGAAGCTGCCTTAACACTGACTCAGACCAGTGTCCATCAAGCTCATTATTGTCTTCAAACTGACTGGCAGGAGCACTCCAGGGATTCAGGCAGGGCTCTCTTTCAGCCCCAGAGATGCCATTGCAGGTTGAACCCGGGTCCTTTGTGTGATGCAAAGCCAGTGTTCTATTATAGCAGAATGGGGTAGGGGTGGGTTCCCCGTGCCCCGGTCAGAAGCGATCCGCTCCTCAGTTGGTTATTGCAACAGAACTGAATCACAGGTGCTTGGCAGCAGTATTATTTAATGAAACATGTGCTCTTGGTTGTAGAAAACGACGCCAGAATGCAGCGTGACGGGCTTCATTGAGCAGATCAACTGCAGCGCTTCCAAGAAGGGAGAATACAAGAGGTGAGCTCACTGGGAGGAGAAGAGCGGTGTGCCTTGCCACCCTGGGATGCTGCCTCTGACAGTGGCCAGTGGCAGACCCTGCTGGAGCAAGGGGTGCTTACTAATGTCGCAGATCAGTTACACAGGATGGCGGTGAAGGCGAGCCTCTGGCAGTGAGAGACGGCCCTCAAAACCTTTCTTATCTGGCCCTTAAGGCTCTGCAGGCCACACACCTCACCAGCCCTGATTCATAGCCTCCTTGGCTGTGCCTGGCTGGGATGTGTCCCTGAAGTCTCTGATCATGCCTCTTGCCTGCAACCCCTACTGTAACTGATCTGTCATGGATGTTTTAGCTGAGATTCCCGCATTGCAGGGCCTTGGACTCGATGGCCCCCCTGGGGGACCCCGATTCTACAATGTGCTGCTAACAACTTCCTACTGAAGCAGGAAGGGCCCTGTAAGCCTCTGGGTTTCATGGCAGTCTGAAAGCTGAGAAACAAGAAGGTTTTTCTTCTTCTCTTCTCTTTTTGAAAACCCCTGCCCTGGTAACAGCCAACCAGCTCTCCCATTTGTCAGGAATTCTCCCTTCCATTCCTACCCTCCCGCTGCTTTTTTGTTCCTCCTGACAAACAGCATTCCATAGCCGCTGAGAAGGCTTGTTTTGCAGGGGGAACTAATCCCTGAAGATCCCACCCAATATTTGTTCTTCTGCAAACGCCAGAGTTTCCATGAGCTAGCTTTCATCTCGTTTCAGTACATTTCCGAGCACAATTCAAAGTATTGGTGCTGACCTTTAAAGCCCTAAACGGCCTTGGCCCAGTATACCTGAAGGAGCGTCTCCACCCCCATCGTTCAGCCCGGACGCTGAGGTCCAGCGCCAAAGGCCTTGTGGCGGTTCCCTCACTGCGAGAAGCCAAGTTACAGGGAACCAGACAGAGGGCCTTCTCGGTAGTGGCACCCCCCCCCCCCCGTGGAACGCCCTCCCACCAGATGTCAAAGAGAAAAACAACTACCAGAATTTAGAAGACATCTGAAGGCAGCCCTGTTTAGGGAAGCTTTTAATGTTTAATAAGTTATTGTATTTTAATATTCCGTTGGAAGCTGCCCAGAGTGGCTGGAGAAACCCAGCCAGATGGGCGGTGTATAAATAATGAATTATTATTATTATTATTATTATTATTATTATTATTATTCTCAGTCCCTCTGCCCCTTTCAACCTTTAGCCACATAGCCGTGGCACTTGGCTCTTCAGTTTGCCACTAGAGGGAGCAGCCAACCCATTTTAACTCGCCTCCCTGATGCATTCTGTGCTTCGACTCGCAGGTGAAGGGCCTAACCAAACCCCTTTCCAGCCATCCCTGTTTCCCTTATGCTGTTCTGTCGTGTGGTGTCTTGGGATGGGAACGCACACCGCTCCCTTCCGCATGCTTCCTCCTCGGTGTGTCCATCAGCAGAGAGTCACGCTCACCTTGCCTTCTCCTTGCAGCTGCCGTTCCATGGAGATGGAAGCTCGCATCTTCTGGAAGTTCGAGGGCGCCATGCTTGGTGTGGCGGCCGTCTTCGCCCTGCTGGTGGTATGTCGGCAGCGCATGCTGGACCGTAGAGCTTTGGAGAAAGTGCGCAAGCAGATAGAATCCATCTAGTGGCGCCAGGGTCTCTCGCCGCTCTTTTCGGAACAGAACCTAGCGGCAGCGGTTGGGGGACAGCGGCGGGAAGGAATCTTCCATTGGACTGTTTGGAGGAGGGAACGAGGACCCCCGTGCTCATTGGAAAGTATTTCCTCCCCCCTTCACTTGGACTGAAACTGTTGCATTGAAACGTGGGCAACTTGCTTTGTTTTCTGAACATCCTGGGCACTTGTACAAAGAACAGTCCCGCTCCCCACATTGTCTGTGGTGCATCCTGACTTGGTTTGCTGCGTGGTCGCAATCTGTTGCAAACTCCTCGGCCTCTCTAGACTTTGTTGGATTCAAAGGAGCAAGCCCAGCACCTCCCTAGTCATACCACTGTTTTATTAAAGACCAGAAACCCCAGCGAGCGTCTCTAAATCATGTAAGGAAAGTGACTGATCTCTGCCCTTATTCATGCAGTTCCAAAGCCCTTTCATTTTGAGGGTGTGGAAAATGTAGCTCTATTTTGGCTTTTTAAAAAAGCCATCCTGTGTATTGTCGGGGGGGGGGGGGAGGGTTGCTACCAGGACTTTACTGTGGCGTATTTTAAACAGCCGTCCCTACAGGATTCCTCTGTAAGAAACCTCAATGTGATTAAAAGCACGATGAAGCTTTCCGAACGCGCGTGCTCTTTGTATCCAGTGCTGGTAGATCAATTTTTATTTTTATTTTTTGTGGTGGCAGATTTGTGTGGCCCAGCAGAAGCCAAATGGGACAGAACTGGATCTGTTTAGCTCGGTGGAACTGAGGCCAGAGCAGGCAGAATGATTCATTTGGAAAAAAACTGGGGAGCAGAAATGTTAAGGGGAGGAATGGGGCACCTTGATGAAACCTCTATGCCTTGGTTTGGCTACAACTTTTGCATTTTGTCAGCTTGGCCTGCATACACACCACACATTTAATGCACATGGCTCCCCCAAAGCATCCTGGGAGATGTAGTTTACCCACCACAGAGTTACCCTTAAAAAACTACAATTCCCAGGATTCTTTTTTGGGTGGGGATGGGTCATGCACAAAGCCCTGGGCTTGAGAGGACGGAATTTAGGCGTTCCAATGTCGTGGGGTGGGGCAGTTTGTGAGTGGGCAAGTGTGACAAAAAGCCCAGTGCCTCAAGCCCACCTCTCTTTCTGATATTTTTGTGTGTGGAACACCCATGAAATCAAAAGCAGTGTGCAAAAATTTGCAGGCTGCACGCTTGTGTTTGAGTGCAGAAGCTCTCGGGTTCAACCTCTGGCAGGTAGGGCTGAGGGAGACCTGGAAGGACTCTACCGGTCAGTGTAGACAAAGCTGAGATAGATGGAGCAATGGCCTGACTCGAAATAAGGTGGCTTCCTATGTTCTTCTGTGTTAAGAGGGGCCACTGGGAGTTCCTGGCACAAGAACTCCAAATCTTTGAAACCCAAAGGTGGGTGGGAGTAGCTAGAAGCAAACTCCCAAGTGTCATTTGCATTGTGAGGTTACTGATCCCCGCTGGATGAAACCAAAGGCCTCTGTGTCACGCACAGCATCCTATTGCTTTCACTGACCAGCCAGAAGGTACGAAATAGCCAATACACAGGGCAGGAATTCAGTAGCCCTCTTCTGGGGAAGTGCCTGGGCACTGAGGGGATGTGAGCCTTCATGATTAGGGTGGCTGGACGGTTTGCTAGCAGCTGCAAACCTGACCAGGGCATCTCAACACCGACCTGCCAGTCTAGCATTTAATAAAACCATGAAATGATTGTGAAGCACCTCTTGCTTTTTGCTGCTGCTAGTGACGTGGTGTGCATTCCTTGCGCTAACGTTCATTGTGTTCATTGTGGCTGGAGAAAGGTACCTCTGCCATCCAGGATCACAGCGCCAGGCAGGCTCCCTTGGTTATCTCCCGCTTGGACTACTGCAATGCGCTCTACGTGGGGCTACCTTTGAAGGTGACCTGGAAACTACAACTAATCCAGAATGCGGCAGCTAGACTGGTGACTGGGAGCAGCTGCCGAGACCATATAACACCGGTCTTGAAAGACCTACACTGGCTCCCAGTACGTTTCCGAGCACAATTCAAAGTGTTGGTGCTGACCTTTAAAGCCCTAAATGGCCTCGGCCCAGTATACTTGAAGGAGCGTCTCCAACCCCATCGTTCTGCCCGGATGCTGAGGTCCAGCGCCAAGGGTATTCTGGCGGTTCCCTCCCTGTGAGAAGTGAAGTTACAGGGAACCAGGCAGAGGGCCTTCTCGGTAGTGGCGCCCACCCTTGTGGAACGCCCTCCCAGCAGATGTCAAAGAGATAAACAACTACCTGACATTCAGAAGACATCTTAAGGCAGCCCTGTTTAGGGGAGTTTTTAATGTGTGACATCTTAGTGTATTTTTGGTCTTTGTGGAAGCCGCCCAGAGTGGCTGGGGAAACCCAGCCAGATGGGCCGGGTACAAATAATAAATTATTATTGTTATTATTATTATTGGGATACATCTGAATCTTTTGGGTTTTAAATATATGATTTCCCTTTTCCTGGCCTGTCAGCCATTCAGGCTGTGTCACCCACCTCCTTTAACCTGAATTATTGCCCCCTCCCTTTAGCACCCATCCATAGATTTCCAGGAAAAAAAACGTACTTTGCACATGCTCAGAAGCTCCCTTTTATTTCTTCCCCAGCCCGGCTCCAGGGTTCCGTTGAAGCTTGCCCACTTCCCCAGATCATAACCTGCCCCCTCATGGAGCTGGTGTGTTGCAATGAGGCAGGAAGCGGGAAGTCGCCGACATAGGTGGGGAGGGAAAATGTGGCGCGAAATCCCACAATTTCACAAGCACTTGAGGAGGAATGCATTGCAGGCTGATCCGCGGGGGCAGTTGCAGAGCTTGCCGATCCGAGCGCCCTTCCTGACGGCACACAGGTCACCGAAGGAACACTGTGAGAAGGGGGGGGGGGAAGGATGGTTAAAAAAGTCAATCCCTCTTCCCAGGGAACTCTGGGAATTGTAGTTCTGGGCTCTCCTCCTGAGAACTCGCCGCTCATAATAAACTACAGTTCCCAGATGTCCTGACCATTCCTGGACCAATGAGGACAAGCGATTGGAATTTAATTTGAGCACCCCATAGCTCACCGGAAGCTGTTTTAACTGTTCTCATCGCTACTGAGAGCCTTCTCAGTGATGGCTCCGACCTGGTGGAATGCTCTGTCCCATGAGACCAGGGCCCTGCAGGATTTAACTTCCTTCTGCAGGGCCTGTAAGACAGAGCTATTCCGCCTGGCTTTCAACTTGAACTTAGCCTGATCTTTTATTCCCCTTCCTTCCCTCCCCCTACCCTTTTTATGAAGATTACCCGCTCTGGGATCCCACAGCTAATTCTCCCCTGGTCTCCATGCTGGCCCAAATAGGACTAATTTAGCCAGCTAGCCCTGGTCATCATCTAATGTTTATTGGATGGATTTCCCCCCTAAATTGATTTTTGAATTCTGAATTTATTGTTATTCACGTTTTATACTGTATTTTATGCTGGTTTCTGTTGCATCAATTATGTGTTTTAAATTTGTTGTTAGCTGCCCTGAGCCCGGTTTTCTGAACCGGGAAGGGCGGGGTATAAGTAAAAATTTATTATTATTATTATTATTATTATTATTATTACAGCCCCCTCCTGGAGCAGGGAGACAATGGCAAGGTGGGCTGGGCAGGGGTTTCTGAAGACACAAACACTTCTGGAAGCTCCACAGGCTCTCCAGAACCTCCTAAAGCTCCTCTCTTGACTCCTCCTCCTTTCCCCCTTGCTCTGGCTGCACGGTCTTCCTGATCCTGACCCCCTTCTTCCTTCCACGATGCCAGCTGCCTCATGGGGGGGCACAGAACCCCACTCCTCCCAGATCATCCTCCCTCCCTGTCTCCTCTGCCCGCACATTCCTGCCCTTCTCAGGCTCCTGCCCATCCTGGACATCAGGATTCTTGGGGGCAGGGAGAAATAACTCTTTAAACCAGGCTTCCTCAGCCTCGGCCCTTCAGATGTTCTTGGCCTGCAACTCCCATGATCCCTAGCTAGCAGGACCAGTGGTCAGGGATGCTGGGAATTGTAGTCTCAAAACATCTGGAGGGCCGAGGTTGAGGAAGCCTGCTTTAAACTCTGCCAAGGGCTTTAATTCGTGCTGCCTTTGTCGAGGGAGGAGGAGAAGAGCAGAGCCAGGATTGCTTGCCCCAAGCTGGCTCTAGTTCTGTCAGCCATTTGCTCTGGTGCCACCTGCTGTTGGGCTCCCAGCTTCGCACCCTATCAAGCCCAATGGGCACTGGTCTCCCCTGGGTGCACCATTGTTAAGGGTGGAGGGCGGACCAGTTTTGCTATTAATCCCTCTTCCCAGGGAACTCTGGGAATTATATTTCTGTGAGGGAGATAAGGGTTCCCCCCCCTCACAATCCTCAGGGCCCTTAACAAGCTACAGTTCCCAGAATCCTTTGGGGGAAGCCGTGCCTGTGTAAACTACAGTTCCCAGAATCCTTTGGGGGAAGCCATGCCTGTGTGAAGTGGGATGATACTGGTCCAACATCTGCACCGCACCAACCCCTCCCTCCCTGGCTCTCATCCCCTGCATCCATCGGCGACTATCCAAGCAGCGCCCGGTACCTTGGGAACTTGGTTGAATTTCTTCTCCCAAGTGGAGACCTTCTTATGTTGCAGCTTCTCCAGCACCTCCTGAAGTTCATCCAGCTGGAGAGGAAAGGAAGAGGTTGAGGAATTATTAAGGTGTGAGAAGAGCATCTGGCATGTCTGGCGTGATTCCTGCTTCCATAAGAGGCCAGAGGCGGCTATTATGGCTCGCTATTATGGCCCACCTCTGGCCCTCCAGGTGTTATTGGACTACATCCCCCATCATCCCTGAGCATTGGCCATGCTGGCTGGGGCTGATGGGAAGTGGAGTCCAGCGACACCTGGAGTTGCCAGAGGCTCCCCAACTTCTGCTGTAAGTAATGAGCACACATTATGGTCAAGAACTTGTAGCCCCCAATTGCTGTGTTGTATCACCAACAGTGTCTGGAGGACACGAGCTTTCCCATCCATTTCCTAAGGACTAGAAACTTGATGGTTTTTAAAAGAAAAAAGGCACTTAACTTTTTTCGCTGGAGGGTTGGATCTTTCATAGATCCGTTTCTATGCATTTTTTTAAAGAATGTCGTCCTCAAGTGGATGCCTTCTGTACGTTGTTGAGACTCTAACTCACATCCGCCCCAACCAGCACAGCCAGGGATCAGTGATGATGGGAGTTGTAGTCCAGCGACATTGCGAGGGTCAAAGGCTCCCTAACCCTGGCCTTCATCCCACCTAGTAAGAATTTGCATCTTCCCCAACATTTTTTCTGTTGTCCATTTAGGGGTCTCTTAATCATAAGATAAGGGACGCAGGTGGCGCTGTGGGTTAAACCACAGAGCCTAGGACTTGCCGATCAGAAGGTTGGCGGTTCGAATCTCCGCAACGGGGTGAGCTCCAGTTGCTTGGTCCCTGCTCCTGCCAACCTAGCAGTTCGAAAGCCCGTCAAAGTGCAAGTAGATAAACAGGTACCGCTCCGGCGGGAAGGTAAACGGCGTTTCCGTGCGCTGCTCTGGTTCTCCAGAAGCAGCTTAGTCATGCTGGCCACATGACCAGGAAGCTGTACGCTGGCTCCCTCGGCCAATAAAGTGAGATGAGCACCGCAACCCCAGAGTCGGTCACGACTGGACCTAATGGTCAGGGGTCCCTTTACCTTTAATCATAAGATATTTAGGCGATTAATAGGCTCGGTTTCCATAAGAATGAAAAATGAGAAGCATTCCAAAACCAAGGAAACAGATAGAGTTTGTTCTGGAGAGCCACGGGGCATGTTTTTTTCACACGGTGTAGAATCAGCAGTGCAGTTAGATAATGTTTAGACTCTGGACTTAATGGTCTTGGGGGGGGTGTCTTTAGATAGGAATGTGCATTACATTACCTCCTTCAAAATGTGCTCAGCCAGGCCTGGTGTATCAGGGGACCCTGGCTGCCCACTCCACTGAGTGGGGCCCTGGACTTCTGCCCCGAAGTCCCACTCGGATGGCGCCAGTGTGTGAGGGAGTACCATCCACCTATCTTCCAAAATCCTGCCCTGTCAGCATTGCTGAGCATAATAACTGTACTCCACTCACTGTCACACCATCTGCTGTGATGGCCGCTCACTTAAATGGAAAAATAAAATAAAATGAATAATCCATGAATTTGCCTGTCGACGGCTACTGCTCATGTACAGTAGCTCTGTGGGACCTGCTTCTGAATACCAGTTCCTGGGAGGCAAGAGCTGGAGAAGGCCTGTTTCTTTATTGCCCTGCTTGCAGGCTTCTCGGAGGCTTCTGATTGGCTGCTGTGGCAGCAGAATGCCGGGCTAGCTGGAATGTTGGTCTGATGCAGAAGGGCTCAGAGGCTTCTGATTGGCTGCTGCAGGCAGCAGAATGCTGGGCTGGATGGAATGTTGGTCTGATGTGGAAGGGCTCAGAGGCTTCTGATTGGCTGCTGCAGGCAGCAGAATGCTGGGCTGGATGGAATGTTGGTCTGATGTGGAAGGGCTCAGAGGCTTCTGATTGGCTGCTGTGGCAGCAGAATGCTGGGCTGGATGGAATGTTGGTCTGATGAAGAAGGGTGCTTTGGAGGCATCTGATTGGCTGCTGTGGCAGTGGAATGCAGGGCTAGATGGAATGTTGGTCTGATGAGGAAGAGCTCAGAGGCTTCTGATTGGCTGCTGTGGCAGCAGAATGCTGGGCTGGATGGAATGTTGGTCTGATGAAGAAGGGTGTTTTGGAGGCATCTGATTGGCTGCTGTGGCAGCAGAATGCTGGGCTAGATGGAAAGTTGGTCTGATGCGGAAGGGCTCAGAGGCTTCTGATTGGCTGCTGTGGCAGCAGAATGCTGGGCTGGATGGAATGTTGGTCTGATGAAGAAGGGTGTTTTGGAGGCATCTGATTGGCTGCTGTGGCAGCGGAATGCTAGGCTAGATGGAATGTTGGTCTGATGCAGAAGGGCTCAGAGGCTTCTGATTGGCTGCTGTGGCAGCGGAATGCTAGGCTAGATGGAATGTTGGTCTGATGCGGAAGAGCTCAGAGGCTTCTGATTGGCTGCTGCAGGCAGCGGAATGTTAGGCTAGATGGAATTTTGATCTGATAGGGAAGGGCTTCTCAGAGGCTTCTGATTGGCTGCTGCAGGCAGCAGAATGCTGGAAGGGATGGAATGTTGGTCAGATGGGGAATGTCCAGAGGTTTGTGGCATTTGATACACATAGCCCAGAGAAGCAGCAACTGGAAAAAAGGGAGTGGCTCATTGGCAGAGCATCCATCTTGCATGCAGAAGGTCCCAGGATCAATCCCCATCATCTCCAGGTAGGGCTTGGAGTGAACCTGGCCTGAAACCCTGGAGTGACCCTGCCAGTCAGTGTAGACAATACTGAGCCAGATGGACCAATGATCTTCCTTCGTATAAAGGAGCATCCTCTGTTCTCATTACGGTCCAGTACCATCTTCAAATATTTGAAGGGCTCTTTCTTAGTTTAGAGCAAACTTGTTCTGTTTCCCCAGAACATAGGACCTGAACCAACACGTTCAAATTGCATGAAAAATAATTTAAAAATAGCCTGCTCCTCAATTGAAGTATTTTACTTCTCACCTGCCCCAATTTTTATGCTCCCCTCCCTGGAAAAATTATTGCAGATGTCCAGGGGGTCAGACTAGATGACCCTTGAACCTTCTCCCAACTCTGATCCTCTCTGCCTCTCTCTCTCTCTCTGCCTCTCTCTCTAACATTTTAACAGGGTTCTCTCCCCCCACCCCCAGTCAGTAGCAAATGTTTACATTGATGAATCTAACAGATTAAGTGTGTCAGGTCTGGATATTAGCAGGGAATTCTGTTCCTCAGCAAGTGGGGAGCATCTTCTGGTCTTGTTTGGCTCATATCCAAGAAATGATGCAATTGGTTCCATGTGATGGGTCCTGGTGGTACAAGCAGCTTTGAACGGTGTTTTCCTTCCTGGCAGCAGAGTGTGTGTCCCCCCCCGCCAAAAAAACCCCCCTCTATCTCTGCCTCCTGTGGCTGCCTTGCAAACTTGGTCTAAGACAGATACATCCTCAAAGCAGTTTCTGATCCAGCATGTTTTATCTCCTGGCGGAATAAACACCCAAAATCACATGCTAAAATATGTCTCTGGATCCCTGGCTGCCAGCTCTGTTTCCCTCTCAAACCTACAAGTGCAGGTCAGTCTGGTTCTCACTTGCAGATAACATAGCGGAGAATGGGAGGTGGCAGCCTGGTTGTGTTGGCTCTTACCGGTCAGCAGCTGCGGTCAGACTCTGATCTGGTTATAAAGAGCCACGCTCTTCCCTGTGCAAGCTCGCTCGATCTGCTCTCATTCCCCCAGCCCCTTGGATGATGTTGCTCGCTTCCTTTGTCCTCCCGCTCTCCTAAAGACTTGGACCAATTCCTGATTGATGGCTAGATTGCATTTATATCCCCACCTTGCCTGAGGCGGTGTACATTTTCCTCCTCATTTAATCCCAACACAACAACCCTGTGAGGTTGGTGAGGCTGGGAAGCAGCAACTGTTCCAGGGTTGCCCAGTGAGCTTCATGGCTGAGAGGGGATTTGAACCCTGATCTCCCAGCTCTACTCTAACCACTACACCACACTGTCTTATTCTGGCTGCGGCAGCAGCTCTGAAGTTGGAGCAAATGAAGAACATAGCCCTCTCCTCCCTTGCACATCCCAGTAGACTGGTATTCGCTGACCCAAGGCTAGAGTGCGAGAAAAACCCTGGTGGTTCTGAACTAAGGTCCATCAACCCCAGTATCCTGTCTCCTACAGTGGTCAGCTGGAAAGGATGGGGAACTTTTGGCTCTCCAGATGGGGCTAGACTCCAGTCTTCACCATGCCTTATTCCCATTCCAGACGGCCCATTCCAGACGGGGGCTCATCTCATGGGAGTTTGAGCCCATCGATGTCTGGAGGACCACAGGTTCCACACTCCTAGCCTATGGGGTATTATTATTATTTATTAAATTGGTAAACCGTCCTATGCCTGCAGGACTCAGGGAGTTTCTCAACAGAAAAAAACCAACACAATATGAAAACACAAAATACATAATCGAAACAAGAACAACTCAATAATCCCACACCAACACATTTTGAAAGGGCATTGGATGTCAATCAGCCAAAGGCCTCGGTTAAGTAAAGGGTAAAGGGACCCCTGACCATTAGCTCCAGGTCGTGGCCGACTCTGGGGTTGCGGCACTCATCTCGCTTTATTGGCCGAGGGAGCTGGCGTACAGCTTCCGGGTCATGTGGCCAGCATGACTAAGCCGCTTCTGGCGAACCAGAGCAGTGCATGGAAACGCCGTTTACCTTCCAGCTGGAGTGGTACCTATTTATCTACTTGCACTTTGATGTGCTTTCGAACTGCTAGGTTGGCAGGAGCAGGGACCGAGGAATGGGAGCTCACCCCGTTGCAGGGATTCGAACCACTGACCTTCTGATCGGCAAGCCCTAGGCTCTGTGGTTTAACCCCCAGCGCCACCCACATCCCAAAGGCCTGGTTAAAGAGTAACATTTTTGCCTGGCACTTAATGAAGGCTCCAGCCGAGCCTCCCTGGGGAGAGCATTCCACGTGCGGGGAGCCACAGTAGAAAAGGTCCATTTTTGGGTTGCAGAGGTAGACTGCCTCTGAGACTGCAGGCTCCATTCTTAACAATCATGGCTATCGGCCTAAGAAGTGCTTTGCTGGAGCGGACCAAAGGTACACAGACTCCATCCTGGAGGGCTTGAAGCTGAGTGGTAGACGTTCCTCGTTCAATCCCTGGCATTTTCTGGTAAGCCTGGGATAGTTCCCTGCCTAAAACCCCGGAGAGCTGCTGCTGGTCAGTGCAGACAATACTGAACTAGATGCACCAACGACTGGATTCAGTATAATACATGTTCTTTTTACATTAAGCCCTTTATCCAGAACCATGGAGCCGGAAATCTCACTTGATTCTTTAGGAGGTCTGTGGAGTAGTTGCTTTGCATGCAGAAGGTTCCAGGTTCAAATCTCCAGCATCTCTAGGGAGAGCTTAGGATGTCCCCTGCCTCAAACCCTGAAGAGCTGCTGCCAGTCAGTGTAGGGAATACTAACCTAGATGGACCAATGGTCTCACTGTATAAGGCAGTTTCCTACATTCTATGAGACAGGTCCTCCTCCTCCTCCTCCTCCTCCTCCTCCTCCTCCTCCTCCTCCTCCTCCTCCTTCTGCTTTGCATTTTTATTCCACCTTCTCCCCAATACAGTGGTACCTCTGGTTAAGAACTTAATTCGTCCTGGAGGTCTGTTCTTAACCTGAAACTGTTCTTAACCTGAAGCACCATTTTAGCTAATGGGGCCTCCCGCTGCTGCCGTGCTGCCGCCACACGATTTCTGTTCTCACCCTGAAGCAAAGTTCTTAACCCGAGGTACTATTTCTGGATTAGCGGAGTCTGTAACCTGAAGCATCTGTGACCCAATGTACCACTGTATAGGGATGTGCAACACATCCCACTGGTTCTGCTCTATACCACAAATCCATTAAGCGGACGTCTGTTTTGCCCTGGCGGTGACTATCCTTGGGTACCACCCTTTGGGCGTCAGTGTCATGGGATAGTCACCTCCAAATATCTCGAAGGATGGAAGATGGAGCAAGCTTATTTCCTGCTGCTCCGGAGCGTAGGACCTGAACCAATGCATTTAAATCACAAGAAAGGAGATTCCGACTAAACATTTTTTGGGGGAAACTTTCTGACGGGAAAAGCCGTTCGACAGGGGAACGGGCTAACTCAGAACTCTTCTGGGAGGTTTTCAAATTCTTTTAAGCTGCGCTTCCCACATGGCAGAGGGGTTTCGACTTAGATGACCCTGGGGAACCTCTCTCTACTCTACAATTATGCCCAAAGGAGGGTTGCCTATGGGGTTCTCTAACCCCTCTGCGCATCCTTGCTCACCGGGTGCAATTTATCCACTGCCCCCCTGTACCGTGGCAGCCCACGGACGGGGACCACCCGGAGACCTCGCCTCTTTTACTCACCAGCTCCTTCTCGTGCGCCTGGTAGGAGTGCTTGAAAGGGAACTCCTGGGGTGCCCGGCCGGCTGTGGCGAGGTTTCTGTGTGCCGCCCAAATCAGGCAGAGCAGGAAGGCCACCGAGCCCAATTGGGAGCGGTCCATTGTGGACAGGATCCGAAAGAGCAAGCTGAAAGCTCAGGGCTGATAGAAGAGAGCAAGACAGAGACTGTGAGCTCAGAGCCACAGGAGCTGTCCACAGTGCTGAAGTCTGGTGTCTGTTTTCTCTGGCTTAGCAGGAGAGCGAGCGAGCCTGTCAGCTTGCGAGCCAGGCGGAGGGGGGGTTGTCTTGGGAAGAGAGGGGAGTGAGGTCCCCCCTCCTCAGCCTGTGTCCCCACAGGAGGGGTGGGGAGGCATGTGGAAGTGGTGGGTGGGTGTGGGGAAGAGAGCTAGGCGCACAGCTGGGTGCAAAATTGCTGTTGGCACCCCCCAGGGGTGGGCGCTGCGTGGGGTGCTTAAGCGGGAGAGGGGGCCCCCCCTCTGGCTGACTATTTATCAGAGGTTTACTCTGCAAATTGCAATTTTGGCAAGCGGCGGGAGGCATTAGATTGAGCAGAGAGCCTCATCCATCATCTTGGCCGGGGGCCCAGCGCTTTGCTGGGAGCAGAATGGGCTGGGAATTAGCTCGCTCCCCCGCCCAATAACCGTTGATTCTGATGTGCCTCCCCCAGCATCTCTGAGCCTAATGATCTGCTATTATTCTGTCCTGTTATTATTAGAATTAATCATTGCTGGAGAGCGTCGCTGTGTCCAAAAGCGCTTAGAAATCCTGGCCTTGTTTATCTGTCTTCATTCTTCCTCTCTCCCTCCCTATGCCCTCCTGTACTGAATATCTAGAACACTTGCTTTGCATACAGAAGGGCCTGGGTTCAATCCTCAGCTAGGGCTTGTCTGAAGCCTTGGAGAGCTGCTGCCAGTCAGTGTAGGTAATTCTGAGCTGGATGGATCAATGGTCTGCTTCGGTATGAAGCAACTACCTATGTCCCTCTGGAAAGCAGCCCTTTATTCAGAACCATGAGGACTAGATCCTTAGAGTCATAGAATTGTAGAGTTGGAGGGTCATTTGGTCCAACCCTCAGCTAAAGAATCCATGACAGATGGCCATCCAACCTCTGCTTTAAAACCTCCTTTGAGAGCCCACCACCTCCCAAGGGAGTCCATTCCACTGTCAAACAATTGTCAGAAAGTTTCTCCTGATGTTTAGTTGGAATCTCCTTTGTTGTAACTGGAGGCCATTGGTTCAGGTCCTACTCTCCAGAGCACGAGAAAACAATCTTGCTCCGTCTTCTATGGCAGAGACGTCCAACTCCCAACAGACTGCGATCCACTGACAGTATAAAAAACTGGCAGTGATCTACCCATTGTCGTTTGATGGATCAATGTTGTTGAGTTGTTGTTTTTTTAGGAAGCAAAGATATATGAATATATGAATGAATGAAACTGAATGAGCATTGCGATATACACAGAACATAATAAAAAGTCGATTATATAAAACACACAGCTGAGGGTCCTGAATCCGCAGTCAAATAGTGGACCTTAATCTGATAATCCACTTTTTTTTTTGCTAGGAAGCAAAAGTTGCTGAGATTTTTTTGGAAAGGCAAAGTTGTTCAGCTTTTCTTAGGAAGCCAGAGTGGTTGAGCTTTTTTTTTTTTTAATTCTTTTTAATTTTTTTATTTTGTGGGGAAGGAGATCCCTGAGGGACTAGAGATCTACCAGGAACACCCCACGATCTATCAGGAGATCATGATCTACCTGCTGGACGTGCCTGTTCTATGGGACAGCCCTTGAGATATCTGAAGACGGCTATCATATCTCCCGCAGTCTCCCCTTTTCCAGGCTAAACATACCCAGCTCCTTCAACCGTTCCTCATAAGGCTTGGTTCCCAGACTTTTAGCCAATCTTGGTCGCCCTCCTCTGCGCACCTTCCAGCTTATCAATATCCTTCTTTAATTTTTAAGGATTGTGGGTCAGTGCCAGAGCCACTGTTTTTTATACGTAGAAGGTCTCAGGTTCAGTCCCAAATGGCATTTCCAGGTAGGGGTGAGAATGGATGCTACCCAGAACAGCTCACTGGTTGGTTTCTGCCTCTGAAGCAGCAATTAAAAGGCAAGAAAAGAGAAGATCTGTTTGTCATCCATCCACCTACCTGTCCTGCTCCCCCTCTCTCCTGCTCTGCCTTAAGTTTCCCTCTGGCTAAACTCCCTTGCCTTGTACATTAATCTCTATCCATTTATCCTTTTGACAGTTTGATCTTTGCTTTCTTCAGAAAACATTTAATGATGTTCCAAGGCTTCACACACACACACACACACACACACACACACACACTTTCAAAGCAAAGATAATCAGTGTTATTGGGAGGGAGGAGGAAATCAGGGATCAGGATCGTGCCTTTTGCCGGTTAAGGTTGCCATATTAAATGAGCCAGTTTGCCCCTCTGTCAAGTTAATTGCCATATTAAATGAACCAGTTTGTTCTTCTGCCAGTTAAGCTTGCCAATTTAACCTTCAGTGACTTAACTACAGTGGTACCTTGGGTTAAGAACTTAATTCGTTCTGGAGGTCCGTTCTTAACCTGAAACTGTTCTTAACCCGAGGTACCACTTTAGCTAATGGGGCCTCCCACTGCTGCCGCACCACCGTCATGCGATTTCTGTTCTCATCCTGAAGCAAAGTTCTTAACCCGAGGTACTATTTCTGGGTTAGCGGAGTCTGTAACCTGAAGTGTCTGTAACCCGAGGAACCACTGTACAGGAGTTTGGGGCACAGAGAAAAACAGACCGCCCTTTCCGATGGACCCTGTACTAGTGAAATTCTGTCCTGCGAGAGAGATGGGCATCTCATCCCCTTCCTCGCCCACTTTTCATCAGGCCTTGAAAATCCCTCCTAGTTCAAGGAGGGCTGGGCTAACTTTCCTCAGCACGAGGGCCACATTTTCCTCAAGGAAAACATTGGGGGGGCATGCAAAAGCCGGAGGTTTCAGTGCAAACACAACCCTTGGTCACCATTCAGCGAAGCAAGTGCAGACCCTCCAAGTGCCCCCATTTTCCAGGGACGTCCCTGATTTAGAGAAACCCTCCCAGTTTCCAGTTTGAACCTGGAATGCCCCACTTTTCCTTAGGATGTCCATATTTTCATTGGAGAAATGTTGGAGGGTATGGAGTTATCTGACCCCCCGAGCCGACTGAAGGCAATCCTGTATAGGGAAGGGTTTTTAAAAAATGTTTTATGTCTTATTATGTTTTTATATATGTTGGAAGCCGCCCAGAGTGGCTGGGGCAACCTAGTAAGATGTGTGGGGTATAAATAGTAAAATTACCATTATGGATTGGGACGTCCCTATTTTCATCGGAGAAATGTTGGAATGTATGCAAGTGGCGTTGTCACAGTTCAAGGATAAAGTCCTGCCAGCCAAAAAACCCAGAGGAGTATGTGAAGCAGGTTTGATCTAGGAGAGTCCCGAGGGCCTGATAAAAAGGATTTTTTGGGGGGACGCATTTGCCCCACCGCAGCGCCTGAGACTCCTCAACCCTGAGTTAAAAGTTGCTGTTGTGGCTCTGCTATTGGTTTTGCTGTTGCTTTCTCTGTTTTAAATTGTTCGGAATTGTTTCTACTGGACTTGCTGTGCCGGACTCTAGGGTGTTGTTAGGTTCATTTTCCCTTTAATGAATTGATTTCGTCTTCACTTTGTGTCTTAAAAGCTGGCTTGGGAAGGCCTTGTCTCAGATAACACTATCAGCCTTCCAGCGGGAAGCAAGTACGTTAAACCATCAGATCCAGTTTCCATGCTCTGAAATCTTGCACTCTGAACATATCAAGCCACTTGTTCAAGGCACAAGAAGGTTGATTGGCAACTCTCCTGGTGGTTTTGTTTTGTTTTGTGAGATGGGGAAAGGAAAACGGTTGTTAGCTTTGTCCTTTCCCAGCAGGACTCCTGTGTCTTTTAAAGGCCGTCTGGCAGGCATAAATGCAAGCGGGGAAGCTTCACTCATCAGTGTGACTCTGTGCTGTGGAAGGAGAAAGCCTGACCTGTTGAATCTCTGCCTTGCTTGCTTGCAGGTGTGTGAAAGGAGGAGCAAAAGATGGCAAAATGACTGCTAGCTTTGGCCAGGAAGCAAGGATGCAGATTGCCAGAATAACTGAGATGGTTTAGTGCCACTATCGATTTGGTAAAAAAAAAAAAGGCTGATCGCCGAAGAATTGATGCTTTTGAATTATGGTGTTGGAGGAGACTCTTGAGAGTCCCATGGACTGCAAGAAGATCAAACCTCTCCATTCTGAAGGAAATCAGCCCTGAGTGCTCACTGGAAGGACAGATTCGGTAGCTGAGGACAGATCCTGAAGCTTTGGCCACCTCATGAGAAGAGAAGACTCCCTGGAAAAGACCCTGATGTTGGGAAAGATGGAGGGCACAAGGAGAAGGGGACGACAGAGGACGAAATGGTTGGACAGTGTTCTCGAAGCTACCAGCATGAGTTTGACCAAACTACGGGAGGCAGTGGAAGACAGGAGGGCCTGGCGTGCTCTGGTCCAGGGGGTCACAAAGAGTTGGACATGACTAAACGACTAAACAACAACAACGACAACAATCAATTTGGCAGTTGATATGGCAAAAAATGGCACTTGGCTATCTTTCCCCTACGTAATGATTCAAAATTCTAAAAGCACAGGTCCGAGCAAGGATGTTTTATAGGACATATTTGAGGGGCGGGCAGGAGAATTTATGATGTTCTGGAATTTAGCTGTGATGCTTGCATTGCAGGAGGTTGGACTAAATGAACTTTGGAATCCCTTCCAACGCTACAATTCTATGATTCTATGTAAATGTCCTAAAGAAAAGGCCTGGATTGAGCAAATCCTGCCAGGTTTATAGGATTTTATATTTCTGAAAGCCATTGGTTTATATACTACTGCCCGTTTTTTAAATCCACAGAAGTTTCCCCCACTCTGTTTATATGGAATCCAGTAGGTCATTGTTTTACATTATTTTTTTTGTTGGTGTAGGTAGGGAGATTAATTTAACAGCAACACCCCCCAAACTACCATCACCTCTAAGTAAATCTTGCCTCATTTCTACCAGTCATTCTGTTGTCATCCCCACA